TATTAAAGGACTAATCTCAATACACAAGGGTTATTGTCACTAACTAATGCAAGATATAATGAGACGGGAACTCCTTACCAAGCTAAGTATGCTTAGCTAATAACACGTAAGAATTCATCCTTATGCTCGTCCAGTCTAAGTACACTCGAAATGCCCAGTTAATTCCGCTAGCACAAGAGGGACTAATAAAGGGTCTAGCAATACCAACCTCTTGCCGTCGTGGCAGTAAGGAAAGAATATCCATAAGGACTGGCTGATATATAACTTTCAATACCCAAAATCACATTTGTGACAACTAGAGAGGAAGTTCTACTTGATAAATGAAATGAAATAACCTATTTAGTGCAAATTTAAACTTAGGGCAAGAAGTAGATATTAGTGATCTAAAAGAAAATCAAAGCACTTATCTTAAAATTTGTAGAGATTCTAAGTAAAAGCCAGAATTCATGTTCTTACAGTGGAAAAAATAAAATAAAATTGAAGACTACACATTGAGAGCACAATCTATACATGGCTTAAGCTATAAACAAAAGAAAGGTTGCACCAACACTAATCTAACAACCAACAAAACCTAGACACAAGATTGACACACCTTGGAAACACCTTTTCCAAGGTGTGGTGAGCACTCAAAAAGCCGCTTTCCATTGCACCTTGACCATCACCACCACTGCAGAAGTGCAATTGAGCCCAGTTTGCCAATCAAGAGCTTCACGCTTGTCTCCTGGAACACTCTGAATGCAGAGAACAGCAGAAACATCTGCTTTCAAGGGCCTAGAAGGCAAGGAGCTCAATGGGAAGCTAATCAAAGTCTTGGAGAATACAATGACACTTGAGTCATGAGAGGTGGGTGGGGTTTGCAAGTTCGAAAACTCACCTTGGGCTTGTTCTCTCTCACGGAAGAGCAAAGATTGCAAACTCTCTGATGGTTCTGGCCGCGTTGAAGGCTGTCTCTGGCTCCAGCTCTGCCACTCAATGGCATCCACAAACCTAAATGAAGACATCTCAAATTTCCACAGCACACAAAAATCCAGATTGTTGTGGTTGGGGCCAAATTAGCGGCTGCCATCCCGACACTGAATACAGATCTCCACAGGAAGAAGTGCAATTGCTGAGATTGCCACTGATCTGGCAAGCAAGCTTTAGCTCGATTGCGGCAGGGCATCTAAGGTGAGCTAAAAAGAATGGGCACGGGGGTAGGACACACTAGTGGCACGTGTCAATGCCAATGAGCACCAGAGCTGTGGTGGTCTATGCAAACCGAGCCTGGACTATCACTTTATATATATGGATAAAAGGGAAATTGCAAAATCCTTTTTAAGGTCAATGCCTTTGTGGTAGAAGCGATCCAGAGGTGGTTCTCAGCTTTGTGGAACTGACCACACTGCATCGGTGCTGTGCAGTCTGCAAGTCATGGAAATCCATCATCAACAATCGCCACAAGTGGTGTCAAAACAGTGGTGAGCAAAAATCATTGTGGGTTATAAATACCTCCGAACACTTTTTCACCTGGGATCCATCACGGTCCAACCACAGTGTGGAGTTTGCAACCGAGAAAGTCGTTGCTTTGGCAGGTGGCCTGGTATGCATCATCATGGATCATGGCTTCGCCCATCTGCATGTGTTTACCCTGGTGGTGGGCAATCCAGTGACCCAAGAGTGGAGCGAACTACCAACGCTCCACATTGAGGAGATTTCTTTTGCGGAGGACTTTGCCATGTTTGTTGACAAAGATGACTTCAAAGTCAGCGCGCACTTCATCAGCTACGACTCAGGGCACTGGTGCTACATCTACGACTCGGCAACACACGTCTGGTCTTCTCTCCCCAACCTCCCGTTCTCACAGAGGGAGGAGCGTCACGGGTTTGATGCTCGGTCTGTATTCCCAGACTTCTACGACCCTAGTATCCTGGGATTGTATGACTTTGTCCGCACCAAGTGGATCACAGGGGAAGTCGTGCGCAGCCTGAGGATTACAACGGGCCTGGAAGGGGTTGAACAAAGTGGAGAGTTTCTGCGCTGCGTATTGCCGCGTCCCGGTTGGTGCACGACAATGCTGTGGGATTAAATGGCCAGCGCTACTTTGCATGTGCATGAGGGAGACTACTGCAAGGTAGGGTACTGCAGAGCTGATGGCTATGGTGTGTGGAAGGTTGATGACACGGTTTGGTTATAGTCTCAGCAGTGCACTGTAAAGCCCTGCTCAATCAAGTGTATCCTGGGCAGTCTCACAATTTTTCCCATTGTGATATTCATGCAGAGGACAATCTCGTCATCTTTTCGGAAGGAAAAGTGTTCGTTTACGACCTGGACACAGAGCGTTGGGGTGGAGTGGGCAGGCGCACATATGAATCAGGCAAGGGACTGCTTTATCGCCCAGTGCTCACGACACTCTGTGGAACAACACGTCATCCCAAGTGACGATGAAATTCGCCCTGAGTTCTACAGAATTTTCGGGTTTTTAGCATGCTGTGTTGGTTGTGGCACCAAGTACCAGAGAAAATGAGGTGGCCAGAGATCAGATAGGAGATCCCTACACATGGTATAGAATGCCAGCAAGGATGGAAGAGGTGCCCTAGCCCAGGTGATTCTTAGCACTTAAGACATGTGCAGAATATTTGCATTCAACTCAAAAAAAATTAAAATCTGCACATGTGCAAATATATAATGCTTTCACGTGCAATCAAGATGCATATATGAGGAGGAAAAACTCTGTATCTCAACTGTGTATAAATAAGTATATATACATAAAACTCATAATAGCAATTCTTTACAAGAATTTTCATCTGGTAACAGTAAAAGTGGGAGCTTAACAGTTCACAACCAAGGTCACATGCTACTGGCAAGATTGAAGGGTGAGCAAAAGTGTATGCAAACAAAACCAAGACTAAGAACAAAGTTTTAGGTAATTGATTTATGAGTTTTCTATATGCTTTTCTCATCAGCTCTCTATGCTCATCATCTCAGACTAACTAGGCACAATTTAGGCTTAGATTCATTAGATCAACCACCTAATCGTGAGTGGTGTTAGAGGTACTTAGAGATAATATAAGTAAGCTACTATTGTGAAGCATGAAACAACTCTGGTATAAATGCACTACAGTTTTGTATGTTAAAAGTTTCTTGCCATACGTTTTTAGCTGTTTTGCTAGATTATATTAATGAAAAGTAAAAGACCACAGAACATCCTTAATTCAAGTTCCAGTGCAATACTTCAAAAGAAATCAAAGAACACCATCAAAATGAAACGAACCTTGCCACTTTATTATACAAACTGTCTCCATGAAACCTCATCCTTGTCCCAGTAGTTCTTTCCTCGATCCAAGTTTGACTCCTAATCAATTGACATGTAAAAGAATCTCTTTAAAAAACTTTTAAAAGTACAAAGGATTCTTACCTTCTTCTTGTTCTTTCTGGGCTTCGCAGTTCCTGGACGCATCCTCGTAAGCATTGGTGTCATCCACATGATCATCTCGTCCAGCTTTCCAGGAGGAGGCTGGGGGCAGTCTCATCTTTTGGCATCCTAAAGGAGCTTTGGTTCTTGATTGCAGACTACTGGATGAAAGTCCACCTAAGACTGAGGGTACGAGCTACTCTATACACCTCACTTTGCGAAGGCTGAGTTGTGGAAGATATACAGGCATTTGGAGTTTCTGCTCTGGAACATTTATGAAGAGCGAGAAATTATTTTTAAAAATAACAGAATATTCTCGAGAAATTTTAAAAGGTTAGCGCTTCTAAAAAGGAAATTGCAATCCTTCAAGGTAACCGACAGATGCAAGATGATATTGTGGAGCTGGTTCTCAGCTTTGTGGAACTGACCACACTGCGTCGTTGCTCCGCAGTCTGCAAGTCATGGAAGTCCATCATCAACAATCCATCCTTTCGCCACAGGTGGTGCCAAAACAGTGGTGAGCAAGAATCATTGTGGGTTATAAATACCTCTGTTAGTGACGACGAAACACTTTTCGGCCTGGGATCCATCACGGCACAACCACAATGTGGAGTTTGCGTTGCCTCCACTGACCGAGAAAGTCGTTGCTTCCGCAGGTGGCCTGGTATGCATTGTCATTGATCCCTCCGAGATTGGCCTGGTCCATCTACTTTTCCTTCCTAAAAGATGACGAGATTGTCCTCTGCATGGATATAACAATGAGGAAGTTTTCAAGACTGCCCAGGATATACTTGATTGAGCAGGTTTCACAGTGCACTGCCAAGACGATAACCAAGCCACCATTGTCATAGCCATCAGCTTCGCAATACCGTACCTCAGACGCATACACCCAGGCGCTTGCAAAGTAGCGCTGCCCATTGTAATCTCACAGCATTGTCGTGCACGAACCAGGACGCAGCAAAACGCAGCGCAGGATCTCTCCACCACTGTCTTCCAGGCCCGTTGTAATCCTCAGGCTGCGCACGACTTCCCCTGTGATCCACTGGTGCGGACAAAGTCATACAATCTCAGGATACTAAGGTCGTCGAAGTCTGGGAATACAGACCGAGTATCAAACACGAGCTTTCCGTGACGCTGCTCCCTCGGTGAGAACGGGAGGTTGGGGAGAGAAGATCAGGCGCGTGTTGTTGCCGAGTTGTAGATGCAGCACCAGTGGCCTGAGTCGTAGCTGAGGAGGTGCACGCCGACTTTGAAGCGATCTTTGTCAACAAACATGGCAAAGTCCTCCGCAAAAGAAATCTCCTGGGCTGGTAGTTCGCTCCACTCTTGGGTCACTGGATTGCACACCACCAGGTTAAACACGTTGTTTACGACCTGGACACAGAGCGTTGGGGCATGTCATCCCAAGTGACAGGATATTTGAAATTTGATAGGTGTGCATCTACAGGGCATGCTGTATTGGTTGGAGAAGCAACCAAAATGATTCAGACCAAATGGGGGAAGACTTTGTGATCTTCCGGAGCATGGTCTAGAAAGGCCAATGGATTTAACATAAAACCAGAATATACTCGGGAATTTAGGTTACCTTGTTGTAGGGCTTAATGCCCGTCAGGGGCGTTGCACCGTCTGTAGCAGCAGATTCCGAGACGGACATCACCACACAGCACAAAACCAAGCGAATGAGTCATGCAAGGAACTTCTTTGGATGCACCATACGGGAGTGTAAGATCTCTTGTGGCCATTTCTCAGGCTGGATGCCAAAATTACAATTGGGCCATGGATCGCGACAAAGAACCAAGGATTTGTTAAAAAAGGAAATGACATTGCTTCTCAAGAAATCTGGTCCCTCTTTTCAGGAAGTATAGGTTCGGTCCAACCTTGAAACTCTTGTCTGGTTCTCTGGGTAACAAGTATGTCTCTACTCTCTAACCGGAAAAGCAGAAGAAGGCATCACTCATGCTCGGACTCTGGTGTTTACCACGACTGATGCCGCCCAATGTCTCCTCGTGAAGGGGTACGTCAAGTCCTATGCGTTTTCTTTTAACACCAGATCAATCGACTTCGTTGCTCTTTTCAGGACCATGCTCTCTCGAGGGAAGTGATATTGTTAGTTGTGGAGGTGGCCAGCCAGAAGGAGGTACCTTGGCCTCTTTCCAGTTACTTTGAGTCTCATTCTGATGTTCTTGTGGTTGACCCTGCCAAGCGCAACGATGCTCCGCCACCAGCAGGGGAGACGAGAAACTAAAAATATTTTCGTCCCTCTCGCGTGACAAAATGTGATTTAAATGCGCTTCTGGCGCCTGTGTATTCTTCACTGTGCCAATGCCAAGGTAAGTTGGCAATCTTTCCAGTGATTTTGGATACCAAGGGAAACTGTGGGATCAGCGAGGCTTTGCTGGCATATTCGTTTCTAAAAACGAATCTACTCAGCATAATTTTATTATGGAGTTCTTCCATGGTGAATGGCGTCCTTCTCTGAGTCCTGCGACTTGGCTTCATCTTATGGTTTGTGGCGTCTTTCCTTTTCAGCAGTTTTCCAATAAGAAATCTTTCGACGACGATGATTAGCTCTGGTACTTTCTTGAGCTTCTTTGTTTTGCATTGTGTGTATCTTTTTAGGTGATTACCTTCGACGAAAAATCAGGTGGCAAGATCGTCTGACAAGCTGGCCTTGACTAGGTGAACTCTTAATTCTAGTTCTAGTTTCTTCAAATCTTTAGTTATGTAAAGTTGTGTTTTCTGGTGTGCAACAAGTTTGATGATGTTTTCAGAGCGCACGAACTTTTGACAGGAGAGGGTCCATCAGCAATTACGACTTCTCACAGGTTTACAGCTCTTTGTTCATGTCTCGAAAGCTGATGTGAAACCATTTCAAGGGTCAAAGAAGAGAGTGACGTGCTATGGAATCCAAGACAGCAGAGTACACAGTGGTATGTTTTTTAACAGCTGATCATACCATCCTTTTTACATCCTTTTCATTGTTGTGAGAGCACAAAGAGGAGGAGATTATAATGGTTTTTCACAGCAGCAAGTTGTGGTTATTTTTTGCTCATGTCGTTGTGCTAATCTGTGTTTTGGATCCTTTGCCATATAGATGACACTGAAACAAGACGTAGTATGTAACTTAACTACTTCGAACACAAAATAAACCTAGTTACAGCTTCAACACTGTGTGATGGATGTAGTCGGTATGTCCACCATACAGTGCTGAAGTCGCAATTAAGTTTGTCTTGGGTTTGAAGTAGTTAAGCTAGATACTATGTTTTGTTTCAGTGCCATCTGCTTAACAAAAGATCCAAAACACAGATTAGCATGACAACATGAGCAACAAAGAGCCACAACTTGCTGCTGTGAGAAACCACCCCAATTTCCTCCTCTTTGCGCTCCCATAACAATGAAAAGGATATAAGAAGGATAGTACGATCAACTGTTAAGAAATATACCACTGCGTACTCCACTATCTTGGGTTCTACAGTATGTCACTTTCTTCTTTGACCGTGGAAATGGTTTCGCATCAGTTTCCAATTAAAACTTTCGAGACATGAACAAAGAGCTGTAAACTTGTGAGAAGTCATAACTGCTGATGGACCTCTCATGTCAAAAGTTCATGCGCTCTAAAAGCATCATCATGCTTGTTACACACTGGAAAACACAACTTTGCATAACTAAAGATTCAAAGAAACTAGAACTAGAATTAAGAGTTCACCTAGTCAAGGCCAGCTTGTTAGACGATCTCACCACCTGATTTTTCATCGAAGGTAATCACCTAAGAAGATATACACAATCCAAAACAAAGAAGCTCAAGAAAGTACCAGAGCTGATCATTGTCGTCGAAAGATTTCTTATTGGAAAACTGCTGCAAAGGAAAGACGCCATAAACCATAAGATGAAGCCAGGTCGCAGGACTCAGAGAAGGACACCATTCGCCGCAGAAGAACTCTATAACTCAGGATCGTTGCAGTGCTCGACTGCAATAGCGACCTAGGGAGCCCACGCTGGCTGCAACTTGTCCTTGAGCAGCTCCAGTGCCCTGTGTTTATGAGGATTGTGGATGTTGACTGGGAGAAGAATGTGGAGACCATCAGAGACACTGAAAAATCGATAGAAAGTGGAGATTACAATGAGAATCGACAGGCAAGAGACTGATTTTTTGAAAGAAAACTCCTCCTCACCTCTCCATGCTCAGATCACGGGTTTCAAACAGGAAAGGAAGGTTGGATGCACTGTGAAATGATAGATTATGATGAGAAATCAATGGAGCAAGTACAATATTTCGAAGGGAAACTCCTCCTCACCTCTCCATGCCTGGATTGCAGATTTCCGCTGGAAGAAGAAGGTTGGATGCACTGCACAATCGATAGAAACTTGAGATTAGGATGTGAAAAGCGGCAACACACCTCTCTATGCCCGGATCACAGAACTGGCCGGAAGACGAAAGAACGTTGGATGCTGCAAAATTTAGGGGAAGTGGAGATTATGAGGATAAATCGATGAAATTAGCGTCAAGAGATTGATATTGGGAAAAGAAACTCCAATCTCACCTCTCCTGACCTAGGCTTGGAATATTCTTCAACGGTGTTAGATGGTGTCGGCTGCGAATCATCTCGTGTGGTGTGCCGCATTTCAGCTCGGCACAGTCCGGCGAGCATCTTGCCTCACCACTTGCTTTGAGGTTCGTGTTGTCCAGCATGGATGGCTAACTATTTTGTTCTCCACAGGTCCCGCCTGGTGAATATCGTCTTTCGCCCATTGCTACCAAGCACAAAACAGGACTATTATTTTCTCCACAGCACGTGGATGTTGTCTTTGCTGCGCCAGTATTTAATATTGTCTTCTTACAGGTAAAGGCTTTCCTTTGTATTGCAGAAACTCTAAAGGCAGTCAGTATCTCTGGACACGTGAACTGCAAATCCTAATGCAGCCCTGGGATATACATTGTGCTCGTCGATACTCAGGGAGGCAACAAAATAGTATATCAACTGACTGATACCCAGAACCATTTCAAATTTGAGAATGTTCTTCCGGGACAATATAAGCTCGAAGTAAGTAATGCCAGGCTAACATGGTTTGAAGCATGCGTAATTTTCTTTTGCAGGTGACCAAAGAAGGAGGACTTGGAGACGATGAATGGTGCTGGGAACAAAAGGTAGTCAGTGTGGATGTCACTTCCAGCGATATCGAAGACATCGTATTTGTTCAAAAAGCATACTGGCTTCGCATCAAGGCTACTCACCCAACTAAAGCGTTTATTGTTCACGACAACAAAGACCCGGATCCTTTGGAAATCATGGTCGGTGTTTTTGTTTATTGTCTTTGTGATCATTTTCTTGTTTCTTCCAGAGCGGGTGGCATGCGTAGAAAGTCCTGGAATACACGAATTGCACTTTCTCTGGGCTTGTGTTTCTTTCGGTGCTCCCATTTTCTCATTTGACACATCCAATCCAAGGGTATGTCGCGCAGTTGGGAGTGTCTAGGGCTTTGAGTTTCATCTCTGTCTTGCAGCGCATCAATTTGGTTGCCGAGAAATATCTTTTAAGCGGACACATTGACGTGTACTCTCCCTTATATCCTGGAGAAAACAAACTGGAACAGAAGTTGCTGGTCGAGGTTTGGAACGCTAAAGACGGGAAGCCTATTGCCAATATCCACGCTCACCTTTTCTCTGAAGCCAACGAAACGAGTCCCATTGCAGTCTATGAGTATGTCTATTGGGCCCGTCTCGGGGATGCTCTTAGTTTCGTCCCACGATATGGGAGGTATGCGTCTTCCAACCTTCGAATGCTTATATTGCTGCGTATGAAACAGAGACCAAAATCAAACGGAGCAAGTTCTTCTATTCTATCCTCGAGAGCAAAACGTAAGCTACATTTTATTTTCAGTTGTCAGCTTTCAATTTGTATAATCAGGCCACTTTGGCTGTGGATGGCTGTCAACCGCGAGTACCTAGTTTTGCTGAACGACCGGCTGTGTACGTAACCGGGAGCATTGTTCCTGCACTGGAGGCAGTGAACATTGTGATAACTGCAGAAAAAGAAAGCAAAATCGGCCTTTTAAAAGCAGGAGAAGTGGCTATGAAAGTACTAACAGGAGACGATGGCGTTTTCGCAGCTGGTCCTCTTTATGACGACACCCCGTACATGGTTCATGCGGACAAGGTTCGTCCTGGATTATTTCAGAGCCTGTGATTATTGATACGTGTCTCGGATACCACTTCAAGCCCTTTGGAAAGAACTCTTTTCAATGCCAGAAGCTTGCTCAGATCCTCGTAAACATCATTGCTGGGGACGGCGCCGAGGAGATTCTTCCGTCCGTTCTTCTTTCGCTGAGCGGAGACGATGGATACAGGAAGAACGCTGTCGCGCCGCCGGGAGGCAAGTTCGCTTTCGACGGCATGTTTCCTGGCAGTTTTTACCTGCGACCTCTGCTTAAGGTACTCGTCCTTCTGGTGCTATCTCGTGAATGAATCTTTACATCTTTACAGGAGTATAGTTTTAGTCCGCCTGCTCAAGCCTTGGAACTCTTGTCTGGTGCAACTTTAGAGACAACCTTTATTGCATGTCGAAATTTTCATGTGAATTCCTTCGATGACGAGTTTGTTTCTGCTCTGTAGCATTTATGGAAGAGTCTCCTCCTTAACTGGGAAACCAGAAGAAGGCGTCACTGTGGAGGCACGTTCGGACTCTGGCCTTTATTATGAAGAAACCGCAACCGATGCTGATGGAAAATACCGACTAAGAGGACTTGTGCCCAATACAACGTATAACGTCAAGGTGGTCGTGAAAGAGGAAGTAGACGGTCCTCCCAGACTTGAACGTGCGTCTCCAAGCGTTTATCCAGTAGAGGTCCGAAAACCTTTTCGTGAGATTTTTCCAAAAGTAAGCTCCATTGTCTACTCCTTAGATCTCCACCAAGGACACCAGCTCAATCAACTTCGTGGCTTTTTGAGCACAGCTTGGCGACTGTGCTCTCTGGCCTCGTCGAGGGAAGTGATCTTGAGAAATGGCAACCGCACATATCCGTGGAGGTGGCCAGCATCTCAGAACCAGCGAAGAGGTACCTTTGCCGCTTTCCAGATTCTTTGAGATTCAAGGTCTTCCGAGGGGAAAGTACAGGTTGCGGCTTGTTTCCAAGATGGCCGTGCAGACGCACAAGTTTCACTCGGATGTTCTCGAGGTTGATTTTGCCGAGCGCAACAATATATTCTTAAACTCCGTCAAGTTGTATGCAGAGGAATACCATTACAAGCAGGTGAGACGGGAAACTAAAAATTTTCGTCTCTCTCGTGACAAGTGTGATTGCGGTCCAGGATTTAAATGCTCCTCCAGTACTTCCCGTGCTCATTGGTGTGTGATTGGTCTCTTCACTGCAATGCCAAGGTAAGCGAAGCCGATCAAACACATTGGCGATCTTTCCAGTGATTTCCATTCGTGTTTCTACAGCCTGAAAGATGGATACCAACGACTTCTCGCCAAAGACTTGCCACGAACAAGCCAAAGAAAAAGAAACTAAAACGCTAACTCGGAGGTTTTTTAAAAAGGGTGCCAGGTCTAGTTGATGACGCAGAGAGAAGAAGCGCCTGTGTGGGTGCAAGATGACATTGTGGAGCTGGTTCTCAGCTTTGTAGAGCTGGCCACACTGCGTCGGTGCTCTGCCGTTTGCAAGTCATGGAGGTCCATCATCAGCAATCCATCCTTTCGATGCCGTTGGTGTCAAAACAGTGGCGACCAAGAATCATTGGGGTTATGAATACCTCTGTCACCAACAGCGACCACTTTTTCGCCTGGGATCCATCACGTCCGAACCACAGTGTGGAGTTTGCATTGCCTCCACTGACCGCAGAAGTCGTTGCGTCCGCAGGTGGCCTGATATGCATCGTGAGCGATCCCCCCGAGCAACATCTGGGTGTGCTTAACCTGGTGGTGGGCAACCCAGTGACCCAAGAGTGGAGCGAACTACCACTATAACTAGCTCCTTTAGACGAGACTGCCCCAGCGTCCAAAGTTGATGAGATGAATAAATATCATACAAGAAAAACCTCCATCTGGATTGAGAAAAGCTCAAGGTCTTTATCATCTGCAGTCGATGAACTGATCCATTCCACTTCCAAATGTACAAGGACAGAGTGAGGTTGTATAGAGAGGGCACGGTGCATCGAGATCTCGTTTACTCCTTCACAGGTTTGTCCCTCCTGTGATCAGGTCCCAGCCTAACTGGAAACGCAGAAGAAGGCACCACTGTGGAGGCACGGTCGGACTCTGTTGTTTATTATGACTGATGCCGATGGAAGAGACCAAGTAAGAGGACTTTTGCCCAATACAATCCACCGAGACTTGAGCATGCATATTGTGGACCAGATCAATCGACTTCCTGGTTTTTGAGTCCTCGAGGGAAGTGGTCTTGAGAAATGGCAACCATACATAGCCGTGGAGGCGACCAACCAGAAGGGAGGTACCTTTGCCGCTTTCCAGTTACTTTTTGAATCTCACTCGGATGTTCTTGAGATTGATTTTGTCAAGCGCAAAGAGGATGCCATCACAGGCAGGTGAGACGAGGAACTAAAATCTTTGTTGGTCTTTTTGCAATGCCAACTTGAGTAGTATATTCTGTTTTTGAAAGAGATCTTATGAGCATGAAGGTGTTGCATTGATGAGGCACGCTCAGGCCTATCATAACGTGGATGGAGATGTCAGCATTGCCTCTTCTTCCGCGGCGAATGGCGTCGCCTAACACCCGGCCTTCTTCTCCGCGTGCTGCGACCTTTGTTTATCACATGGGTTGTAACATCTTTCCTTTGCAGCACAAAATCCTCCAAGAAATCCTTCAACGATGATGATCAGCTCGTCGATGCCGTCCTCACTCCTGCTGGATGGGAACAGGTACTTCCTTGAGCTTTTCTTCTTTGCACTGTTGTGGTTTTTGGATTTTCTTTGCTAATTACCTTTGACAAAAAGGTCAGGTTGCTACACTCCGCAAGATCGTCCGAGAAGCTGGCCTTGATCGCCGCATCCAGCTCGTGACAGTTTCACCCATGACGATCAAGTCTTTAGATACTTTCGTTTTCGTTAGGACGTTGCAAACAGCTACAGGAGTTTTCCGTGGTGCCGACAATGGAAGTGATTCCAGCCTGCCTTTGGTTGCTGTGGAGCTATGCCGAGAGCGCATTGTAAGTCGTTGTTCTATTGTATTGCAACAAGCTGATGCGTTTAGAGCGCACGAACTTCTGACAGGAGGCGGTCTATCAGCAGCTTCAAGGCACACTTTCCATCCGTCGACTTCTCACAGGTTTATTGTTCCTGTCCCGAAAGCTCTAATTCGAAACTGATGCGAAACCATTTGTAGATCGAAGAAGAAAGTGGCGTGTTGTGGAATGCCGAGACAGCCAAATCCCTGGCAGTGATGCAGCAGCGGATCAGACAGTTCCTGCAGTGGTATGTGAATGTGCCTCACAGCTGATTATACCATCCTTCTTACATTCTCTCTCCATCAGGCTGTGGGAGCGTAAAGAGGAGGAGATCATGGTGGCTTCTCATAGCAGCTTTATGTGGAACATGCTCAAGCGCTCCAACGTTGTGTATGTAGCTCTTTGTTGGTCATGCTATAATCTGTGTTTTCGATATTTTTTTAGACTTCCCAACCCTCAGCTCAAGACTGTCCTACTCACTTGATTGGCAGAACAGGATTTTGGCATTCTTCTTCAGGCTAGTTCTGTGATCTGGGCATGGAGAGGTGTGACTCCATTGATTTCTCAAGTTTCTATTGATTGTGTAGTGCATCTCTGACAGAAATTCGTGATTTGGGCATAAAGAGGTGAGGAGGAGCTTTCTTTCGAAATATCATTCTCTTGCTGCTTGCTCATCGATTTTTTATCGTAATTTCTACTTTCTATTGGTTCACAATGCATTTCACATTTTTCTTCTAGCCAAAACCCATTTTTCTGCTGGAAGAAGAAAGTCGGATGCACTGTGAAATCGATAGAAACTTGAGATTACGATGTGAAATCGATAGAGTGAACATCGACACACTTCTTTATGTCTGGATTGCGGATTTCCATTGGAAGAAGAAGGTCGGATGCATTGCGAAATTGATAAAAATTTAAGATTATGATGTAAAATCGATAGAGCAAGTGGCAATGCACCTCTCCATGCCTAGATCGTGGAACTGGCTGGAAGAAGAATGCTGGAAGAACATTGGATGCTGCAATATCTAGGGGAAGTGGAGATTATAAGAAGAAATCAATGAAATGAGCGTCAAGAGATCAATATTTACTCCAATCTCACCTCTCCTGGCCTAGATCGCTCTCGAAAGCCTCTGGAAACCCTCGTATGGACAAGCAAAATGCCCAAGGAGGTTTTAAAGGAAGGGTATATACCTAGGCTTGGAATATTCTTCAACGGTGTTGTCCAAGAATCCTAAAAACAGAGGGGTGAAGTGTAGGGCTTAAGGCGCGGGGGATGGCGTCGGCTGCGAATCATCTCGTGTGGTGTGCCGCATTTCAGCTCGGCGCAGTCCGGCGAGCATCTTGCCTCACCACTTGCAGGTAAATCTTTGCGGGAGCTCGGTCGCCCATATCTGCTCGTGAATCCGTAGGTTTCTCGGCGTCTCTGAGACTTTGGTGCGGCAGCGAGTGCCTGGCGCTCGTCATCGGGCCTTTGCATCGTCTGTAGCGGCAGAATCCGAGACGGAAATATCGCCACCATCGCCATCACCGCACAAAATTCCTCTCCCAACCAATGAGTCATGCGAGGAGTTGCTCCGGATGCGCCATACGGTAGTGTAACATCTTTTCTGGACATTTCTCAAAGTCTTGAGCTCGTCTTGCTCGTTTAAATCTTCGCAGTGTGCTCACGTGATGGCTATGGCGGTCCAGACACTCTATCCAGACGCTAAAGTTACAATTGGGCCGTGGATTGAGAAAGGATTCTACTACGACTTCGACCTCAAAGAACCACTGTCGGACAAGGATTTGAAGAAGATAAAGAAGGAAATGGTAAGTGTTTGCTCAAGAATGTGAGCCACTGAAACTGGTCTTTAGGATCGCATCATTGGCCGGAATTTACCTCTGAGACGAGAAGAAGTATCGAGAGAAGAAGCCAAGGATCGAATTATGTCTATCAACGAAAAGTACAAGCTGGAAATACTAGAGGATATCAAAACAGAACCCATTACAATATACCACATTGGTGAGGAACATACTTTGCTTGCTCCTTCCCTCACTTCCTTCGAAAGTTTTCAGGCAATGACTGGTGGGATCTTTGTGCTGGTCCACACGTTGAAAGGACCGGCCAGCTTAACAGGAAAGCCATTGAGCTTGAGTCCGTCGCTGGAGCTTACTGGAGAGGTGATGTCAAGAGACAGATGCTTCAGCGGATTTATGGAACTGCTTGGCAGACGGAAGAGCAGCTCAAAGCGTATCAAACGCAAAAGGAGGAAGCGAAGAGACGTGATCACCGTCGACTTGGCCAAGACCTTGAGCTTTTCTCAATCCAGGTAGAGGTTTTTCTTGGATGATATATCATTTCATCTCATCAACTTTTGGTACAGGAGGACGCCGGGGGCGGTCTCGTCTTCTGGCATCCTAAAGGAGCTTTGATTCGCCATTTGATCGAAGACTACTGGAAGAAAGTCCACCTGAGACGAGGATACGAGCTACTCTACACACCTCACGTTGCAAAGGCCGAGTTGTGGAAAACAAGCGGGCATTTGGATTTTTACAAGGAGAACATGTTCGAGCAGATAAAGATCGAAGAGGAGTTTTATCAGCTGCGGCCGATGAACTGTCCGTTCCACATCCAAATCTACAAGGACAGAGTGAGGTCGTATAGGGAGCTTCCCATCAAGTTTGCGGAGCTAGGTACGGTGTATCGCTACGAGCTGAGCGGTGCTCTTCACGGACTATTCCGAGTCCGGGGCTTTACACAGGCAAGTCCTTAACATTTGGAAGCTTCTGATCTTTTCTGTTATTGTTTCAGGATGATGCACATATATTTTGCCTTCCAGAACAGATTAGAGGTGAAATCAAGAGCGTTTTGGACCTGACAGAGGAGATCCTTTCTCAGTTTGGCTTTCAAAACTATGAGATCAACCTGTCAACAAAACCGGAAAAGGCTGTCGGTAGTGATGATATCTGGCACAAAGCAACGGAAGCTTTGAAAGACGCTATAAGTGACAAAGGTTGGACGTATGGAATTGACGAAGGCGGTGGTGCTTTCTACGGTCCAAAAATTGATCTCAAGATTGAGGATGCTATTGGCCGGACGTGGCAATGTTCGACAATCCAGGTAACGCTTACATGATTCTTCATGCTCTGGCAGCTTATGTTTGATTCTCCTCCAGGTGGATTTCAACCTTCCCGAGCGTTTCGATCTTACATACGTGGATCCCAGTCAGGCCAGAAAGCAGCCCATCATGATCCACAGGGCGATATTTGGATCCATTGAGAGGTTTGTCGGCATTCTTATAGAGAGTTACGCTGGTGACTTCCCATTATGGATCGCTCCTGTTCAAGCCCGCCTTCTCCCAGTCACGGACACTGAGGTAAGTCGCGTTTGTTCTCTGTGGAGCAAGTATTCTAAAGAAACGCCTGTCCACTCTTGCAGCTGCCTTACTGTAAGCAGGTCCTGGCAAGGCTTAGAGAAAAGGACATTCGAGCAGAGATTGCGTGCGGTGAGCGGCTCTCCAAGCTGATTCGTAATGCCGAGGTTCAGAAGATTCCGCTCATGGCAGTGGTTGGTCCCAAGGAAGTCGAAGCTCAGACTTTGACTGTTCGCACCAGACACGGGGGAGAACTCGGCACCCTCAGCGTAGACGAGGTGATTGACAGAATCGAAACGGCCGTGGCAACCAGAGGAATTCTCTAAATCAAGAGCAAAGTTATAAGTTACTGGACAGCGTCACAGGTACTGGACAGCAGGGATGGAAAGTTATCGTCACAGGCAACTTCGAGCTTTGACGCTGGTATGTTTACTCGTGCTGTGCGTCCTGCTCTATGCCAGATCTGGAGGACAGGGTATTGATAGTGCTAGTGAGCAGCTGGGACCAATTGGAAAGTCCATGGTAGACATGCTAGGTGGACAGGATTTGGATCTGGCATTCACGAGCTTCGTCCCGAGCGAGGCCATTCTGGACAAGCTCGTAAAGCCCTCAGGAGAGGACAGTAACAGGGACGGGAATAGGCAGGCGCTGCTCTCTCGCTTGCTGGCTTCCAGCTCGGTTCCCAGCCGAATTAGTTCCACGAGTTTGAGGCCGGGCGAGCAGCTCCAAGTCGAGACCATATCCGGGTACAAGCTGAGCTTGGGGGTGGACGTGAATAGGGGCCTGGTGGTGAATGGGATGCGTTGCGTGGCCAGGGACCTGAGGATTGGAGAAATGCTCGTGGTTTACATTGTCAAAGGTGTGATTATGGACCCGGAATTGAGGAGATCTGTCCTTGATCTCGATCCAGACAGCACATAATGCAACATGATGCAGTAAGTGGTACGTAAAAAAAATGACGGAACTAGAAAGAAAGATAATTGGTTTTGGTCACTCACGCTGGCTTTAATTACAGGGATTGAACCTGGCTTCTCAAGTCAATGAAACCAGCTTTCAAGTGCTTTAAAAAACTTCTCTCCACCAGAGAAAGGATGGTGCTAGCTCTCGAGTGGTAAGATATTGTTTTCTGCAGCACACACACACACACACACACACTCAGGTATGAGATCTCGCTCGGCTTGGCAACTTGTTTTGTAGCTCCGAAACCAAGCAGGACGATCTAGCGAATCCTTGAGAATAGTGGTACAGGGCATTTGCCTTTGATGAATTGCTTAATCTCGGGGTCCAGATCCCGAGCGTGTTGTTCCAGGAGAGATTTGTGTGTCGCGCATCCAGAGAACATCTACACTTAAAACAACACTTTGTCTCGCGAGTCGCGACTGCGATGGCGCACAGTGGGGGTGGGGGAGTCACAAGAAAAATGGATGCAAGCCAGGGAAATGCTTGTTTACTCGCTTCTATAATGCTTTGGAAGTCGAGAGTCAGGGCTCTCAGGTCCTTCGCGCTCCAGTAGCAGGCATCATAGTCGCGAGTCCCCATCTCTCTCTTTTCCCATTTCTTTATAGAATCTTAGTCTAGGATAAAAGCACCCAGAGGAGCTGGCACTCCAGAGATTTGATCCCAGATCACATATATGTACGAATTTGCATGGTTGATTCACTCGCAAGGAAATGATGCTGGTTTAGGGTTCCTGGGATTGGAGTGTGTTACATTGTTGTTTGGTCCGTAATGCCGCCTAGGGTTCTTGGTTATAGGTAGCTATAGTGGTAGTGGTGGCAGTAATAAAACAGGAGTGAAAGTTAAAACTTTCTTTCACCATCGCTCCAGGGAAAACGACAGTGCGTCCAGAGTGAGCAGAGCGCAGCCCTTTCATCTCTTTTTTTTGACCCCTCTCATGAAAGATGCAGTGCAGTGCTTGAGTGAAAGAAATTTGATCCTTTTGGACATTCCACATAAAATCCCTCCATTATTTTGAAAGAAAAAAAAGGTGAAAAGTAGGTTTCGGGGGTGGGCTGGCATCGAACCCCGGACCAGGCGCTGCCATTTCGCTCTCCGCCGTCGGATCTATCCACATCGCGAGCGCCAAAGATTCGCGTGTCGCTTTCCCATTTAACTCTGGGGCGTATTGCGTAGAGCGCGGTGAAATACCCACTAGCGCAGGAGGTGTATTTGACTCGCAGGTAAAAAACTAATCATGCCGGCAAATGCAGCGCATTGGCGGATTTGAGCGGGCCCATTCTAATCGATTCTAATCGGCGGAATGGCGAGAATATTCCTCGTCACGAAATCTCCGTTTTGTCCGTGTATGCCCATCCAACGGCACTGCGTGGCGCCACGTCGCCGGGGCACAACATACATGAACAAACGAGGAGAAGAGGAGGCGGCTATGGCCATGGCGATGGCGCCCTCTCTGTGAGAATCCCTCCCTATACCTACATTCTCTCTCCTCGATCGCCTCCGCCAATCCCTTCTTCGTGACGGCGGATCGATGATACTCTTCCTCGCTGGGTGAGAGCTCTTCCTCTCGCGATCGGATCTTCGCTAGTCGATCGAGCGAGCGGCGCTGGGCAGGGATCGCCAGGGAGTTACCGCAGGCTTGGGGATCGCGCGGGCCGAAATATTTTGGGATTCGATCAAGAATGCGTGCCACAGCCGTGACGGCATTGCGCCACTCGCGATCGATCGCATCATAGGGCTGGCCATGGCAACGGGCTGATTATCTATCTGGTACGCTCGCTTTCTTCGCTTGCTTGGTATCATAGACTAAATCATCAGTTACATTGCGTTCCTCACACAGGCCAGCGGGGAGTAGCAGCTGGACAGCAGGAGTATTTCTAGCGAGCGCTCAGCCGATCGAGCACTGATCTCCATCCGCTGAAGAAGAAGAAGAAGCAAATGGCCCTGCCCTTGTTCCTGCTACTGCTACTGCTACTGTTGCATCAAGCGATCGACGCCGCACCCACTGCCGATGCCACAGCCGCGGAGCTCCAAGCCCTTCTCTCCTTCAAGCAAGCGCTCACTGGCGGCTGGGATGCTCTCGCCGACTGGTCAGATAAGTCCGCCTCCAATGTGTGCGCTTTCACGGGGATCCACTGCAATGGGCAGGGCCGGATCACTTCTCTCGAGCTTCCGGAGCTCAGTCTCCAGGGACCTCTCTCGCCATCGCTCGGGAGCTTGAGCAGCTTGCAACACATTGACTTGAGTGGCAATGCTCTGTCCGGGAGTATCCCCGCCGAGATTGGATCGTTGAGCAAGCTGGAAGTTCTCTTTCTCGCTAGCAATCTTCTCTCGGGGAGTCTGCCGGACGAGATCTTTGGCCTGAGCAGTTTGAAGCAGCTGGACGTGAGCTCCAATCTCATCGAGGGAAGCATTCCGGCCGAGGTTGGCAAGCTCCAGCGTCTCGAGGAGCTGGTGCTCAGTCGAAACTCTCTCCGTGGCACTGTTCCTGGCGAGATTGGATCGCTTCTCAGACTCCAAAAGCTGGATCTCGGAAGTAACTGGCTCTCGGGAAGCGTCCCATCGACGTTGGGCTCTCTCCGAAACCTCAGCTATCTCGATCTCAGCAGCAACGCTTTCACCGGCCAAATTCCTCCGCACTTGGGCAACTTGTCGCAGCTCGTCAACCTCGACCTTTCCAACAATGGCTTCTCCGGGCCTTTCCCGACGCAGCTCACGCAGCTCGAGCTCCTCGTCACCCTGGACATCACCAACAATTCGCTGTCGGGTCCCATTCCTGGGGAGATTGGACGTCTGCGAAGCATGCAAGAGCTCAGCCTGGGTATCAACGGTTTTAGTGGGAGTCTTCCGTGGGAGTTTGGGGAGCTCGGCAGCCTCAAGATTCTCTACGTTGCCAACACCCGCCTCTCGGGGTCTATACCTGCGAGCCTTGGAAACTGCAGCCAGCTCCAGAAGTTTGATCTCTCCAACAACTTGCTCAGCGGTCCTATCCCCGACTCGTTTGGAGACCTGGGCAACCTCATTTCGATGAGCCTGGCGGTGTCACAGATCAACGGGAGCATTCCAGGAGCTCTTGGAAGGTGTCGAAGCTTGCAAGTCATCGACCTTGCTTTCAATCTACTGTCAGGCCGGCTGCCCGAGGAGCTGGCTAATTTGGAGAGGCTGGTGTCCTTCACTGTGGAGGGGAACATGCTTTCGGGGCCGATACCGTCGTGGATTGGGAGGTGGAAAAGGGTGGACTCCATACTGCTTTCTACCAACAGCTTCACGGGAAGTCTTCCTCCGGAGCTTGGCAACTGCAGCTCTCTCCGAGACCTGGGAGTCGACACCAATCTCTTGTCCGGGGAGATTCCAAAGGAGCTTTGTGACGCTCGGGCCTTGAGTCAGCTGACGCTCAACAGGAACATGTTTTCCGGAAGCATCGTGGGGACATTTTCCAAGTGCACCAACTTGACGCAGTTGGATCTCACGTCCAACAATCTCTCCGGGCCACTTCCGACCGATCTGCTTGCGCTTCCGCTGATGATCCTCGACTTGAGTGGGAACAACTTCACAGGGACACTCCCGGACGAGCTCTGGCAGTCGCCGATTCTGATGGAGATATACGCAAGCAACAACAACTTTGAGGGCCAGCTTTCACCACTGGTCGGAAACTTACACAGTCTGCAGCACTTGATCCTCGACAACAACTTCCTCAACGGCTCACTTCCTCGTGAGCTTGGAAAGCTTTCCAACTTGACTGTCCTTTCGCTCTTGCACAACCGCTTGTCCGGCTCCATTCCAGCGGAACTTGGTCACTGCGAGAGGTTGACTACCCTCAACTTGGGGAGCAACTCGCTGACGGGGTCTATTCCCAAAGAAGTTGGCAAGCTCGTGCTGCTCGACTACTTGGTGCTGTCCCACAACAAGCTCACCGGTACCATACCGCCAGAGATGTGCTCCGACTTCCAGCAGATTGCCATTCCGGACTCGAGCTTCATCCAGCACCACGGTATACTCGACTTGTCGTGGAACGAGCTCACGGGTACCATACCTCCGCAAATCGGTGACTGCGCAGTGCTGGTTGAGGTTCACTTGCGGGGGAACCGGCTCTCAGGTAGCATTCCCAAGGAGATTGCCAAGCTCACCAACCTGACGACCTTGGATCTTTCCGAGAATCAGTTGAGTGGAACGATTCCTCCACAACTCGGCGACTGCCAGAAGATTCAAGGACTGAACTTTGCAAACAATCACCTCACTGGCAGCATTCCGTCCGAGTTTGGCCAGCTCGGTCGCCTGGTGGAGCTCAACGTCACTGGCAACGCGCTATCCGGGACATTGCCGGACACCATTGGGAACTTGACGTTTCTATCTCATCTGGACGTGAGCAACAACAATCTCAGTGGTGAGCTACCGGACTCGATGGCACGCCTGTTGTTCCTTGTCGGGCTCTACGTCCAGAACAATCGGCTTACCGGGGACATCCGTGGCCTTCTCACTGAAAGTGCTGCATGGCACCAAGTACAGGTTTTGGATCTCAGCCATAATTTATTTCGAGGAGCGATACCAAGCAACATCGGTAACTTATCTGGTCTCTCGTACCTCAGTCTCAAAGGCAATGGCTTCAGCGGTGCTATTCCTACGGAGCTCGCCAACTTGATGCAGCTCAGCTACGCAGACGTCTCCGACAACGAGCTGACAGGAAAGATACCCGACAAGCTTTGCGAGTTCTCCAACCTGAGCTTCTTAAACATGTCCAACAACAGGCTGGTTGGTCCCGTCCCAGAGCGATGCAGCAACTTCACTCCACAGGCGTTTCTCTCGAACAAGGCTCTCTGTGGCAGCATTTTTCACTCCGAATGCCCGTCAGGGAAGCACGAAACGAACAGCTTGTCGGCGTCAGCTCTGCTCGGGATCGTGATAGGCAGCGTGGTGGCATTTTTCAGCTTCGTCTTTGCGCTGATGAGGTGCCGGACGGTCAAGCACGAGCCTTTCATGAAGATGTCCGACGAAGGCAAGCTGAGCAACGGCTCCTCCATAGATCCTTCGATGCTGTCCGTGAGCAAAATGAAGGAGCCTCTGAGCATCAACGTCGCCATGTTTGAGAGACCTCTTCCGCTGAGGCTGACGCTGGCCGACATCTTACAAGCAACTGGCAGCTTCTGTAAGGCCAACATCATTGGAGACGGTGGCTTTGGGACGGTGTACAAGGCCGTTCTTCCCGACGGGAGGAGCGTCGCGGTGAAGAAGCTGGGCCAGGCGCGGAACCAAGGCAACCGGGAGTTTCTGGCGGAGATGGAAACGCTTGGCAAGGTGAAGCACCGGAACCTGGTCCCGCTGCTGGGCTACTGCTCGTTTGGCGAGGAGAAGCTGCTCGTCTACGACTACATGGTGAACGGGAGCCTCGACTTGTGGCTGCGAAACCGAGCGGACGCTCTTGAAGTCCTCGACTGGCCCAAGAGGTTTAAGATCGCGACGGGGTCGGCTCGGGGCCTGGCCTTCCTCCACCACGGACTGGTGCCGCACATCATCCACAGGGACATGAAAGCTAGCAACATCCTCCTGGACGCGGAGTTTGAGCCTCGGATAGCCGACTTCGGCCTCGCCCGTCTCATCAGCGCTTACGAAACTCACGTCAGCACGGACATCGCGGGGACTTTCGGCTACATCCCTCCGGAGTATGGCCAGAGCTGGAGATCCACAACCAGGGGGGACGTGTACAGCTATGGAGTGATCCTGCTGGAGATCTTGAGCGGCAAGGAGCCAACCGGGATCGAATTCAAGGACGTGGAGGGAGGCAACCTCATCGGATGGGTGAGGCAGATGATCAAGCTCGGGCAAGCAGCCGAGGTGTTGGACCCGGACATCTCCAACGGGCCCTGGAAGGTGGAGATGCTCCAGGTGTTGCAAGTCGCGAGCCTTTGCACAGCCGAGGATCCGGCGAAGAGGCCCAGCATGCTCCAAGTCGCCAGGTATCTCAAAGACATCGAATCTAACAGCTCGGCCGGATCGGTGGGGGTGGCGCCGCCGCCCCAAACTCCACTCCAAAGCGTCGGGGTTTGAGTCTAGTGATCTTCTTTCTCTTCTCATGTACACTACTGAAAAGCTTCATTGTTCTCCATAGCTGAGCTTCTGAAAGTACAAAAATTTGAATTTGAATTGACTTTGAATTCAGGCGGGATGTTGTGCATACGTGGCGCTTGATGTGCCACGTGGACGAAAGGTCTTGAGTTTTAGGGCTCCTGGCGGAGATGCCCCCTCGCAGCAGCGGCATGGATGATTCTGGACAGCGCCTGCGCAGTGTGGATCTGGAAATGCGGCGGTGAGAGATTGGAAGATGTAAGCGCCGGATCCATCGATCTTTGGTGTGTGAGTGACCGTGGCGTGGAATGAATACCAGGAAGAATAAAAAGTGCGGGGGATGTGGGGAGGACCTTGACATCGCCAGGCTGAGGCAGGAGATCATCCGGATGCACGAGAGGGAGAATCACGACCTGTTGGATCACCTCAAGAGCCTCGAGAGTGCGATCCAGGACAAGAAGCTCAAGCTTTTGGAGAAGGAGCTCGATGGCAAGCACAAGATCACGTGTGAGTATGAATCCCGATGCAAAGACGACGATGGTGGGAGCATAAGTTTGAGCATCGACGTGGAGAAGAAGGATGGGCTCCTCCGGAAAGAACAAGGCAGAAGAAAGGCAAGCTCTTATCGTTTTTTCTCGGTCGAGATGGTGATGTGATGTTCTTCTTTCTCTCCTTTCCAGCAACTTTTGCAGCGTGTTTTGGCACTCGAGGATGAAGTGCGACGGGTCCAGCGGAGGAAAGAGCGCGAGAGGAAGTTTTTCGAGGTGGAGAATGATACGCTCCAGAGGAAGGCAACAATAGGTTGGATATTGGGCACTCTGTCTGGTAATTCTGCCAAAGAGTGTGCTCTTCTCTCCATTTCTTTTCCTTGCTCGTTTTTCCTATGTTTTCAGTCTTGAATGAGCAGCTTGGTTGCAGATATCGTCCTGGAAGACAAGCCTCAAGGCGGAGCCGAGTGCATCATGAGGCTGGCACGCAAGATCCAGCGGGAGTTGGAGACGAGAGAAACCGCGGCCGAGCTGGACCGCCTGGAGCGGGACGTGGAAAGGCTGGTCGACTACGCGGACTCTCGGCCGGGGATCACACTGGACATTGAAGGGAATGGGCCTCAGGTAATTTTGAGCTGGAAGAAGGATCATCACAGCCAGCAGAAGAGTTCGTCGCGTCGTTGTCGTCGTCGGCGTTGTCGTCCCTGTAGAACAGGCCAGTAAGCCAGTCCTCGAGAGTTTTCGCACAGTAACGGGTGTTAAGTTAGTTCCAGGAGCTTTGCAAAGATCGGAGCTTCACCTCTTCAATCCAGATGTAAGCTTTGCTTTGCTTTCCTCGTTTCTCTCCTCGACTAATCATCCGTGTGTGCTTCTCCAGAGAGACGAAGCCAGCCGGCAAGCTTTCCAAGTGCTCGAGTTTCGTCACCTCGTGCTTGAGCCGGGGTTCGAGTGGCATCAACCCGAGCGGATCGAGAGGGAGGAGCCCCTGCTCTCGACCGTCCTCTCGAGGCGGCTCTCGATCCAGAGGACACAGCCCGAGAGGTGGCGGTGGTGGCTCCGTGGTGTCGGTGGAGATCAGCAGAAGTCCATCACCCTGCGCGTGCTCGGACGACGAGCCGAGAAGAAAAGCGCGAAGGCTTTGGGCGGAGGTGAAGCTGTCGAGCAGCCGGAGCGAGGAGGAGGAGCGAGTGGAGGCGGCGCTGGAGAGCATCCGGAGCAACCTCGAGTATCTCATCGACCAGGAGAAGATGAAGCGATGGCAGGAGGCCCAGATCCGGCACTTGGGATACTACCCGCAGGAGCGACTGCCAAGATCGGCGCTGTGGTATCCGCCGCAGCTCATGTGATTTTCCACCATGATCATACAAGCCAAGAATTTTTTTTTCTGCCAGAAACCTAGTTACCCTTTTTAACGGGGCCCCTTTAGATTACTATATAAAGGGGGCGCGGTTAGCTTTAGGGTTTGTGTAGCTTTAGGGTTCGTGGAAATTCTAGGGCTTGTGATGGCGAGGGCGAAGAGGAAGCAGCGCAATGGCAAGACTGCCAAGGGGGCCGACGCTATGGCGCCGCTGCCGCCACTGCCGCCACTGCCGCCGGTAAAGAAGGAGGAGGGTGTGGAGATTGAATACGTCCCGGAGGAGATTGGAGGTGATGATGTCTTGGCCATTCAGTTTGTCAATGTGTTTGCCAGGTTTTCCGAGGCCAAAAAGGATGAATCGCAGCCAAAGGACGAGCAAGATGAGGGAAAGGTGAGGAAGGACGCCCACGCCCTCCTCCGCCGGGATTTGGAGGAGGAGATTGACGATGGCGGGGATATGGGAGGAGGAACGGGGGCTGGCAGCCTGGTGGATCCCAACAAGAAGCTGCCCAAGAGAGAGCGCAAGAAGAAGATCCAGACCAGGGTCGCGGAGCTCAAGAGCAAGTGCAGGAACCCGTCGGTGGTGGAGGTGTGGGACGCGAGCGCCCCCGACCCGGAGCTCCTCATCTATCTCAAGTCGTACAGGAACACGGTGCCGGTGCCGCGCCACTGGTCCGAGAAGGGCCGCTACCTCTCGAGGAAGCTGGGCAAGGAGCGGTCGAGCTACAATCTCCCCGACTACATCGCGGCCACGGGCATCGGCAAGATGCGCGAGGAGCTGCGGGAGAAGGAGGCGAGCAAGAGCCTCAAGCAGAAGCAGAGCTCCAAGATGAAGGGCAAAGTTGGCAAGCTCAACCTCGACTACCAGGTGATGTACAACGCCTTCTTCAAGTACCAGACCAAGCCGCGGCTGTCCGGATTCGGCGACATGTACTACTGGGGGAAGGAGGAGGACGACGTGACGGAGAAGCGGCGGCGGTTCAAGCCGGGAACTCTGAGCACCGAGCTGCGCAACGCACTGGGAATCGGTCCCGGCGACTTCATGCCGTGGATCTACAACATGCAGACGTATGGCCCCCCGCCCTGCTACCCGGGCCTCCAGATCCCGGGAGCTCGCGACGCGCAGCCCATCTACGTGAACGAGAACTTGGGACTGGACCGGCGGCGCTGGGGGGATCTGGACGAAGAGGAAGAGGAAGAAGAAGAGGAGGAGGAGGAGGAGGAGGAGCAACAGGAGGAAGTGGAGGACGCAGCGCAGCTGATTGAGCCGAGCGAGGCTGGAAGCGAGGAGCAGGAGCAGCTGACGATCGACAGCGGCTCGGCGTCGGTGGTAAGCGAGCTGGAGCTGAGGAAGACCAGCAGCCGGTCGGCGGCGGTGGCGGCGGCGGCGGCGGTATCAGCCGCGGTGGCGTCCCAGCAGCAGCAGCAGCAACTCTACCAGGTTGTCCAGCAGGAGGGCGTGACGATTGCCTCGGATGCTCTCCTGGCGCCGGACCACCGATACATCGTCCCGGATGCTGGCTCCAAGGCGGCGGTGGCAGCTTCCAGTTCCAAGGCTGGCAATGCGGTGGCGGTGGGGCGGCGTGGCGGTGCCAACAGCCGGGTGGAGGTGACGCTGCGTCCCGAGGAGCTGGAGCGCGGTGTGGAGGAGAAGGACATCCGGGACAAGTACGAGGAGGCGCGGACCGCGAACCAGCCGCAGACCGAGGACTTTAGCGACATGGTGGCGGATCATGTGAGGGAGAAGAGCCGGAAGCGCAAGGAGAAGCAGCAGGCATCGGGCAGCAAGAAGCAAAAGTTCAAGTTCTAGCCGCGGCCAAGAACAAAGCAAAGCGGTGGTTCTTCTCAAGAACCTTGGGGAGCGAAGATAAAAGGTGGTGATGAGCTCTAGGATTTGTGTTGTATCGCTTCTGACGTTTTGGTTTTTCTATGATCTAGGATTGTTTCGTGATTTCTTCTCCAGTGAAGCTCTAAAGTATGTAGACGCGTGTTTGTTTCTTACAAAGGGTTTTATATTATTCTTTCTACAGTTTATCCATACGTCGTTCTCATGGCGGGCATGGCTGCTGCTAGTGGAGCTCCGCGGGTGTTTACGTCGCCCATGCCGAGCTATGGCGTCACCGCGCGCTCGCCGCTGGTCCTGGGCAGTAGCTTCGTGCCGCATTCTTCCTCGAGGACGATCATCGCGTCGCCGGCGCGGCTGATCTTCGAGACGAGCACGAGTAGGATCAGCATGGCCTGGGCGGGAAGCCTGGCGTCCATTCGGCTCGTCATCCAGGGCAAGCATTTGGAGGTGAGTGACGAGTGCTCGCACGATCGCTTTGCTACAAATCTTTTGGCGATGATGGGCACAGCTCACGGAGGCGCTCAAAGCTTATGTGGAGGACAAAGTCGGCAAGGCCGTGCACAATCACGCGTATCTGGTGATGGAGGTGGACGTTCGCTTGTCCGTGCGCGGCGGCGAGAGTGGCAGGGGACAAAAGCTCCAGAAATGCGAGGTAGTTCTTTCTTGTCTTTGGATCAATCGTGGTCGTGATGGATTCGATCCAACAGGTGACCATGTTTACGAAGAAGCACGGTGTCGTGCGAGCCGAGGAAGCGACCGATAGCATGTACTCGGCCATCGACCGGGTGTCGGACGTGGTGGCCAGGAAACTCCGCAAGATCAAAGAGAAGGACGGACATGGCCGGCGCTTGCCATCGCACGTCGGGGAGATCCTCTCCAGGGAATCGTCTACCGCTCCTCCAACCCCGGCTGTGGAGGAGCCTGACTTTCCAGACGAGGTGAGTGAGCGATTGATGATCCACTGCTCTCTCGATGATCATTGTTTTGGTTCTGCTAGATTGTGAGAACCAAGATCTTTGACATGCCACCCCTCAAGATCAACGACGCAATGGACCACATGGCAAACATTGGCCATGATTTCTACGCGTTCAGGAATGCCGAGAGTGGTAAGCTCGCGAGATCTATCGTCACGATTTCTTATTCCCATCTTCCAGGCGAGGTGAACATCCTCTACAAGAGGAAAGAAGGCGGCTACGGAATCATCATCCCCAGGGAAGGCGAGGTGGAGGAGGGCGAGGAAGACAACAAGAATGCGTAGAGGAGGCTCCAGAGTTTTGGAAAAACAGGTATTCTAACCTGTGTGCCGATGGAGCCTCACTGGCGGCCCGGATCAAGGCCTCGACGCGGCTCTCCAGCCTCCGGGAGTTCCACGCGCGAGTCATGGACGTGTACAGCAAATGGGGAGGCACGATCGCCATTACGTGGAAAATCTTGCTGGTTCATCTCGCTCGAATGCCTACACTGGGTATATGTCAAGGCGAAAAAGCTGTTCTATGATCTTCGTGAGTTTCTTGAAACTCCATGCTTGGATGGTATAGCTAGATTGTGCAAGCCACAATGTTGCTTGATCTGATGGCATGCGTAGACTTGGAATGCCGAGAATGGGAATCTCAAAACCACGTTTTAGACGACGAACCTGTTGTTCAAGATCCGAAGCTACCGCAATCGCTCGTCTTGTCCGCAAGAGACGTGTTGTTCTCCACGATCCGATGGCGTTTCAGGTGGAAATGCGTCAAGGAGCTATGGCGGATGAGCAGCTTGTCGCTTTGCACGATAGGCGGGAGGTCCACCTTATTCCCAATTCGTGTCAACGCTTCCTCGCCTGGATTCTCTGTCGGTGCCGAGACGCGTTCTTGAGACTCAATCTTTTGCGGTTCCCCGGGTATATTCTGATACCCAGAATATTTTCTTGCCACGTAAACAAGTCAACCATCAAATTTAATTTAAATCGCGAGGGTTTAAGGGCTAGGGTTCTTCTTTGGTGTAGCATTTTACCGATAAATTCAGGCTGGCTGGGCCATGGATTGCTTTTGGTCCTGGCACGACGATCGATGCCAAGCCGACGATTGATGCCGACGCAGTGATCGCTGATGTGAAGTAATGGATTGATCTCTTAGAATTCCAATTCCAATTTATCTTCTTTTCTGCAGTACAAATGTTGATTGGACGAGAGCTTGGGTGCGGAGTGACGGTAGAGCTCCGTTTGAAGAACGAGAGCTGTTCATTTATCCAAGGTTAGTCCTACTGTATAAATTCGGTTCTTTCATGAATGATATAGTGGTATGTAACGTAGGACAAGGGGCACTCTCTTTGCCAGGAAAGGAGGCAGTCGAGTGTGGGCGAGCGTGAGGACTCACATACAATTCACCGTTCAAGTTGAGATTGAATCTAGATGTCGTCTTCCAGAATTTCGACAGGCACATCAACTTGTCAACGACGTGAAAAGCATCATCGAATTATATTTCTTGACGCACGCTAAGGGACTGGAAATTCACATCCAGATCCATGACTACGAAGGGTATGTGTTCTTTAGATCCATAATCTTCATTCTCGTGTCTTTTTGGTTTTTCTTTTTTTGTATTGCAGAAGTGTCATTGATGTTTCTTTACTTGCTGCTATAGCTGCTCTTGTCTCCTTGGGAGATCAGCCTCTTACTGAAACGGTGAGTCAGCAATAAACTTTCTAGACTTAATCTGGATTTAACATTTCCAGGTTATACATGATATCCCAGTTGCCATTACCTTTGGATTCTTTGCTGATGGAGGGCCAGTAGTAAGCTATTCGACCTTTCTTTCTTTTGCTGCATCCGACTGTGATATATTTCCATGTTTTTGTAGGTCGTGGATCCAAGCGAACGAGAGGAAGCTCTTATAAAGAGTTCCTTGACACTGATTGTGTCACAAGCAGGAAAACTCCTTTTCCGGAAAAAAGAAGGAACAACAAAATGGAGTGAGCAACTTTGGCGTGTTTTAAAATCTAGGATTGCCAACATGGTTATGTTTATAAACGCATGGGTATGTCTCAGTATATTCTCTTTCTTCCTGCTGAAAATCTGTCTTTCACAGGTTGAAAGACAAGAGAAGCTTTGTTGCTTCTACAATAGCAAGCAGAAGCCTCCTGGAGCAGGGTTCCAAGGCGTGCAAGCAACCTGGTATGATTCATTCCAGCATTCAAATGAAGCTGAATGGCATTCTTTCAGGAAATACACGCCCAAGATTTTTGGCACACCTGAAGCACCATCAATCTCTCGACAACTTCCTCTCCCATATTGGGCTTGTGAGCGTCAGGACTCGGCTGGTGAGCATTTGTCCATTCGGAGGATCGATGCCAGCGCGCTTCATCGTCTCCAACTGGAACAGCGTAAGTAGCTTTTCTTTAGTTTTTTTGTTTATTTTTCACCAAACTAACTGTAGGACGAAGAGTCAAAGGGAGTTATAAGCTACTGCAAATCACAGTCTGCTTCACAAACGGTAGAACTGCCAATGGTGGACCTACTAAAGTCTTTGTTGAGTTTCCCCACCTACTGGTGAGTCATGGTACTAGTTATGGATGAATTATCTCTCTTGTCTTTATTATAGGGAGCTGTGAGTGAGAGAAATTATGTGGGTGACGCCTTAGTGAGATCGAGATCACTAATAGGGGAGTTAGTCTGTTCGCGTGCTCTAGTACCACCGCCTTGGACACAAAACGAACCTCCTTGGGATTTTCTACGACGTTTTGAGACAATCTGGAGAGAGCGCTACCCGAAAGAAGAGATTTTCCAAAGCTTAACCAAAGCAAAACTTTGGTTACAAGAAGAGGAGAAGACTATGAAGGTATATTTTGATTCACTAAAATACTCTAATTTCTTAAAAAAATGTTTAACAGGAGGAGCTTAAGCAAAGCAAACAGACCTCAAACCCGAAAGATGACCTGCCTTTTGAGCTATGCACAGGGGATGTGACGATTATTGGTTGTTACATCCCTTTTGTCATGGAGCCACTCAAAGAATGGGATCCCCCAGCAGAATGGGGCACGGAGGAGGAGGTTGAATTTCCTTACCGGTGACATAAAACTAACATGAATTCTACAGGAAGATAAGAAGGAGGAGGAACTGCTAGCTTTGATGTTTTATCCACGGCTAAAAGATGAAATCTTGGGGACGATGTTGAAACCTGGTTTGAAGTTGTTCGAAGTTTATTTTGGCCGAAAGGTTGGTAATGGGTGGATTTGTTTTTATAAGAGACGAGACACTCTGAACTGGGAGAAGAAACATTAAGTATATGATGAATTTTTTTTTTTTCTTATATAAAGCCTGTTATGGGCAAGTTCAGTTTTGATTGAGGTGTATAAAGATTAGATTAGTAAAATGTAACTGCATGATCGGTGATATCCAGCATTGTCTTCTCCTGGACAATCTTTCTGGTTGCATATACCAGCCACGCGATATTGAGCTAGCGGAGGAGCTCTGGAGCCGCATGCCCGTGGCAAATACCGTAGCCTGGAATGCATTAATCACTGGATATGCCGAAACCGGGCATTTTGCCAAAGGGAAAAGCATTGTTTGATGGGCTTCTTGCTCCCGACATCGTCTCTTGGAATTCCCTTGCCTGAAAAATGACATAATAATGTTTAATCTGGTGCCCTGCAGAGATCTAGTAACCTGGAACTCTGTGCTTGCGGCTTATGGCAAAAGTGGTGATCTAGAAAGTAACAAGCGTGCTTTTGACTCTATGCCGGAGGGGATATGGTCTCCTGGAAAACTCTTCTAGAGGCACACGAAATCGTTTTTTTAGCGGTGGAACTTCTCGTGTGCTGGAAGAGATTCCCATGAAAGACGTTTTCTCTACGACTTTGATCATCTCTGCAAATGCCAAACTAGGGGATATTCATAGCGGGAAAGAAGCATTTAAATTGGCGCCGGTCGTGACGTGCTCTGCGATGCTCGTCGCCGATCTGCACTTGTGTCGCCTGAATCGCGTTCGCGAGTTGCTAGAATCGATGCCGTAGCTCACGCTATCCTCTTGGAATGCGCTCGTTTGGGCGCTCGCGATGGCTCGTGATCATGGAGTGATTGAATCTAGCAGTGCCATCGCCATTGCCCACGTGCCCCCGGGCGATCTGGATGCCGCTGCGGCGATCTTCCTTGGCGAGATACGTGGTCTCGTGGACGGTGGAAGCGTACGCCCAGAATGGCCACCTCGCCCGGGATCACTTCCACGCCCGGAATGCCGTGAGACATGGACCGCTATGATCGCCGCATACGTCCAGTATGGACATCTCCGGAATGCCGTCGTGCTGTTCTCGTGGAACGAAATGCCATGACCTCTGGATGCTAATCGACGCTTTGTCCCGGACGTGGGGATGATCATTGTGATCACTACAACCGTGGAGCGATGATCCAGAGATGGTTTGGATCGATTTCGGTGGACCACCGTCACTGCAGCACTACTGCTGCTTGGTGGACGCGCTGGGGCGGCCGGGACTCGTAAATTCCGCGCAGGAGCTCGTACACACAGTAGTACGACACTGGCCCAAGCGGCTGCTAGGAACCTTGTCCGCCGTGATGGTGATGGTTCTTGTCCAACTCGTTCGCAGAGAAGAAAAATGAATTGCCTTTGGAGAGAAAATGTACATCGATGTTTACATGGAAAAAAAAGCAAATCAATCATTGAAAAACTACGATTCCTCACTGCCAATAGCTTCCTAGGAGAGAGCCTGTTGTTTCCTTGGCCTTGTCCTCGCAATCTTGCACGGGTGTGTGAGCAAAGCAAATAAGCTGAAACACTGAAAGAATAGATGATCGGCACCTTGGAAGAGGTCGCTGTTTGTTTTCATGCCTCTCAATGCTTCTTCCGAGGCCAAGCACAACACCATACGTCAATTCTTACACCGGGAGGTTCAAAGACGTACAGCTCTCATCCCAAGGCCTCTTCCCAAAACTTGTCACTTAGGTAAACAGGAGCCGTTGTGCCTGGGATCAAGATCAAAGGGCCAAATCAAAGAAGGGAGTCGATGTGATGCGATGCGGCCAAATGCGCTATGCTTGCTGTTGTTTCATGGCAGAATACAAACCGTAATTATTTATTTATAAAGTTGACTATGCTGTTGGCGACCCGGGGATCGGCGTTGTTGAATGGGTCTGTGATCTCAACCGCCTGCTCCGCTAGAGGTTTCAGCCACCTCTCCTTAATCTCCTGGGAGCCCTTGATTAGCCCACAGTGGTCGCTTCCACCCCTGACTTCCATCCTCACGACCCAGAGATAGAGGTGGACGACAAGCTCCACCTATAAAGGCAAGAGTAAAGCATGACTCTAGAAAACAAAATGGTGGCCTACCGCGTGGAGTTGCCCCAGGAAATCTCTTCTGCTAACATCTCCACCCTCCTTGTCACTGGGATTGAAGCGGAGCCCGCAGAAGAGACAGCCCAGAAGATCCCGCAGCTGCTTGAAAGCTGTAGCATCTCCAGCAGGCCATTTCTCGCTCACAAGCAACTGGAGGATCGATAACAGGAAAGGGAGCTGTGCAAGGCAACAGATGAGCATAAGCACAAGAGTTTTAACCATTACACCTGTTTCGATGCGATGTTCAGTGCGCAAATACATCAACCATTCCCTTAAAGGAGGCATGCATTGGCATCCAATGCCAAAATCCATAAGAGTTACAGATGATTACAAACCGCAGCTAGCAGTATGTCCGCCAGGTCAGACAGCTCGTTGTCTAGATGGCAAATCTGGACAAGGCTCTGGAAGGAAGAGCACAACGGTAATGAGTTTAATTTCTTGAAAATAAACTAATTTGAAAGCGGCACCGCACGAAAGGATAATCCAAGAAGCCCATGACCTCCCGCATGTTTTGAAGGTATTTTCATGTTTGCTTCGTTTTGTTTTGACTCTTTATTGCTTTATTAAATATATTGAAACCCACTACAGTAATATATAACTTTAAGCCATAGAGAGATGAATCTAGGGGAATGTACATGTCCTTTTCCTGATGTACTTTTATAGCTCTAATGTGTGCTAGAATCCTCCTCTCTGCCGTGGAATGCTAGAATGCATTCCATGGCATCTTAGATTCTCCCAATTCAGATCACTTGACGCTGTTGCCCTCCTTTTGATCGTAAAGCTCCAAATTTCTAATCTTCTCTGTTGGAATGTTGGTGATCGAGAAGTCCTCCTTAGTCCTAGAAGCAGGCATATTTTTTAAGATTCAACGGAAGTTCAAGCTTCTACGGTGAAGTAGACAGGAATCAAGATTGGGTGTTTGTACTATTTACAACCAGGTGAATGGTTCGACAACTTATACCACTATTCTATAGGCAGAGTTAGCCATGACAACAGAGTATTAGAGTGCTAAGAAAGATGAAGTTTTAGATTATCCAGGAGGTCTTGAATGATTTGAGCACAAGTTTGATTAGTCACTTATTCTTGAGATTTGCATAGGAAGCAGAAGGAATTTGAATCTGTCCAAGCATATACTAATGCCTTCAGTCAAATAATAGTTTGGATTGCAAGTGCTGCTGATAAGTTCTACAGGCTCGAGGATTTTGTGGGAGTGATTTGTGGCTGTGCATTTGATCGAGATCTCTCGTCCAGGCAAATTACGATTACGTCTTACAGAGTCAAGTCAGCTGAGATCCGACAGGTTCAAGTGTGGCTGTGTGGAATCCGTGTGCTCAATCTTTGACAAGATGGAGGCGCCCAACACATTCTCCTGGGGCACCATGATCTCGGCCTATGGCCAGAACAGTCATTTCAACACAGCGAAGAGCCTCTTTGACATGGCTCCAGAGAAACCTTATGATCAGCTTGTTCATCCAGAGTGGGGATCTCGACGCCGCAAATCCCATACATGTCGATGAGGAGGGTGCAATGCTTTGATACAAGCGTTCTCCCTACCTAAAAGGATGGAAAATTGGCTGCCAAGTAAATTTTGGGATGTAATGAGAGATGCTTGAGAAATAGAGGTACAGGAATGCTTCAAAGAAGTGAGAGTCATTGGAGTAAAACATAGAAAAAAAGATGGAAGAATCTTGTGATCAACTAAAACACAGTGTCTCTTGGTAGTGGGAATGAAAAGGAGTGAATTAAAATTCAATCCAAGTTAGGGGCAATTATTTCAAATTAACATCCACTACTATTGGTTGTTTCATTCATTGTGACCTTCAAGAACTTCTTGTTGCATGCCAAAACCTCCTTTTCCTTCTTTGTCCAGAAAGTTGTTCTTTAACAAATGACAGCTAGAATTCAATGCTGATGCTTCTGGTATTAATCTAGCAAAAACCTCTTTGGTAGTTGAACAATCCCTTGCTTACTTGCTGCTACCACTAAAATTCCTTTTTTTGTAAAATCCAAATTAGCTTTTATGAAATTAATAAATAATTCCAAAGAATATTCAATAGAACTTTCTATATTTAGATTGCCGACTTCGAAAGGTGGCGATGTATCTTATGGCAGCTGGCTGTTGCTTCTTTGGTATGTTTGGCATTGCACTTCCGGTTGCTCAAGCAGCACCAACACTCTCCTCTTACACAACAACTCCACTAACTTCCTTCTTTCTCCCCCTAGGGGATATACCTATCACCATGTTTCCACAGCTCACTACAAATCCCTTTCAGATTCTTATAGACACAACTAAAAGTTGCTAGGCAGGCCTTCACTTTCTTGGATTAGTGGGACAACTCCAGAACACTTTACCTGTATCTAGACAAGCTTGGAACACTGTGTTTCCACAACTAAAAGCAAACTATGCTAAAATTCCTCTCCAACTTGACTAAGGAATGTTAAATTCCTTGCTCACTCTAGATGTGGAAGAACTTTAAAACACACTTCTATAAACTCAAACAAATTTGAGAACACTATATTGCCACAGCTAATCATGAGCCACATAAAGATTTCTTACTTCTCTCTAGAATGAATTTCTCTAATGCTCATAAATGTCCAAGGGGTTTACTTTTACACTTCAAACTCCAACCTTTTGTACTCTCAAGCCCAAGATTCATGTCCCACTACTTGAGATTGTCATGTCTGGATTTTTCATGTTCTGCCACTCTTTACTCATGTCCTATGGATCAATATTGCAATTGAGGATCCAGCTATAGTTCTTCTAAAAGGCTGGTGCCTTAATTCTCCCTATTCCCAGTTTGTGGAACAATAATTTCCACTTTGCCATGTGAAACAAACAATAAAATTTAATTACAGGTTAAAGATAATCTATATAATTAATATCTAACACTGACATCCACAAAATGCAAATGAATATCTATCATTAAAGCTATATTTTCAGATATCCAATTACATTAACACTTTTTTTCAATCATCTTCAAAATCTAATGTGAAGCCAAAACATAAATTAAAAAAATGATATGAAAAATAAAAAAAGGATAATGATAAAATTTTAATAAAACATATAAATTACTTAACACTATTGTAATGATTCTGTGCATAGAGCTTTCTTCTCATTGTTTCCTTCTTGCGTGGAATGCAGAGGGTTGGCATTGCCGTTGAATGCCATATTGAAAGGACAAACCTCACTGAAAAACACTAAAGTTACTACTTAAAAGCAAGTGGTGGCTTCCTTGTTCCTAGTTCCATCAGGGTACACCTACAAGAAAAACCAAGGCGTTTGTGAGTTGGAGACTTGAGCAACCAGCAGACTACAGCTTGCGTCAGCAGTGCTTGAGTTGGCTGAATAACCGGAATTCAACTTGAGACAACCAGTTTGAAACAAGTTGAAGGCAAAGCACACTTGCTTAAAGTTACCTGAGATCTGAAAGATCCAATGCTCTGACGGTAACTCCAAATCAGGCTTTGCTTGATGGTGAGTCTGGCTGCTCTTCTAGCGCTGCTGGAGCCCGCTGGAGCTAACTTGGGGGAAGTAAACATCCTTTACAAGAGGAAGGAGGGCGGCTATGGAATCATCATCTCCGGGTAAGACGAGGTGGAGGAGGAGGATGCGCAGCCGAGGTAGAGGAGGAGCTCCTTGGGATGCGCCACGGCAATCTCTCTCACGACCAAGTTGTGGCACTGGCGTGCCGGATCAAGGCCTCGACGCGGCTTTCCAGCCTCCAGGAGCTCCATCCTCGAGTGGTGGGCAGCGGCAGCACGTACCTTGCAAATCTCCTCATGGTCATGTACAGCAAATGCGGGAGCCTTGCCAAGGCACAATCGGTGTTCTGCAGCATTGTCAATCCAAACGTCTTCTCCTGGACAATCCTGCTGGTTGCGTATACTAGCCACGGCGATCTTGAGCGAGCGGAGGAGCTGTGGAGCCGCATGCCCGTGGCAAATACCGTAGCCTGGAATGCATTGATTACTGCATATGCCGAAAGTGGGCACTTTTCCAAAGCAAAAGCATTGTTTGATGGTCTTCTTGCTCCCGACATTGTGTCCTGGAATTCGATGCTTGCCTGTTACAACAAGAACAATGACGTTGGACAAGCCATAAATATGTTTAATCTGGTGCCTTGCAGAGATCTAGTAACCTGGAACTCTGTTCTTGCGGCTTATGGCGAAAGTGGTGATCTAGAAAGTACCAAGCTTGCTTTTGACTCTTTGCCGGAGTGGGATATGGTCTCCTGGAACACTCTTCTAGCGGCACACGCAATCGTTGGTTTTAGCGATGGAACTTCTCGTGTGCTGGAAGAGATGCCCATGAGAGACGTTTTCTCTACGACTTTGATCATCGCGGCAAATGCCAAACGAGGGGATCTTGATAGCGCGAAAGAAGCATTTGAATCGGCGCCTGTCCGAAATGCCCTGACGTGCTCCGCGATGCTCGTCGCCTACCTGCAACTGGGCCGCCACGATGGCGCCCGCTGGTTGCTAGGATCGATGCCAGAGCTCACGCTCTCCACTTGGAACGCGCTCGTCTGGGCGCTCGCGATGGCGGGGCGAATGGAAGAGGCCATTGCGATCCGGGAGCAAATGCCGGACAAGACGATCGAATCCAGCAGCGCCATCGCCATCGCCCACGCGCGCGCGGGCGATCTGGACGCCGCTGCGGCGATCTTCCTCTACGAGATGCCACACCACAACGTGGTCTCGTGGACGGCGGCCGTGGAAGCCTACGCCCAGAATGGCCACCTCGCCATCGCCCGGAATCTCTTTCACGCCATTCCGGAGCGGAATGCCGTGACGTGGACGGCCATGATCGCGGCCTACGTCCAGCACGCACAGCTCCGGAATGCGGTCGCGCTCTTCCGCGCCGTACCGTTCGGCCACTCCAGCACGGTCTTGTGCAATGCCTTGATCATGGGCCAGGCACTGTACGGAAGCCTGGCCGAATGCCTGGAGCTCTTCCACGCGATGCTAATTGACGCCTTTGTCCCGGACGAGAGCACGATGGTGGGGATGATCATAGCTATCTCGCGTTGCCACTGTGATTACTACAACCGTGGAGCGATGATCCAGAGATGGTTTGGATCGATTTCTGTGGATCACGGCATGGAACCGTCAATGCAACACTACTGCTGCGTGGTGGATGCGCTGGGGCGAGCGGGACACGTAAATTCCGCCCAAGAGCTCGTACACACGATGCCGTACGTCCCCGATAGAGTCGCATGGAAGACAATGCTGTGTGCTTGCCGGAACCACGGTAGTACGACACTGGCCCAAGCGGCTGCTAAGAACCTTGTCCGCCGTGATGGTGACGGCGGGGGTGACGCTGACGGTGATGGTGATGGTGAGGGTGACGGTGCCCCTTACATTCTCTTGTCCAACGCATTCGCGGAGAAGAGCACGTAACACCAATGAATTGCCTTTACAAGACGTGGAGAGAAAATGTACATCACCTCCACCGATTTTTACATGAAAAAGCAAGCAAATCAATCATTGAAAAACTACGATTCCCCGCTACTTGGGCTACTTCAATCTCACTGCCAATTGCTTCCGAGGAGAGAGCCTGTTGTTCCCTCGGCCTTGTCCACGGGCTGGTCCTCGCAATCTCTTATTAGCTGGCACGGGTGGAGATCTAAAACAAGAACAAGTGCGAGCAAAGCAAATGAGAAGCCGAAACATACAAAGAATAGATGATCGTCACCTTGGACGAGGTCGCTTCCCGGTATTGTTTGTTTTCATGCCTCTCAATGCTTCTTCCGAGGCCTGTTTGATCAAGCACAACACCACACGTCAAAAATCTTACACGGGAGGTTCAAGGTAGTATACCTCTTGTCTTGCTGCATCCCAGGAGAGACCTCGGCCTCTTCCCAGAACTTGTCCCGCGACTTCCACCTAGACAAAGAAGTTTGCTACCCTGCCGACCAGAAAACTTGAGCGCGTACCTCGCAGTTGTAGATCATTGGACTGGATTCTAGTTGCAGGTCTCGAAAGCTTACGCTGAGGTTCTCAACAGTGCACTGCGTAGCGGTAAAAAAGCTCGTCAGTTTCCATCGAAGCGAACTTTCGCCGTGTTACCAGGTCTTTGAGAGCAGCGACGGCATTGAAGGTAGGTAATTTCGGAGGCTCCACAATTCTGACATGCGGTGCGTTCCATTGCTGTGCTGGAGCAGCATTGAAGTTTTGCTTCTCTGGTAGAAACGCCACAAACGTGGTGTCGCGAAGCTCGTCTGGAAAGTTTGGGTGAATATAAATAAAAGCTAGACTTTTGTCTTACTTGACAACAAACGAAGAGCATCCTCCGAGGCACGAGAGCGAGCATCTCTGCTGGTTCTGCCAACACCCCTCGCAATTTTTTCTCCATTGAAGGTGACCTGTAACTCGTAAAAATCAGCTGTCAAGAACATACTTTCATTTGCTACGCTCGCTTACCTCCACACAAAACTGAAGCTCGATAGTGGGACTTACGGAAGACCTGAACTCCAGCTGTTCATGGCAGAAGGAGAAGAACGTGTAAGTAAGGAAGTTAAAAAAAGACTCAATGCGCACCTGAGCATTGTACTTTCGAGCCATAGCTTGTAATAAAATAATAGAATTAGACGGTTCAGGAACAGTACTGCCGTTTATTCTATAGTCTGTATCTAAAATCAAGGCGGGTGTGAGTGGCCAAGAAATACTAGACGCGAACGTACCTGAATAGTCTAAAAGCTTCCTATCTTGATTTTGTGGCCGCAAGAGACCGCCCTGAATAACAACAGAAAACTATGAGAGATCAAACAGAGTTGGTCAAGCACTTACAATCTGTCCGGCTTCTAGCGGGGCGTCTGGCGAACCACCTGGTCGCCCAGGACTCACTTGTTCTTCGTCCCATTCTGTTGATGGTCCTGCAGCATTGTCCTGACCATGCTGCAAAATTAACAGCCTCCTACGCGTGTCAGGATCTAACTCAGATTCTGGAACCTCTCCTTCCTCCCAGTTTTCACCAGACGGTTCGGGCGCAGAGTTCTTGTTTTCTAGCTGAGGATTCCAGATGGTTTCGGTTTCACCGTCGGCTAAGCCATCCGGTAGATCTTTGCTGCCGCCGCCGGCGTCCACTGCCACCGCCGTATCTTGTGCTCTCTGAGCGCGTAAAGAACCGTATCAAGCAATGAAACCAGACAGAAAGGAAAAACAAGGAGCTTACCAAATAACTACTAACATCCAGTGGTTTAGGAAGTGTGGAAGTATCCGTATCGAATACAACCGAACCCAATTGCTGCGATAAAACCTCATCGAACTCCCTGCATATTTCACAGAAGAATTAACAGAGCAGTCGTACGCATTGTAAGCTCCAACTACTCACTTGAAGAAGTTGCCCCGAACGGTGCTTGAGATGTTTTTGGCAATGCAAAGAACCGGTAAACTACCCGTTGTCTGTTGGAATCAGCAAAAGATTTTGTCAAAGCAGAGACTCGACACACAGACTGCCTACCTCTGCCTGAGGAGCATAATACGGTACGAAAGGAGGCACAACATGAACCCGTGGTTGATCTACCTCCGTCCACACATTAGAGCGGTCATCAATGACCATTGACAACCGCGGATGGCACTGCCCTTTCCGGAAGACGTTAGCAAGCGATTTTAAGCCTGAAAGTTTCGAGCACAGTATGAATAAATGCGAATCCGAATAAAAAAGATAAGAGAAAGAGAAGAGATCTACCTCCTGCCTTCACGCACACAACTCGTTCCTCGACCTCAATGGACGGGATCAAGCGTGCGTCTGGATCAAGAAGCCTCCACATTTCCAGCGCGTAGTCCTTCTCCGCCAGCGTACATATAAACACTTCGAAACGTTTCCTTCCTTTAGCGGTGAGGTAGCTCCTCAGCTCCTCCCAGGCTGGTCGGATCCTCACCAGAACACTCGTGAAACGGACCTACACAAACCAGAAAACATGACGTCAGTCACCTCAACCCAGCGAAAAAGAGAAAGAAAAACCAAATCTTACAAGAGGATTGATGCGTGTCAGGATGATATTGCGACTGTCAAGCCGGATAATAGGACGTTCCAGAGCCGGGGTGGCGTCAGAGGACGAAGGAACCATCTCGGTCTGGGCTTTGATGATCTTGCCATTGTCTAGCACACAGTCATTCTCCATGTACTGTTTGAGAATGGAGTGATCCTCTTGGTATCTCTTCAGTTCACCAGCGAGAGCAGCAGTACGCTCGGGATCAGTCTCCAAGCGCATCTTCCGCGTGAGAGCGTCCATGCGGTCTTCGAAGGATCGCATGGTGTTGGCAACGATGAGCGTCTCGTCCAGGTCGAAAACCAAGCCCAGGCATCTCAGGTTGAGCATCGTGAGGCACGAGGCGTAGGATCCCTGCCCCGTGAGAAATCCCCAGAAGCACGGCTGCTGCGTGTGCTGGAGCTGCGAGAACTCCTCGTCGCCATCGCTCCCCTTGGTCATGGCCACCAGGTGGAGCTCCATTCCAGCTTCCATTTGCACCATTGCGGTCTGCAAGAACAGCAGCAGGCCGGCCGATAAGAAGATCATAAGCTGTGAGAAGAAATCTCGCGCGTACCTTGGCTTCGTGGAGGCAGGAGGAGTGGAGGAATGTGAGGCCGTCGGGCTGCTGCTGCTGCTGGGGGAGATCCATGGTGAACAAGACGCCGCCGCTGGAGATGGAATGCATGATGAGCAGCGGCGTGCATCGATCGCTGGGCGGCGAGAAATCCGAGACGCGCATCGCCTTGCCGGAGAACATATGGGAGACATGATCCTCGGCGCCCGGACGAACCCTAACTTCTCCAATGTAGTCGTCCTTGTTAAACAAGAAGGTAGTGAATTCCCTGGGAGGAAGTGGTGGAGGAGCTACTGCTAGTGCCATCAAAGGAAAGATCTCTCTCCTTGCGCGACTGCCCGGGCCCTAATTCGTCACCATGCACCACCGCAGAGCAAGATCGAGGCCTACCGATGGGCAGAGCTGCGAATTCGCGAATCGATGACGATGGCGGTGGCGAGTCGATGCTACATTTCCAGATTTCAATGTCCGGGCGTGAGGAATCGGGAGCTTGGGTTGTCTTGTTTGGCAAAATATTTTCTTCTTCTTCTTCTTCGTTCTTCTCCTCTTCCTTCTTGTTTGCTTTTGATTTGATCGATCCTGGATTCTTGCTGCGGCTGGCCTGCTCTTGAGAGATGAGATTGAATGGCTGCTCCAATTTTCCCCTGGTGGTACGAATGGATCGACGCTGATATACGTAAAATCTCCTTGACTTAAGCTTAACACACCCCCGCAGTTTAAGCACAAGAGGAGTGTGTCGTTTCTTTCGAGCACGAACAAAGGGAGAAAAAAAGATCAAAACATTCGTTTGGAGAGAAATCGAGGCGGCGCTCTGTCTGTGTGCTTGCGATTGCGAGTGCTATTGCGATGCGGGGACTACGCGGTGGAATCCACAAACCCTAAAAGCGGCAGAGGCGCAACAAGAGAGACAAAGAGAGCAGCGAGACGAAGTTGCAGTGTCTTTCGGTAATGGATTGGCGAGGGATTGAGACGAGACGAATAGAGAAACCCAGCTAGGGTTTTTTCTTCCTGCGCGACTAGGGTTTGCGAGAGCTCGGCTATGGCGGACAAAAAACCCTAGAACCGTGCAAAGGCGCCCAAGCAAATATATAATCCAATCGCGCGGTGCCACGTCGCAATCGCTTAAGCCACGTCATTGGCGGCATATTCGCTCGGCGCTACCCTAGGGTTTACTCTGTGATGGCACAGGGCGATGGCGCGGCGCTCGGCGGCTTCGACTACAGCAACTGCCGGAGGAATCAGATGCTGGAGAAGGCCGGCATCAAGCTCGATCGATACTTGAAGACCGGCACCACGATCGTCGGCCTCGTCTATCAGGTATTGCATTGCATTCGTCGAAGAACCATCTCCAATCGGTCTCTCCAGGATGGCGTGATCTTGGGAGCCGATACCCGAGCTACAGAGGGCGACATTGTAGCTGACAAGAACTGCGAGAAGATTCACTACTTGGCTCCGAATATTTACTGCTGCGGGGCTGGGACTGCTGCCGACACCGAGGCTGTGACTGGTAAGCTAGTAGATCCATCGCATTTTTTCCAGAATTTGCTCCTTGGATCTAAAATTTCTTTGCGCAGACATGGTACGCACACAGTTGGAGCTTCACAGGTATGCCACCGGCCGTGGATCACGCGTTATCACAGCACTGACGATGCTAAAGTCTCATCTCTTCAAGTAACTTGCTTTCGATTTTCCAAAGGGTGGTTTTTTACTAGTTGCTTTTCCTTGAAGCTACCAAGGTCACGTAAGCGCTGCTCTAGTGCTCGGTGGATTTGATGTATCCGGTCCTCACCTACACACTGTGAGTTGCTAGCTTGCCTGCGATGTGGTTTGATTTTCGAGAGGCTCAGGTTTATCCCCATGGATCGACGGATACACTGCCATTTGCGACGATGGGATCCGGCTCTCTTGCTGCCATGTCGGTTTTCGAAGCTGGCTTCAGAGAAAAGATGACGGTGAGCTCAGCTGAATAGACTTGATTGGTGATTGCTTACTTGCTTGTTTCGTCTCATCAGAAGGAAGAAGGGATGAGCCTCGTCAGTGACGCAATCTGTGCTGGGATTTTCAATGACTTGGGCAGTGGAAGCAACGTCGATTTATGTGTGATCACAAAGGTATCCAAATGCGTTCTTCTTTTCTCTCGAAAGCTCGCTTTTCTGGTTTAGGCTGGGAAAGAATACTTGAGGAACCACATGACGCCGAATCAAAGGGTCATTACCAAAGGCTATACTTTCAAGAGGGGCCACACCCGTGAGTATTTCTTCTTTTTCTATCTTCGCCACCGACCTTTGGCTTGTCACCGTCTTCTTTGCAGCGATTCTCTCGACGAAGATCGTCCCCCTCCGCGACAGAGTGGACGTCAGTGAGGGAGAAGCTATGGAAGAGTAATCGCCCAGTTAAGTTTCCAATGGATTCTTCTTTTGATAAGCCTTGAAGTCCATTTCCATTGTTTCTTGGAGGATCGATGTAGTTTTCCACATCTTCTAGTCTATAAATATGGGCTTGCATGGTCTCGCTTTGACAGTTTGGTGCAAAGAAGCGCGAGGTTTAGGGCGTGGAGGTAAAAGAGGAGAAAGAAAGAGGGGAGAATGATGAACATTGCGAGCGATTTGCTGGATGCCATCCCGGCCTACACTGGCCTCTCGCCCACCGCATTCTTCACAGTGCTGGCGCTGGGCGTGGCGCTATGGCTTGTCGTCAGCTCCTGGTTTGCTCCTCCTCCCCCGCCCGCCTTTGCCCCGCGCGAGCCCCCGCCCCCGCCCAAGCAGCTGGGCGAGGTCACGGAAGAGGAGCTCAGCGCCTACGATGGCAAGGATGACTCCAAGCCGCTGCTCATGGCCATCAAGGGCCAAATCTATGACGTCTCCATGTCCAGGTAGAAGAGATTCTTCCCCATTTCGTTTGTGCCACTGGTGTGATCTTTGGGAGATTTCAGGGTTTTCTATGGGCCGGGCGGGCCTTACGAGCTCTTCGCCGGGAAGGATGCGAGCCGGGCGCTGGCCAAGATGTCGTTCGAGCCCGAGGACTTGAACGGGAATCTCGAAGGCCTCAGCCCCTATGAGCTGGAAGCGCTGTCGGATTGGGAGTACAAATTCTCCTCCAAGTACATCAAGGTGGGGGAGATCAAGAAAGCGATTGGCGATGGCGATGGCGATGGCGATGGCGTCTCAGCTCCCGTGGAAGACGAGAAGCCAGAGAAGATCGCCGATTAGGGTTCTTCGCGCAAGATAGTCTATTACTTTATGCCACGTTGGCAGTGACGTGGACAATGAAACGTTGGGATGTGAAATATTTCCAGTTTTTTTTTGTCTAGGGCTCCCGGCAGTTGGTAGGGGAAGGAACAAGGGGACGGATGATCCACGCGAGCGCGCACACTGCGAGAGGATCGATTCTATGGGTGCTGGACAGAGAGGTAAGCGCCGATCGATTGCGCATCGAATAGCAGCAGCATTGTGAAATCTCGCGCGCAGGTCTTGCCGAGATTCTCCCTTGCGACAGCGAGGCCAAGGAATCGAGTGAATCGGGAGCTGTGAGCCGGTTCTTGTGCGCGGCGGCTGCGACCAGCGCGATCCCATCGCCGGAGGAAGATCAAGGGAAGCAAGGAGATTTAGACGAAGCGGGGGTTCTTCGCGAGCAGTTTGAGTCCCAAGCCCGGCAGCTGATCGCGCGAATCAACTGGCTGCAAGAGAATTTGCAGCTGGAAGAGGAGAGCCGACTAGTGGCGGAGAACCAGGCGCTATCGCTACGCTTGGCGTGTGCGCAGCAAGCGGGCAAAGTCGAGGAGCTCGCTGAGCAAATCAGTATGCTCTTCCAGGATTTGGATGAGCAGCACAAGCACTGGACGAGCTTGGAAGCCAAGCTGGAGTTTGAGCAGCAGGAAAGGCTTCATATCGAGGCCACACTCAAGGCTCTAGCTGCGGGAGCTGCGCAGGGATTTTGTTCCTCACCCCCTCCACAGAGCTGTGCGTCGGATGGATGGAGCTCCGCTCAAGCGAGTCCCACTCCCACGGCAGCGGTGGAAGGATTCAGAGTCTCCTGGGATAATGTAGAGTTTGAAGGAGACGCAAAGAAGAGTTCCTGCAAGGCTGCCAACATGTTTAAGGAGCTCAACTCGGAGTGGTCCAACTACAAGTCGGAAGGGAAGCTCGGAAGCTGGAGCTTGGCGAAAGTGTTGCGGAGGCTCAGCTTTTCCGACGTGAAGAAGAAGAGGGGAAGAGCAAACAAGAGCAGCAGCAGTGCTGCCTTTGAAAGCGCTCCTGAAGCACACTCGGGAGAGTCTAGGCGAGTTTACGACACTGCGAAGCTCACAGAAGAGATTTTCAGCCTGAACTCCGAGGCTTCCGACGTCAGGGAACGGCATTTGGCTGACTTGAGGAACAAGTTGGAGCTGCAACACCAGGGTGGTAGGGTGCCACAAGTAGAGGACAGGGACGTTTCTTGTGAAACGTGGAGTGACTATCCAAAGCCCCGTTTCAAGTCGGCCAAAGTCTCGAGGAGTGTTTCAAGATCGACCACCAAAAGGCACGGTTCTCAGAAGAGCTTTGAACTAGACAACAAAGCTCACTTCAAGATTGAGAACCTGGGAAGGCAGGTGTTTCACCTGAAGAAGCTGTGCACAGAGAAGACGCAGCTTGTAAAGCTAGAGAAGAGGCGGCGGAACGAGGTTGAGAATCGGTATTACGTGCTCGTGAAAAATCTGGAGAAGCAGGTTTTGCAGCTGCGGAAAATAAACCTCCGGAAGGCCGATGAAATCAAGCAAGAGCGGTGTCGGCGGCAGGAGGCCGAGAAGAGAAGTGTGGTCGAAGTGGAGAGTCTGGAGAGGCAAGTGGTGAGGCTCAGCAAGCTTGCTGATGCAAGAGCACATGACGTCAAGCACGAACAGAAGCAGAGACTAGAGGCGCAGAAGAGGCTCAAGGACCTGGTCAGCCAGCTGAAATCATCCAAAGTTTCTGCTCAAGGCGTGCAGTTGAGCAAGCCCCAGCGGAGCCCGAAAGCTAAGCAGGCTGCGTCAAAGACGAGCCTGGCATTGTCCCCGGCGGGAGCTGGTTTTGCGCAAGCAGAAGACCAACCAGCCGACGATGAAGTGGGAGGACGGGAAGACGAAGGGGAATTCGTTGAGTTGGAAGCTTTGCAGTTTAGAACGCTGGGAACAAGTGATTTCCAAGGGAGTTCTTCCGAGCGGCACGTATGGAAACTTCAAACCAAGCAGAAAGGACGCATCGTCCTGACGCCACTCCAGAGTGTGGTCCCTGAGCACAAATGTAAGTCGGAGCAGCAGCAGCAGGGCCTGGAGCTGTCATCAACAGCGGATCGTGAGCGGGACGAGCTGCAAGTTGAAGAAGCTGGTCCGAACTCCAATTGCAATGCTGACTCGGGAGGAACCAACCAGATCCTCAGTGACAACGAGAGCAGCGATTTATTAAGCGTTGCCACGCCGCAGCAAGGGAGGGAGGACAAGAGGCTGGAAACCAGCGTCACCGCATCACCTCGGCCGAGCAGTCTAACCGGGAAGATTTCTCAGCTGAAAGAGACGACAACCAGATTACTCAAAGATTTGGAAGGAACTCAGCTGTTGCTGAACACTCCTGCTACTACTGCTGGTACTGCTGGTACCCCTGTCGCTATTGCTACTATCGAAAGTCAAGGTGATGGTGGTGGTGATGGCGACGGTGGTGGCGATGGTGGTGGTGCTTGTGACGGTGGTGACTCTATAAGAGCGGACGTAGAACAAGGTAAATACCTCTGGGCTCCAGGTCCAGGTCCAGGTTTCGGTTTGCAGGAGTCTCTCTACTACGATGACGATTTTCGGCTAAAACACCATCTGTTGGAATTGAGACGTGGTTTCAGAGCCAGGACAGGATTGGTAGGAGGAATTGAAGACTTCGCCCCGGCACGAAGTGACGATCACGCAAGAAAGAAGAAGCATTCCTACAACAAGACAAGAGTCGTCAGCAAAGGCTGGATGAAGACAAAGGTGGAGCTGATGCTGAGGCTGGTTTTCGACAGGCAAGAGCAAGAAGAGGAGGAAGAAGATGATGATGACGAAGGAAACGATTACAGAGTTTTGGCTGGAAGTCGTGCCGGCGATGGTGGTGGCGACGACTTTGCGCGGTCCCATTTGCTGGGACAACAACGCTGCGAAGAAGATGAAGCCGCGTTCTTTTGACAAAGGCGAGCGAGCTGCGTTGACGATCTTCGAGCAACCGCGAGAGCGATCTCCACGAATTTGGCTTGTTCTTGAGGAATGAAACCAAGAGCAAAACAGGGACATCGTCCTGGGATCATGGATTCATTGATAGCTCGCCAGGGATCTCACCTAAAAATAAAGAGGCATTTGCTACTTTGCTACTTTGCATTGAATGACCACTGAGCTGTCTGTGACCGTGAGTCAATTCCCGTCCGACGTGGCGTGCTGGCGTGGCAGGGACTATATACCAGCTACCTAGGATAGAGAGAGAGAGGAGGGAGAAGAGTAAGCGTGACGGGGAGCGCCAAGGCTAGGGCTTTTAGATCGCGCTGAGCTGCGCCGCGCTGCGATGGAGGAGGTGCTCGATTGCTACATCGTCAAGGTCGAGGAGGCCAAGCGCGATGGATCGGCGTCCATGGGGCCTGTGTACCGGAGCGTCTACGCCAAGGACGGGCTCGTCGAAGCTCCCGAGGGCGCCAGGACGTGCTGGGAGCTCTTCAGGTATGATATTACGGCGGCATTTCGATCGATTCTCACGCTCTCGCGGTTCTTGGTCCAGCAACACGGTCAAGACCTCGCCCAACGCTAGAATGCTCGGCCATCGCCCGATTGTCGCCGGGAAGGTCTGTGTCTACAGTGCCATTCGCTCCGTTAAGAAAGCCTCTTTCTAAATTGTTCTTTCTAGGTAGGGAAGTACGTGTGGCAAACGTATCAGGAAGTTTACAATCAGGTTCTCTACATTGGATCTGCAATGCGGACTCTGGGCGTCGGGCCGGTACGAGAGTGATCGATCTCACGCGTTTCTTCTATTCTCGACGCTTAACTTAAATTTGGTGTTCCAGAAAGGTCGCTGTGGTATCTATGGAATAAACTGTCCTGCATGGATGATCACACTCCAGGTATGCTCCAAGTATGGTCTTATGGATCCGGGATTCATTTATTTTCTTTCCTCTTCTTTGCAGGCATGTAATGGCCACAGTATCTATGCTGTTCCTCTATATGACACTCTCGGTACGTATGAGCTAGGGCTTGGTTCTTGATTTTTCGGTTCCGCGAAGCCTTTCGCTTTGAATTATAACTCGGCCGTCTTTCAGGAGATGATGCTGTGGAGTTCATTGTTGGACACGCTGAAGTTAGCATCGTGTTTGCACACGCTGATAAAATACCAGCTGTAAGTCACACACGGTGTCTTCAAGTTGAAGAATTCTCTTAACCGCATTTGTTTGTGAATATGGCAGGTTCTGCGCGCTTTACCGAAGTGCTCGAAGTATGTCAAGAGTGAGTATTTTAATTGGCAGCATCTATTGTCTTATCGCCTTAGATTTTTTCGGCAGCTCTTGTCAGCTTTGGCGTGATGGCTGATAGCGATAAAGAACAAGTCAAGAGTGCTGGGGCAGCGGCGTATTCTTGGGATGAGTTTTTGAATTTGGTGAGAATTTACGTTTGAAGTGTCGTTTCATTGACTAACAGCGTAAACGCAGGGAAAAACGAACCCCGTGAACTTCGAGCCTCCAAAACCGGAAGATATATGCACCATCATGTACACAAGCGGCACGACCGGAGAACCCAAGGGCGTTTTGCTATCGAACGAAAGTATTGTGACAGCGATAGCAGGCATCGATTACTACCTCAAAGTGAAAAACGAGAAGGTATATGTGGAAGTTTTACGTAAAGGTTTTTGTTTCCTTCTACAGCAATTGTCTCCTTGTGTAGGTTGATGCGTCAGATGTGTATTTGTCTTATCTTCCCCTTGCCCACATTTTTGATCGCGCTGTTGAGGAATTCTTTATCTACAATGGTGCTGCAATTGGATTTTTTCAGGGGGTAAGGATCCTGTGATAAAGAACTTGAGCTCAAGCATTTGTGTGACTTTCAGGATGTGAAGTACATATCAGACGACATTCAAGAGCTAAAACCCACGTTATTTGCTGGAGTTCCTCGAGTTTTTGATCGTGTTTACGCTGGTTTGTATATTGCTAGTGTTATTTACGAGAGAGTTCTTACGTTTTCTTTCTGTCAGGAGCAAAAGCAAAGCTTGCAGAAGCACCCGCATACCGACAGGCAATATTTGACTTTGCTTATAGGCGGTGAGTAGTTACCTTTCCTAGTTTCTGGAAGATTGAGAATGCATACAGGAAGCTGGGATATATGAAAATGGGATTCAAACAAGAAAAGGCATCTCCAATGGCAGATGTTCTTGTTTTCAGCAAGGTACTTTACTGTTGCACTTTGTTGTTCTTTGTTAATCACGCCATCTGTGGCAGGTGAAACAAAGGCTGGGAGGTCGTGCTCGACTATTGATTTCCGGTGCCGCACCCCTGGCAGATCATGTAGAGGAATTTCTGAGGGTGGCCTCTTGTGCTCGCATGACACAAGGCTACGGTAAGGAAAGCACCTGTGACGTGCTATCGCTAATGTGTAGCTTTCAGGGTTAACCGAGACTTGCGCGGCCAGCTTCATCTCCATTCCTGATGTCTACTCGATGCACGGAACAGTCGGCCCTCCCATTCCTGTGATTGAGGTTTGTCTGCAGTCTGTTCCAGAGATGAACTACGATGCACTTGCCGAGACGCCTAAAGGAGAGGTTTGCATCCGGGGAAAGACACTGTTCTCTGGATACTACAAACGGGAAGATCTAACTGCGGAATGCATGATTGACGGCTGGTTCCACACGGGTAGGGACTCAAAAGAAACTTGCTACGTGGTTCGTACTGAACGAGGTTTTTACAGGAGATATCGGAGAGTGGCTACCAAACGGAGCCTTGAAAATCATAGACAGGAAGAAGAACATTTTCAAACTCTCGCAAGGCGAATACGTCGCTGTAGAGAACTTGGAAAACATCTACGGCCAATGCCCGACCTTCGATTCGGTTAGTTGCCATGCGAGCATCGAGATTGCCAATATTAACTGCTGCCCTTTCGATCCAGATATGGATATATGGGAACAGCTTCGAATCTTTCTTGGTCGCCGTTGTTATCCCGAACGAGGCAGCGCTCGATGCTTGGGCCAAGGAAAACGACGTCAAGGGAGACGACCTCTACAGTTCTCCCAAGGCAAAAGCGTTCATCATGGATGAGCTAAGCCGCACTGCCAAGAACAACAAGGTAGCGTCATCTTTGCATTTTCTGAGAGTTGTTTCCCTGCGTTAATCAATCTTATCTTGTATTCTCTTTCTTGCAGTTGAAAGGGTTTGAGTTCATCAAGGCAGTTCACCTCGAGAAGCTCCCATTCGACACTGAGAGGGATTTGATCACGCCAACCTTCAAGAAGAAGCGGCCGCAGCTTCTCAACTTCTACAGGGTCAGTTTTGTTCGCTCTGCAAGATGTATGGATCGATCAAATCGTGACGAGAGATTTTTCTTGTATGACAGGAAACCATCGACGAGCTCTACAGAGGTCTCAAGAAATAGCGTGCAAATGGTTGGGCTAAAATCCAAGAAAAATATCTCAAAAAAAAAAGGGCTCCACGTTGGCGACAGTTCAGCTTGTCACGCTCAATTCTAACCGTGGGCATCCGACGTGTGGCTATTGTGTGTCCGACGTGGCAGTGGCGCCCCCAAGCTTTTCGAAATTTCAAGTCGAATATTCCACTAGGGCTCTTACATTCCATCATGGGTAGCAGCTGAGTGAGAGACGCAAGAGGAGAGGGACTAGAAAGGCGAGGAGAGGGGAAAGATCTAGCGAGGGTGTGGAGGATCGATCGGAATGGGGAGCGAGGCGGCGGCGATCGCCGTGCCGGATGGGCCGCCCACGCCCACGCCCAAGAGGGTTCCCCTGCGGGGATTAGCTCGCGTAGCATCGGTAGCGCTGGGCGTCCAGTTCGGCTGGGCTCTCCAGACATCGCTGCTGACGCCCTACGTCCAGGAGCTGGGGATTCCTCACGAGTACGCCGGCTACATCTGGCTGTGCGGCCCAATCTCGGGGATGTTCGTCCAGCCCATCGCCGGCTACTACAGCGATCGATGCCAGCTGAAATGGGGGAGGCGTCGGCCATTCATCCTCGGCGGCGCGATCTTCGTGGTGCTGGCCATCTTCGTCATTTCCTTCGCGGCCGATCTGGGTTTCTTGCTGGGCGATAACAAGCACCATCGCCCTCGCGCGATTGTGTTCTTTGTGATTGGCTTCTGGCTCCTCGATCTGGCCAACAACACGCTCCAGGGGCCGTGCCGGGCTCTCCTGGCCGATCTATCAGGTAAGAAAAAGGATGCGTAGATCCAAGGCTTTTTATACGCTCGTCCACATCCTAGAACAGAGCATAACTCTTCCACACTCGCAGGGAAGGACTACCGCAGGACGAGACGAGCGAACGCTTTCTTCTCGCTCTTTCTCTCCATCGGCAATGTGCTGGGATACGCTGCCGGTTCTTACTCCAACTGGCCAAAGGTATTCCCCTTCACGAGATCCGAGGCTTGCGACAAGTCCTGCGCGAATCTCAAGTCGGCTTTCATCATTGACGTGCTGCTCTTGGTGATCACCACAGTTCTGAGCATCACCGCAGCCGACGAGGTCCCCTGGTCGCCACTATCCTCCAATTCTCGAGCACCACTCTTGCAAGATCCGGCTCACGCTGGCTCCGTCAACGGAGAACAGGGTGAGCAGGGCGCAGAGGAGGAGGGGGAGCCTCCACTCGAGAAGAACGAGGCCTTCTTCTGGGAGCTGATTGGAACTGTCCGCCACTTGCCGAGAGAAATGTGGTGTATCCTGCTCGTCACTGCCATGACTTGGATCTCGTGGTATCCCTTCTGGCTCTTCAACACCGACTGGATGGGGAGAGAGGTCTTCAAAGGCGAGCCGAGCTCCAAGACGGCGAAGCAGTATGACAGGGGAGTCCGACTTGGATCCTTCGGCCTCATGCTCAACTCCATTGTTCTGGGCCTGGCCTCGGTGGTGATGGAACCCCTGTGCCGGAAGTTCAAAGCCAAGAACGTCTGGTCCATCGCCAACTTCATCATGGCTGCCTGCTTCTCCACCGCGGTTGCTGTCTCGATCGTCATGAAGAACGCCCCTGTTGGCCGGCCATCGCTGGGAGTCCAGATTGCTTCGCTGCTCTTCTTCACTGTGCTGGGAGCTCCTCTCGCGGTGAGTGAAGGCTCTTGCTTGTCCTTTCGGGAAGTCGCTCACCTCTTTCCTTGGCCGCCAGGTGACTTACAGCATTCCCTTTGCGCTCACGGCAGCGGTGGCCGGTTCCTCCGGTGGGGGTCAAGGTACGTGATCATCCAACTTGTCACGTCTTTGTTTGATCGAATGCATTCCTTGCGAGACGTAAATTTTCCATTCGATGCACGCAGGCTTGTACGTTGGAGTACTCAATCTAGCTATTGTGATCCCACAGGTCAGTCCGTATGCCGAAAGCAAAAGAAAATCAAACAGTGCCACAAACCTCGTGCTAATTTCTCTTGTCTGTGTGTTCTCGCAGTTCCTCACTTCGATTTTCATTGGTCCCTGGGATACGCTGTTTGGAGGTGGTGACATGCCGGCATTCACTCTGTCCGCCGTGGTAGCGCTCCTAAGTTCATTGATAGCGCCTTACATTCTTCCAAAGCCTCCGGCGGAGCTACGCAGCTCCAAGCTGAGACGTACCATCAGCGCCCCCATACCGTAAGAGAGATGGATCGATTTGGCTGTCCGTTCTCTCTTCCTTTCTTCCGCGTTCGTTCGTTGTGTCCATATACTCGTTCCTTTACGTGGATGGCCTGGCCACTGGCTTTCTTGTTCGTCGTTTATAAAGAATGAAAAAGTCGGCGGCCCGATTGATTGCCGGTCCACTTGCTCAAGTGAAACAAAAGTGCGCCAGTTCAAAGATGTATACAAGGACTCGTTGATAGGCTTGTCCAGGTCGGCGAATCGTTGAGGCACTTGTGACAAACATGCAAAGATCCATCAGCAGGAAAAGGAGCATGGAATTCACCTGTGGAGTAAAAAAAGAAAAAGAAAGGGAGGGAAGATCATCAATACAAATCGAGCAACAGTGTATGTAGAAGAAGAGAAAGGAGAACTTGCCACCTTGTGCGAGCGTGAGAGTCAAAAGAGACGATGCGACTGGGCAAGCTCTCGTTGCCAAACATGAGGGAGAGTGTCGCGAGCGGATCTTTCATGGATCCTCCTGGCCAAATCCAGGAATCTTGTGCAGCAACGAGCTAGCATGGGCATTGCGTCACGAAGGCAATGCTTTCCACGCTCTTTTCTGCCACTTCTTTGCCTAGATACTCCATCACCGCTTCTGCGCCGCACTGTTTGGAGAAAGTAAAGGATCTTATACTCTAAAAAACAAGCATTTTTAATCACCTGATGGACAAGCTAAGTGTAAAGCGCAGCTGGCACGTTGGAGACAAGCCGCCCGATGAGAACGATTCGTCCATCTTCCACAGCAAAAATCTTTGGCGATTTGCTTGGTTCCGGCCTCGCTGGAGGCAAGGCTGTATCCAGAAAAACATGAGAAGAGCCGGCCAAAGACAAACCTGGGCCATGTTTTAAACAGATTTTTCCAAGTACCTGGAGTAGACTGTTCATGAACAAAATCCACGCTACAGATCCGCAAGAAACCACTGCTTCAAAAGATTAAAAAATGTTAGCTTCAAGTCTATGAATGCCATAGCTGGAAAGTCCTGAGAGAAATAAATACCAGTGCCAAGGAAGAAGCCACCACCACCAGAAACGAAGTTAAACTGGAAAATCTCGGTGGCACAGATATCCATCTCCCATACATCTGTCCAAAAAGAAAGTCGCTGGAAGCTTAAGCCAATGTAGGTTAAACGAAGCATCACATCGTCTCTCACCTCGGATTTGGCGCATTCGCGGAGCGATAACTTCCCACGCATAGGCAGATGACAGCGCTGGTATGGCACGCGAGATCAATGCCACGCATAGAGTTACATTTCGAGACCCTAGCCAAGAATTCGCGCATTGCGAGCGCGGTTAGCATGGAGCTCGAGCGAGAAAGGAATGCCGTGCCGCTGGGCCGCTGCGATCGCTCCCACCGAGAAGCCCTTGGCTGTGGAGAGGGAGGAATCTAGGGCTCCTGGAAATGGAAATGGACCAATTGCGTTGCGGGGCGGGAATAACTTTAAAAACATAACCGATAAAACCCTCATCATCATTTCTATAGGTAGGGCTAGCCGCTATTTCGAAAGGTCGGCGATTCTAGCGGCGCGCGGCTAGGGATCGCGATTTCCAGCGGGATTCTAGTGCGGCATCGCTGGAGGTAGGACCTTTTTTCTTCGATCGGCTCGGCAGCGAAAGAAAGAGGGAGTGGCGGCGATGGAGCTCGCTTGCGAGAATGGGAGGTGTCTGGTTTGCAAGACGGAGCCGCCAGAGCAAGAAACCCTGCCTTGCGGGAGCTGCGGGTGTGTGTGGCACTTGCCATGCTTGAAGGCGCCGATGACCTTGGCGGATGTTACTCCGGGCTGGGCGTGCCCGGATTGCTCGGATGATCCGGCCAGCAGCAGCAAGAAGCCGGGGCCGAGCGGTGGAGAGAACGAGCTGCTGAGAAAGATCCGGGAGATAAATGCGGATAATTCTCTCTCAGATGCGCAGAAGGCAGCGCAGCGGCAGATGTTACTGAGCAATGGGGCTGTTCCTGCCGGCAAGGAGGACGATGAGGACGAGCTCATTTGCGCGTTTTGCCAGGGTTCGCTCGATCGCCCAGTGACGGTATGTGCAAGCTTTTTCTTTCTTCTTCTTTCTTTTCGTAAGCTGCAAAGGCTAAGTTTTGCTTCTCCTTTTTTTTTTTTTTTTTTCTGTAGACTCCATGCGGCCACAACTTCTGTTTAAAGTGTCTCCAGAAGTGGTTTGCTCAGGGACAGAAGAAATGCGGCAAATGCCGCGTGAACTTCCATCAAGGCTTTATACAGCAGCCCAAGATCAACCCCCTACTCGTACAGGCCATTCGAATGGCAAAGATTGGAGCTACTGCGCCAGCTTCCAAGGCCGTTCATGTTCTTCAAAACAAGAACCGGCCCGACAAGGCTTTCAAGAGCGAGAGAGCGAAGAAAGCCGGGTTGGCGAACGCGTCGAGTGGCAGGATCTTCGTTACAGTAGGCCACTACCACTTTGGGGCAATTCCAGCGGAGAATGATCCCGAGCGGAACCAGGGTGTCTTGGTTGGCGAAACTTGGACCGATAGGCTGGAATGTAGACAGTGGGGCGCTCACAGGCCTCACATCGCTGGAATCGCCGGGCAGAGCGACAAAGGTGCCCAATCAGTAGTCATGTCTGGTGGCTACGAGGACGACGAGGACCATGGAGAGTGGTTTCTTTACACTGGAAGGTGAGATTGATCTTAATATCTGCATTCGCATTTTTGTCGACATTTTCATTTTCGTTGCAGTGGTGGTCGAGATTTGAGTGGGAACAAAAGAACTAATGATCAGTCTTTCGATCAGGTTTTTTCGAAATCAAATAAAGCTCTGTCCGTGAGCTGCTTGAAAGGCTATCCAGTGCGTGTTGTGCGGTGAGATTTTCTTTCTTTTCTGCACCATCTCAAATATGTTTGTCCAGGTCGGCCAAAGACGTTCGTTCTGCTTACGCACCTCAAGAAGGCTTGAGGTACGATGGACTGTACAGAATTGAGAGATGCTGGCGAAAGATTGGTCTTAAGGTAAGAATTCTGTTCACTGTATCTTCGCTAAGTCGCGCATCAGGGGTTTCGCGTGTGCCGATACTTGTTCGTCAGGTGTGACAACGAACCGGCACCCTGGACAAGGTGTGTTTGTGTGTAAATCTATAGTGAATTTGCTCTGAAACTTTTGGTGATCAGTGAGGACTACGGTGATCGGCCACGTCCACTTCCAGAGATTACAGAGCTTAAAGATGCAACGGATGTCAAAGAAAGGAAGACGCAACTGCCGTCTTGGGACTGGAAGGTAGAGAATGCTTTATTTTCTTTCAGTATGCTCTTGACAAGGGCAGGTTTAGGAGGATGAGAACGTCTGGGGTTGGATTAAGCCGCCTCCAAGTTTCAGGGACGTTAACCCTTCATCTGCCCGGAAGAGAAGTGTCTCTTCGAAGGAGAAGGAGCTTAAGACCAGTACGTGTTCATCTCCTTTAGTTTAAATCATAGTACTTACGACAATGTTTTATAGAATTTGGATGTGGGCTTTGCAAAAACGTATTGCAACGTCCGCTTTGCGCTCCTTGTGGGCACAACTTTTGTCAGGCCTGTTTGGCTGGTCATTTCGCTGGTCACAAGGACGTTCGAGACAGGGCAAATGGCCGACGATCCCTCAGAGTTCGAAAGAACCAGAAGCCGTGTCCTCAGTGCAACAAGGACATCGCTGACTTCATGGAAGCCCCCGCGGTAAGTTTTGTTTATATCGACGCTTGTGGAAGTTTTTAAGTATGCTTCATCAGGTCAACAACGATATGGATGATGTCATCCAAAAGCTGAAAGCTGCCATAGCCGACCTTATGAAGACGGAAGAGGAAAATCGCGATGCCGACGCTGAAGATGGTGACGATGACGATGATGAAGCTGAAGACGCCAAAGAGGCTGATAACGAAGCCGAAGAAGCCAAAGAGGCTGATGACGAAGTCGAAGAAGCCAAAGAGGCTGGTGACGAAGTCGAAGAAGCCAAAGAGGCTGATGACGAAGTCGAAGAAGCCAAAGAAGCTAATGAAGAGCAGAAAGACAACAAGCTCGGGGATGGTTTTGGACGCTTGGTATGATTCGGCTTATCATTTTTGTGGAAATGCTGAAGTCTGGTATTGCAGGACACGAGTGTTACTGTGGACAAGGACATTGCAGTTGACACCACTCCAAAGGAAGAAGCTTCGATGGCCAAGGAAGCAGAGAAAAAAGCTAAGGTGAAGCTGTCTTCTTTTCTTATGAGAAGCTCTCACGAACCGTTTTGTCAATGACAGGATCGTCGTGTGAAAAATGGCAAGAGAAGCGCTGTAGGGAGCTCCAGCATTGCAAAGAGAACGAGAGGAAGCAAGGTCGCTGCCGCTGAAGCAAAACAGATGGATCCGGTCGTCATTGTTTTGGACGATGACTAGCGATTAATCGTTTTGGACCAATCATTGGGATCAATCCATAGACCGGCCCAAGGGTCACTTTATGCACTGTAGCAGCTTCGTTACGGTTCGAATCTTCATGTCTTACATTTCTTTTGAGAATTCTCTTCTTCGATGAAAGAGTTCTTGGCAGCGAGCAATCGGCGCTTGGTATTTGGCTGCTCTGTGCATAAGACTCCGGACGAGCACTGGCAAGCACTCGAAGTTGTGCATCACAGTCTTCGGGTATGCTCAAAAACAAATCTCTCAATACTACTCAACTTGTTTTCTTTGTCTAGCTATGGACGTCGAGGTTGGGAATGGAGCGACGTGGCTCATGGTAAGCTCGATCAAACTTGAGCTTTCGTTTGCGAGAGAGTTTTAATCCTCCTAGCTTGATCATGAATACCATGTTCGACGTGGTCGCCAAGGCTTTTCCAGTCTCTCATGGCCGCAGCCGGTGATGTTTACTTGTGGAAGTTCGCATTTGGTGACCGTGTTGCAAAGTGAAGTATCCATCTGAAAAAATGAGAGGAAAGCTCATAAACTTTTTTATGCAGATGTTTTGCCAGCTCGTCAACTGGTTCACCTTCGTTTTCGCACTCATCCAGTAGCATCGAGACTGTCCTGACGACGATTGCTCGCTACTGGTCTTCTCCAATGGGATTTATGTCGAATCGTGAGCTAGATATTTGGGCATGGGGCTGGCTCTACGTGGGGACTTATGCCGTGGTATCTTCTCCATGAAGTTCTTCCTATCGGGTAAGCAAAGAGAGGGACGCGTGCTCCGAAAGCGGTGTCTCATGACTTTCCTTTGGGACAGGATCATTCGGGTGGTCTACGGTAGCCATCCCAGCTATGCTAACAGGTACTTGGTGGCGCAACTTTTTTAGTCATGGTGTTTTTGCAGGTTTGCCTTGCCGGCTCTTCTTTTGGTGATTGCTGTTTTCTGGACACAGCCTTGCCTCCAGCCGAGCTTTCAACCAACGACTCCAGAATTTCAAAAGTCGCCAAAGCAAAATCCGGTGGTTACTGTCACTCCCAGCTGCGCTTTCGATCAGGTGAATGAAAGCTGCTTTTTTGTAGACTTTCTGATGCAATTCCATTCTACTCGTCGCTGCACAGTGATTGTCAATGAGATTCTTAGATTGCTCTCCAAGCAGCGATGGTGGCCAAGGTTCATGGCACATTTACTCGCAGCACTGCCTCCCTCATGTATGACGACGGGAGCTTGCCCAGTCACATTGCCTTCTTTGGCTCCTTGGAGGAAGCACGCTCCTACAAGCTGGCAAGTCCTCTGTATCTCTTTCTTTCCTTTCACTGTTCCTTTTTTTCTTACTCCACAGGTGAAGGTGTTCCATGCTCGTACGGTTGACAAAGAAACAGCTCCCCACCACCTCTGGACTGCCAGTCTGCTCAAAGCCGATCAGAGGCACACTCTGCGCTGGGAGAGAAGAAGAGGCTGCGCGTTTCCAGCATGGCTGAGCTGCTGAGGTCCGAACGATAACAGGAGGAGGTGGAATCGTTGCTGGCGCGTTAAAGAAAGGAAGAAAGAGTAAGAACAAACAAAACAGTACGCATCGATGACTCCGCTGCGCACTCTCCTGTGAAGAGAGAGTGAGATCAAAGCAATCAATCCGTGAATGGGATCCTAGAAGTGACCAAGGCCATACTCGACACGGACAAGGAGCTCGCGCGCCAGCGCCTGGCCAAAGTGCGTGATGCAAGACTGGAGCAAGAGCTCTCTTGCGGCTGCCTTGTCGGTGGCGTGTCGTAGCAGCCGCGATTGCAAGCCAAGGCACGAGTTGAAGCCGCCGGTGCAGCCATACCGGAGCACAGCCTCCATGACCACCTCCGCCGTGGGAACTCGGACGTAGACGCAAGGCCGGCCTCCAGTGTAGTAGTGGTGTGCAAACCCGGACCGGACCACTTGCTTGTCTTCGGAGCTGAAATCGTTATGGAGCACAAACTCTTCCATCAAACACATCCGCTCCACGTCGTCCCTCCGGATGCATTTGCCAACGCCTGGGTAAGGATACAGCACCGGGATCTTCGTCTCGAGCTCGCACTTCCGGCACTTGCAAACGATGATCTCCTCGGGCCTCGACGGCCAGATGAGTGACGTGAGCCTGCTCTTGAGACTCCCGCCATAGTAGCTCACCAGGAGCTCCTCGCCCGACTTGAGATCCCTGGCAGCTCTGCAGAAGAGGGTTGTCCCGACGACCCGGAGCGTGACGCTCGGTATGCAACTGTGGTTGATGAGCGTCAACAGCGGCCACAAAACGTTGTCCGGGCACACGGACTTGTGCCCGGCAGCCATGTAAGCGTCCACCACCCTCTCCAGCCCTGCTGCCTCTTCGTGACCATCATCATCCAGGTAGTCTTCCAGGTTCGCAGAGGGATGGAGCAAGCTCACGGGGAGGGAGGCCGCGGCGCTGTTCCCGCCTGGAAGATACTGAAGTAGCTCCGCCACCCTTGGCATCTTTGCTTTCTCGAGGACGGCCTGCTTGAGTGATGCTCCGCCCCTGGCAATCCCGATCGGCTTGGTGGCGAAGATGACATCTCCGGCTTCCAGATCTTTGGTCGCGAACAAGCCGCGGCCATGGAGTGTGGAGGGCGCGCACTGGAACTCGCCAAGGAACTCCGCCATTGGTGCCACCGGAATCTCGGAGAACACAAAGGCGCCGTCCGACACCCCGCCGGCTCGTGCACTCTCGGTCCGGAACGCGGCGCTGGAGAAGTAGGCGCGCAGCGGCTGATCGAAGTCGCCGGTGGTGGACTGTGCCTTGAGCTGCTCCGCGACGGCGAGGAGCTCCACCATTTCGTGGCTGGAGCTGTCCGTGGCCTCCATTCCCGTGCTCAGGGTAGCGCATGCATGCTCGTACTCGCCCAGGCCGATGAGGGATCGCGCCTTGCCAAGAATTGCCTCGATGCTCCACGGATCGATCGCGAGGATGGCAAATGACGCCCTCAGCGCCTCGCAGTATCGCTCCTCCCGAAGCAATCCATCTGCGGCGCAACAAGAAATCCGAGCCAGCCAGCAAATGCGATCCAATCCAATCTCTAGCCGCTTACCGATCGCCATTTCGTGAAGGATCGCGCTCGATCACTGGCCGCGCCCTCGCGTTGCGCTCGATCACTGGCGGCGGCCTCGTGCTGCGCTCGATCGTGGCCCAAAATCGCTTTGAGCCAGCGTGTTTTCTTGTATCGGGCACGTATATGAGACCGTCTCTTATACAATATACACATGGAATACATAGTGTACTAGGGTTTAGTCCTAGCGTACATTTATCTCTATCTTATTTTCTCTCCGTCCGTACCTTTTTGGCGATCCGTACGCACACAATCACGACCCTTTATAATCGAGTTTTGCCAGCCCTTAACTTTCCTAGGATGGAGTGTAGCTGGCTGATCAAACACGCACCCATCACGCTGCCAGCCAAGAGGGTGTCCGGGATCTGCAAAGCACACTCGCGGAACGAAGGCCTCACACCCAAGCCGGATGTTCTTCGTGACCTTCGACAGGGAAAGGTGGGAAAATCTCTTCCTTGTTTTCCTTTTTCTTTCATATTTGTCATTTCTTTCTCCTTCTTAAAAAGGCTTTTGTTATTCCATTTGCAGCCGATTTTTGTTCTTGATAAGCATGGAAGGCTTCTGGTTGCAGCCGCTTCACTGGTTACTGAGGAGAACCTGCGTGATTTCGCCAATCACACGAACAACAACATGTTTATGGTGGCCATGCGAGGCCAAGACTTCGATAGGCTTGGAATAATAAGAGGAGGCTGGCCGTATGTAATGAAGGCGAGACCGTCATCCGGCACTCGTCTGGGTAGAATGGTGGAAACTATCCGGGCTCTTGGAACCCTGCCTGTCGACAGGCACTTGTTCAAGATCACAGACGAGGGTATACTTCCAGTGCGTTGCAGCAATGACAGTGAAAACCCATTTTCATATCCTGATCCCAACTCTTGCAGCAGCTCGGATATTACTGTGGATCTTGTGGCTTCTGCAGGATTGCCACCGGTTGCACTGTTAGTAGATTGTTTGGGTTTAGGGCTTACTTCAAACGATTAAACTTCATCGTAAAGTAATCTAATTATATCATTCATATTTTAAAATATTTCTTATCTAGCGGGTTCTGGTCACTTTCCAAATGAAATAAAGAAAACCACTAGTGGCAAAAAGAAAAGCTTACCGGAATCGTGAAAAAGCACACGTGTTTAGGGCAAACGGTTATATGGTCATTTTCGTACGCGTATATGGGCCGCTCGGTACGGACAGAGGAGCGAGCCCAGCTCGAGCGGGAGGGCGATAAGGCGCATTTCTTGATCCCGGCAAGAGATGTCCATCGGTTAGTGAAGATCTTTGCAAGCCTCCGTGGAAGTTCATGGGCTTCTTTCTGTTTCGCTCGCCATTGCTTGCGAGGACTTTCTTGCAGATGCGCTGATCCGAGAGGGGAAGTACTGCGAGGCGTTGCAAGCTGCGCTCGCGATCCTCGCCATGGATCCCTGGAGCGTTCCAGCGATCATCGGGAAAGCAAAATCCTTGCTCGGGCTGGGGGAGTACGAGCTTGCTTCCTCGACTCTGAGCGCGGGAGTGGAGATCACGCAGAGCTCCAGCAGCGACATGATCGAGCTCCTCGGCGTTGCGGAGGAGCTCAAGACACAGGCGATCACCGGTAACTACGATCGGCCTCTCCTTGCGTACTTCTCCAGCGGTGCATTCATGACCCAAGATGGGAGCTTGGGCAGGATCACGCTGTGGCCGATTCCATGCCCAGGCTACAACATGCTTCTCTCCACTGCCGGTGTGCCACAGATGGCGGATTTCTTCGGGGATTTCCAGTGCCAAGCATCCGAGCTTCATGGCCGGGGACTGTTCGCTACCAAAGCCTTGAAAGCGGGCGATCTCATTTTTGCCACCAGGCCGCTGGCGATGGAGGACTATTTCAACGATCTCTCGCTCAAGCAGGACATCCTCAACAAGGCCAGCGACCTTTCCAGGGTGGCCGAGCTCCTCCACTACCTGGATGGAGCGAGCAGGAGCTCGGCTCCTCCTCCAAACAGGTTGCTCGTCCCTTCCGGAGACATGGAGGACTACATGGGCGATCTCTCCACTGCCATGGATCCGGAGCTGGAGAGCCGGGTGGAAGCCGTGGTGCGCGCCTACACAGAGCGAGGCCATCCAAGCTTGTCCCCGCGCAACGTGCTCTGGCCGCTCCTCACACTGATCAACCATTGCTGCGTGCCGACGATCACCCTCCGGGTTGTGGGATTCACGCTCTTCTGCCGCGCGGCTCGCGATCTCAAGCCCGGCGAGGAGCTGCTCTCGAGCTACGGTGACGGCCCACTTCGCAGCCGAGTCTCGTGCCTCAGACATCTCGGCAACGAGGAGAGCGCCTTCGACTGCCAATGCGTCAAGTGTACTCTTGAGACCAAGATTCTTCCACAGCCGCAGCAAGACGCCAGCGAGATCAATGTCCGTGAAGTCGAGGAGTCTCTGCGACGCAGCCGCGAGTTGAGCGTCGAGGACAGGCAGATCATCCGGTCTGCCTATGGATTCTTATACTACAAGGAGGGGATCCAGTCAGTTCTCCCGGACGCCGAGGTGATCATGGACGCCGTGCATCGTTATGCCAACAGCAAGCTCGTGTTTCACTCATGCTTGCGCTTGCAGTCACAGCTGCTTCGCGACGCTAAGAACAAGGAAGCTGGGAGGGAGATTCTACTCAAGTCGTGTGTCTCACACTTTGGTGTGTCTCTTGCGCAGGAGCTCGTAGTCCGAGTGGAGCATGGTGTTGGTGCCTTCTAGATCGTCGCCACGCTATAGCGTACGTATGTAACTAGACCTGCCTGGGAGGGAGTGGCCTCCTTTTTCAGCTGAAAGTTTTGTCACTGAATCTTGTGATAAGATGACAAGCAAGCAAGCATTGTCACCAATAGAGTGGCTCCGATGGCGAGCTAGTGAGGGCAGCACTGCGTTCGACTTTACGTTTGACGAGGCCGGGCAGAGTTGCTCGACGGGAACCTAGGTGTTTGTGGCCAAGGAGTGCACAGGGAGACGAGGTAAGGTGAAGTGCCACGATCTTCCAGTGATGGGGTGGTGTCCATGCTTTGCGCAAGCAAGGGAGGCAAGGTTCTCTAGGCGGTGCTTGCGGAAGCACAAGGTGGCGAGGAGACACTACAAAGCGCCGGCGGTGGTCAGAGTACCGAGACAAGTAGTCGTGGCTCTGCAGAAGGCAATCCCTGGTCATGACGATTGTCCAGCAGGAGACACGCCAAATAACTCATGATTCCCAATATATCTCTCATGTATCTCTCGTAGACGGTGGCTTGCCATGAAGAGCACGAGTCAGTTCCAAGCATGGACATGGTGTCCTTGGGCGCCTCTAAATCCTGTGCCTTGTCTTGTCACTCGCAACCATGGAAGAGAACACTTCGCTTGGCTGGACGCAGATTGTGAGACGAAGGCAATCTCACCACTCTCTCTCTCTGGATATACAAGAATGCGATCTGGTCCATGGATTGATATCAAAAGTAGTGAATGAAATAGAAAGTCAGAATCTTTGTGTAGTGCTGGGGGATACCCGCAGCCTTTTATGGTCTCCCCATGTTTGACTAGCTTCACATAGAGGAAGTCACAAATTATTCTCTACCTTGCTTAATAAGAAGTTGAGTTTCTTGTAAAAAAAAAGTACAGATAAGAAACTTTTAACTTAAACTAAATCTAAAATGTTTTTTAGATTAATTAAGAAGTCTGTTTCTGTAAAAACAAAAAACATAAATATAAATAATTTTCATATAAACTAGTTTTGTTTACTAGCTGACTTCTTCTTGCCTGCACCAGCTCCTTGTAGTCTTGCATGTCAAGGTCCACCTCTTCTAAGTGCCTCTCAACAGTGGCAAACTTCTCCCTGGGAAGCCTTGTCTCTAAATTGCTTGTGACCTATCAAGCATCAAATTTGCTTTCTGAGCAATTTAAGTTAATACAAAATGACCCAGGGCCTGTCACACTCAAATTGTTAAAAAGAGTCAATTCTTCACCAATATAGAAACTCCTGAAATTCTTGTTGCTCATGCAAGTGAACCCAAAAGAAAGTCAAATTGGCTTGTGAGACTAGGCTCCCTACACCTCCTACAAACGTCAACAAAGACATTTGTCAGACTGCCACTAACGTCCACCACTAGAGAACAATTGTTTGGAAAATATAGAGAGCCAAACAACCCAAGTCTATCACAAAACATGCATCTCTCTGGGGTGGAAGTCTGCACAATAAGCATAGAAACAGAAACAGATGAAAAGATCCTTGGAGTTTTTAAACTTGATAACTGGAATGTCCCCTCACAAGCTAAACATAAAGATTGCCTACATTGTAATGCTCCTAACTAGAAATAGGGCTCATGAAGCAACTTTTGTACAACAACCCTTGTGAGCTATTACTCCAAGGAATGTCAAATTAAAGAGAACTGGTTGGAGCACAAAAAAGTTTTGCAAGTTTGGGAAAGTGTGCTAGGGAAGTGTGCATGCACCAAGGTCTGTTGTCACGATGAGCAGCCTCTAAAAGAGTTGAGCTTTTGTTTTGCAGCAGCAGCAGATCTTCACAATGTTGTAGAAACCCTAGATTCTTTACCAAACATAAGCAAAGCTGAAATCTTATACACAAAGCAAAAGAGTCCTATCTAGGATCTCTTTGAAACCAATGGATTAAGACATGCTATTCATAGAAAGTGCCAATTTCCTATAAAGATTGCATTTTTTGCAACAATATGTAAATCCTAAAGACAAACACTGCTGCTAAAATTAATTTTCGGCCATGGTCAAGTTTCATACTTTCGTTTGAAGGGAACATCAAAAAAATGAATTTTAATCTTTATAGAAAATTGCAAGAGACAGCTGCAAAACAGAATCATTAACCCAAAAACCATTGGCTAGGAGTGGTGAAGCGCTTCTTCTTTTTCTTCTTCCCTACAAATAGAATTATATCACCAACCAACAATTTTCTTATCTAATCCAGCAGAGCTGGATTGCTTGCTACTTCTCTATTTATTCTACTCTGCCAGTTTCAATTGTAGTGACATCATCTGCTGAACTACAGAGGGCGTCCATGTTCATCGCTACTACACTTCTTCGTCACTACTTACCTTCTTCCACTTCTGCTTCTGTTCATTGCTACTTGAAGATGCTTTCCGCATCAGCTTCTTCCTCTTCGGCTTCTCTTCGCTATCACATTTTGGTCCTGGCCTGCGCCGTGAGCGTAGCTGTGAGAACGGCCCCTCAAGTATGGCACATGCAGCACACTGCCTCCGGACCGCCACAGTCCTCCATAACCCCTGCGTCCAATATTGACTTCACGATTCTCTCTTTAGATCTGATGCTTCTGCGCCTTCGCCTGCAGGAATGCCTTCTTGCATTCATTGACTCACTTCAGCACGGCAGGGTCCATTTTAGACCGCCTTTCCTTCTTGGACTGCTTTCTCTTCTCCATGGCCTCTCTTCTCTTCTCTTCCAGCTCCTCTAGCAACTTGCAATCTTCTTCCGTGATACCATCAGCGAAGGACTCCAAGAAAGTCGAAACATGCAGCCGATGCTCCATAGCATCCACCTCTTTGTCCAGGGGGTTCAAATCAACCTTCGTCGGGCTGAAGAAGGAATAATGCACCCGACCTTCGTCCTCGCTCAAGTCCGGTAGCCAGATTCGAACGTATGACTTCTTCACAAATTTCTGTTCTGTCTTTCGATGGTCCTCAGCGTTCATGGTTATCTGCCCAGAGAATTATATGGACGACGCCAGACTTGAACACCACCACGAAATCGGTGTACTTGAAGAAATAACTATCCGGAAGTAGTACAACTCCCTGACCGTCCCGAAAGCCCTTAGTCTGCACCTGCTTCGGCTCTGCTCCCTCAAAAGGTTCCCTGGTGAATTCTCTCGGAACCTTGAAGTCCCCTAGCTTCATGCCTTTCTTACAAATCACTTCACTGATAAAATTTTCAATCAGCCAGCCGAGCTCAGCCCAGTTCATACGCCTCACATCTGCCAGCCTTTGACGTGCGTAAGCCGTCAAGACTTTGTTCCGATAGGATCTGTAGACGTCAAGTGCCTGTTAACCTCCTCCGTATGGATCCTTGCGATAAAAGGGGTGCAGAACTCCGTCGCCACCGTAAACGCCGGGAAAAGAACAGCCAGTGGTAACAGCGGGTCCAAATTCGCCATGTTCCTGCGTATCGAATTCTTTAAATCTTGAAATTCCGGATCCTGTTTGTAGCGCCGCACAAGCATCTTCCAGTCTAACTTCTGCAGGACAGAACGTTAAGGTCCTAGTTACAATAATTCATACGGTGCACTTACATGGCAGTACTCCTCAATTAGCTGATTGGGATCAGGAGGAACAGCAGCAGAAGAATCAGCGGCAAAAGGATCAGTGGTGGCAGAAGGATCAGCGGCAAGCTCGGGATGCTGTTGTGGTTGCACGCAGAGATCATATATCTCGCGAAATCCATCGTACTCTTCGTCAGCACCTGCGGCGTAACCTGTCAGGCTGTTGCAGTGGTTAACAAGAATGGAAAGTGACAACGGGTGGCATGCAGCAAGGTCCTCGACATCACCCCAGTGCTCAGGATAGTTCTCAAGAAACTTGCCAAGAACAGTTCCCGACAGGTACGCATCACGCTCTGCCTGTTTGACGAAGATAGTTAGCAAACTCCAATCTGAAGTCACCACATTACCTTCGTGAACATCTTGCTGATATTATATACTGTGGGACTACCTTGAAACCGAGATTGTTTCAATACTTCACTGTTGGGTGAAAGGGCCTTCACCACAACGCGTGCTTGCCCCCAAAGTTCGTCTGTCCATTTCCTGGCTGCCCTGCGCTTCTCTGCATCACTTCCGGTCCTCGGATCATGACGCTCTTCCCCATCAGTCAACAGGACGATCCTTTCGCCGAGCCGCCTCCGCCTTTCCAGAAATGCCTTAGCATCTTCCGGTGTTTCTATGGAGGCTATGGCCTCCTCCGCGCCTTTCTCGTTGCAGAACGTGAAGAGCAGCACGTCACGGATCTGTTCAGCAACGGGATGATCCACATTCAAGTACCAAATACACACTATTCTGGTGATAGGACATCCAGGTCGTGGCCGCTTGTTCGACATATCGTAAAGTTTAATAAGCTCCCAAGCGAAGGCCCTCAATATGCTGCTTTTCCCCCCTCCCTTGGTACCTGTCAATATGAAAACGCCCCCCCTGCTATTCTTGAATAGAGGTTCCACAGCATTCCTAAAACCGATGTACTCCCCCGTGCTGCAAAATTCGAACTCGAGAGGAGGCCTCTTGATCCGGCACGAACCCTCCAACCCCGGGAACGGAAGAAAAACCTTGGAGCCTTGATTCCACAACTGTGTGAAATCTACTTCACGAGCCCTCGCCACTCGCGCCTTATTCACCTTGCTCTCAAGCGGCTCATCCTCCATCTCTGCTGTAAACTTTCAAGGAGACCTAGTGAAATGTGGTTTTTAAATGTTAGCTTTAATCTTAAATATTTAAATTTAACTTTAACATTTACCGCTGACCGAACAAATTGAGCTATGCTTAGGTAGTGAATATATTTAAAATATATTTAAATATTCTAAGATATTCTACCATTTAACCATTGTTATTAATCTTGCATTTATGATTTATAAACATGTTTATAATTATAAACTTCCATTTGATCATAGATTAAGTGTTCGTCTCTCCCAGCACAACCTTCCATGCCGAGTATGCCTCTGATCGACTTTGAGACGCCATTAGACTAGGGCTAGCAAACTGGAGTTTGAGGAAGTTGGCGGTGCCCACTTGCGCAAGTGCGCGCCAGTCCAGGATCTGTACTCGTTCGCGGGAGTAGAGAAGCTTGCCAACTTGTAGGAGCGTGCTTCCAGAAATGGCCGGAGTTTGTCCTCCAAGGATTAAAAAATGACGATGTGACTGGGCAAGCTCCCGTGGGTGGATCCTCCATGAACCGTGAGGCCTCGTCTTTGCCACCATCGCTAAGAATCTCATTGGCAAATCCTTGTGCAGTGACGTGTAGAATGGAGTAGCATGGCATTGCGTCAGAAACGTAATGCTTTCCACCCTTTGGTCTGCCGCTTCATTGCCAAGGTACTCCATTCAGCCGCGCTGTTTGGGCAAAAGTAGTGTTCGTTAGTCTACAAACAAGCAGCTTCTTTCACCTGGTGGACGAGCGAAGTGTAAAGCGCAGCTGGCACGTTGGAGACAAGCAGTCCGATGAGAATGGCTGTAAACTTCATCGTCCACCGGATTTTGCTTTGACAATTTGCTTACTTCCGGACTCAATGGAGGCAAGGCTGTTCCCAGCAAAGAGCATCGCCAGAGGAAGTGCTGGCAAGACGAACCTGAATGACTAGAAAAGTTAAGTTGCTCTTCATACATATGCTAACGGATACCTGAATTCTTTGTGCCCGAGCAGACTATACGTGAACAATATCCAAGCTACAAGACCCGCAAGAAACCACTGCCGCGACTACCAACATGTTAGCGGCAAGTGCGTGAATGCCATCGCTGGAAAGCCCTGGGTGAAATACCAGTGCCAGGGAAATTAAACAGAAGTCACCATCCCCCCAGAGGAAATTAAACAGGAAAACCTCAGCAGCACAAATAACCATTTCCGTACATGATCCTGTCCAAAACGAAAGTCGCTCCAAGAATGCCACACCTGAAAGTTGGAGGCAAATGTAAGGGTTTTGAGCATGGAACACGCCTCCTTTGCGTATCCGATAGGAAGAACTTCATGGAGGAGATATCTGGACCAGTTGACGAGCTGGCAAAACATCTGCATAATAAAGTTTGAGAATCGAGTTTTCCTCACATTTTTTCAGATGGAACTTACTGTCCACTTTGCAACACGGTCACCAAATGCTCGACAAGCGAGCTTCCACAGGTAAACATCACCGGCTGCGGCAATGAGAGACTGGAAAAGCCTTGGCGACCTCCACTATCATGGAATCATTCATGAAAAGCTAGAAGGCATTAGAACTTTCTCGAAAAAAGCTTAAGTTTTATCGAGCTTACCATGAACCAGTATCCAGCTTAAACACTGCCAACGTCTTAGCGCGCAGCAAAGATGAGCGGGTGTAGGTAGCTCCGAAGACCTTCGTTCCATTCCCAAGTCCATATCTAGACAAAGAAAAACAAGAATGTAGCATGAGAGATTTGTGAAGACAAGATTTACCCGAAGACAATGCGGTGTGGGTGCTGTGCATCGCATTTTTGCTGTTTAATGCACTGCTCGTTCGCACGTACTACGAGCACTGGAGTTGCAACAAACCACGCTCTCGAGCGCGATCCCTCTTCAAAAACCCTAGAACAATTTCCTACACTGCTATGTTTCAACTAAGATGGATGTAAAATGCCAACTCTAGGAAAGATAACGACGACTTGTATTGGAGATTGGGACTACGCAAGCTTATACATTGGCAATTGAATTAAAAATGCCAATAGCTGCGGCCTAGCAGGCGCTGACTTGCCTGTAGTGGCTGGGTCTGTGGTCCGGATACCTCACAAGATAGCCGTCACGCTTGAGAAGCAGCTGCTGGCTCAATCGAGGTGTTCTCCCAAACTCTCTGATGATCTTGGAATGGAGCAGCATGAACTTGCCATCCTCGAGCTCGACAACTGCGTTGTGCCACTGTTTGGATGCGGGTGGATGGAGATGCGCAGCTGCAACGGGAAGAGCCACTCCACCATGGGCCGAGTATGAACCGTTCCAGTTCCAGAGGATCATGAGGAAGCCAACTTGGCTGCACAACTTCGACTTTGACGGAAGGTCCTTGCAGCTCTTGTGTCGTGCAAGTCCTCGAGGGTGAACCTGGAGAAGCCACGATACAGATTACGTGCTCGGGGTCTTCCTACCTTGGTGACGGTTGACTCGTCACATCCAAACAATGAGCGTTCGCCTGGCATTCTCTGCATTGGCCGTGAGCTCAGTCGCAACTGAATGCTCCACTGCCGTGTTGGATAAAAGGTTGGCAATGCTGTTCTCGCTGTGGTTGTCCAGCAGAAACTCGTCCAGGCTAAAGAAACTGACCAAGCCGGGATACAAATTGTGTGCCATCTCCCAAAACATCCCTCCATAAGAATCCACAGCAGCATCGTCAGAGCCGACGAGATCAGAGAAGACATGGCCATCCGAGACGATGTTGTAGTGCATGCCTGGATCCGCAACAATCTTCATGGAATGGATGGCCAGCTCCTCGGCCTTGTCAGGGCACTTTCCCAAAGTCTTGTTGAGATTGCATGACTTGACTGGAATTGCCTGCAAGACGAGGAACATTCTTTGTGACGGCTATATATATGAAGTCCAGGTGTATGGCTATAATGTTACATACTATTACATGGTACCTCACCTTATCTGCAAACCTTTGCTTCACCCCGCTGGTGAACCACTGATCGTGCTTTGGAAAGTGGATGTAATTCTTCTCAATGATGTCCACAACCTTGGAAGGTGATGGTCGTCCACCTCTTGAGGTGTGTGTGAGGTAAAGGACTCCAAAAGGCAATCTCTAGTCATGACGCCGTTGTCCAGCAGCAGAGAGGCCAGATAGCTCATGCTCTAGCTATCCTCCTCCTGGAGACTGGGATGAAACCACGCCCTCAAACCCATTCCCAATGTATCTCTTGTACACGGTGGCTTGCCATGAAGAGCATGAATCAGCTCCAAGAATGGACATCGTGTACCTGTTGATTTCAAAGTCAAATGTTGTAGAGGCGGCCAAGGCCACAATCTCCATGACACCGGAGTCCAAGAGCCCGAGTTATCTCAGTGGGACCTTAGAAATAGTACAGAGGAAAAATTTCAGCTAACAAATCTTTTAATCTGGAGCATATCAATGAGCACCCAAGGACTAAAGAAAAGAGAAATTCTTGTCATCCAGAAGTGAACAAGCAGCAGGTAAGTCTTGTCATGGCAAGGACTCAGGAGCGGTTGAGGGTTCGACATCGGGGACCAGCATTTTCCCTTCCACGAGAAGAATGCGGTGGAAAAAAACAAGACAACTTTTTAACTTTTTAATCAAGAAGCTTTACACATCGACGTCCTTCACCTTGCTGCTTGCAAATAAGAACATATTTCAAGCCCTTGCTTCCAGTCATCCAGCTGAGATCGATCGATAGGGGATATGTGGACTCCAGTGTTCTTTTTCGTGTTCGCCCTCTGCGTTAAGTGTTCTACACTTCACATCATCACATCTGCTTTGGTCGCAGCTGACATTATATATACTGCTCTTTGGCTCTCCAGCTTCTGGATGGATCCAGTGCCCGCCGCTATGGCCGATGGGGTGGCACAGAAGGCATCGAGTTTAGCGACGGCGAGTCCAAAGGGATTGTGTGCATGAGACTCTGGCATGGTGAAGTGTTTGATGGTCTCCAAGTGATGTATGACTATGGAGATGGTCAGTATATCTGGGCACCAGCTCATGGCACTACCACACACAAGGCACCGACACAGGTGAGCTCCAACTTGTCCACGAGATCACCTGGTTCTTCCTTCTTGTTCTTCGCAGATATGTCTGGACTATCCAAATGAAGAGATAACCCAAATGAGAGGATTCGGAGGACCAAGCAAGTTCACGAGAGATGGGATAAATCAGCTCACCTTCATCTCCAGCGACAAATACACTGGGCACCAGAAGAGCTATGGGCCATATGGAATCACAACAGGACAGTTTTTCGTCACTCCAGTCGGCAAATTCGTGGGCTTCTGGGGCTTTGCTACACAAACTCAGTACTTCAGAGGCATCGGAATGTATCTGGAGCGACCCTGCTATCCTGGATCCAGCTTTAATTCGTCATCCACACTAGAGCTCAATGTGGCTTAAGCTTGTTTGATCCTTGATCATGTCCGAGAATTTATACGTATGACTTGTCCTTTGGCCCTGTGCTCCTCGAAACATAGTTCCCTGTGCCGTAGCGACTCGATATACAGCACGAGCCTCTCCATCTCCAACTTGCTCTGTGAGCTGAGTTAGCACCTACAGATCCCTGCCACAAACCCATGTCCTCCTCGTTAAAAAAAAAAAAACACGTAGCTTTCATGAAAACATATCGGTTCATACCGCGATCTAGTAGAGATCATCCCATTCGCGAGCCCGTGGCCAGCTTCGAGCTTCGCAGATCCACCTACGAGCGCAGGGTAACTGGACTCCTGCTAATGTAACGTCACTACCTTCCTGTTAGAATCTCCACTTCTGTAAGAGCATCCTGACGACCCACTGCGGTGGTGACGGTGCCGAAGTTGGCCAGCTTTCTCGATCTTGTCCGGAAACCAATCTGCAATGGCTGCCCTCCTGGTTTCTTAAAATCGAAAGGTGATAAACTCTGATCGGTAAACGTACCTGAAATTGTCGCTGCAGTCATAAAGGTACACGAGATTGGCGCCACCAGAGGCAAAACGTTCGGCGGGCGAGCAGGCAATGAGGAACTGATCGATCACCTATATGGCATCACGTCATTCCGCTGAAAAGAACTCTCAAGCGTACCATGCACTAGATGAAATATAGAGCGCAGCAACATGGAAGAAGTTGCAATGAATTCCAAGTGAGAGGCGCTGAAAAAACACAATTTTTTTCTGGAAACCAGCTCCGAATTAGGATTACCCGAAAACGTGCTCCTCTTACGAACGAGGAGCGCATCGAGTAGCCGGAATGCGGCAAACAGCATGAGCAGCCCCCCATCCCCCCCATAAACCCAGGAACTTGGTTGGTTGGTCGATTATGTCACCCACCAAGTTGGTCATCTATGATGGACAGACCAACTTGGGATAGCGCATTGCCGGCCTGTCCAAAGAGCGATGTGATGGAGTACTGCTCCATGGACTTCACCTGGTACCACGAGTCCATCACCACGTTGTTTTTGTCGGTCCCAGAGAACGCGACATTTATCTGTAAGAGCCAGAAAAGGAGTAAGGATGCTTCTTCTCTGTCTCGGAGGAAAAGACACAAAACTTACGGCAAATCGGCACGGATCAGCGCCTTTTACCGACGCAATAGTCGACGATGGATCCAGACAAGTCGACTCTGACGTCGAACAGGCGCCTTGGAAGCACGAAGCGCTCGTCTTTCCACCGCAGGATGCACACTTATCGTCCTTCCTGAAGAAAGAAACGTAAACACACACAAGAGTCTAAACAAAGGTGATTCTTACCAAAGCAAATTCTTGAGCACTCCTTTCTTGAGCTCAATCACGAGCGTGTAGATCGGTATTCTCCCCTGCTCACAAAACAAACCGTGACTCCAATTTCGGCTAAAACTCTTCCTCATGAACTTACGTAAGGAATGAGGAAGTATTTTGGAGTCGAGACAATTGTGGGGTTCCCAGCATACGCAACCACAGTAGCATTCCCAGGAAACTGGAACAAACAAACAAAACCTGATAAGAAAGTCAAAGTAAAAGAAAAAGATCTTTTACTGTGCTCTTCGATCGTGGGAGTTTGATAGATTACGGCAGTGTGGAGATCCAGATAGCTCGCATTGTTCGTCCGCAGCATCGAGATTTGATCCAGCAGAGGCCTGAACACGGCAACCCGGGAATTCGCCGGCATTTTCTGCCCAACACAGCAAACCAAAGAAAGCTCGATCAACACGAGTTCTCAGACAACACTCACAGCAACGAGCGCGTTGTCGCAAGGCGAGAGCTGATTGAGCGACGGATCCGAGTTGTTGTACCAAACCGAGGGCGCGCCAGTGTACCCTACCGCAATGCTGATCGAATCCTTGCCCCCGACCGGCAGCAACTGGCGGCACGGATTGAATACCGGATTGTTGTCCGCGGCATCGACGAGAATCATCGCGATCGGCAGGAGCGCCAGCAGCAGCAGCAGCGCCATTGCTCTTCTCCTCTAGGGCTAGGGCACTTCTTTTCCCGCTCATTGGTTTAAACTCTAGCATTAGGGTGCGACCTGTTATAGAAATATAATTCCCGGGCAGATGCATTTGAGATGATCAATATCAAATACATTAGGAGTTTACAAATATAAAGTGTAACATAGAAACGATCCTCTCTTTCACAGAGGACACAAGAATCACGTCATGTATGCCTCCAAAGTACGTGATAAAGATCAGTGATCTAGACAATGGGTGTCTTCCCTGTGGTACGAAACAAGCTAGATAAGTATAAAACAAAGATCTAAAGATCTTGAGAGTTTTCTAGAACATACCTGGTGAAAAGCCTCGGGAAGAACAAATCCAGCAGCTTCTATAACCAGCTAAAATGCGTTAACAACCGTGAGCCCTAAACAACAGAGGATATACCGTGAGCCCTAAACAAGGCCTGTGACAATGCCCTAATTACCAGAGTAACTATCGAGTACTGGTCCCATATCTTTTGCGTGGGCTCCTGTTTCTATGGCTAGAACAGGAGCACAGGCAGCCAAGATGGGGTTTTTCTAACCAATGTAGTGTCGATCGTGCTCGCTCGCTCGCTCGGTCTCCGCGATTGCTCCACAAATCTTGGCGTCAAGCTTCCAACAATGGTGACGCGGATCGGATCTGGTGGTGCCCACGGCGCAAAACGTTGACAAGTTCTTCCCTCTTCTATTCTGCGAGGGGGCAAGAGATAGGGAAGGAGAGGAGAGCTCCCGATAGTTCCGTGCTCTGGGTAAAGACAGGAGCTTCTTGGACGGAGCTCATCAAGGCCGTAGAGATGGAGGAGATGTGGCGGCGTTGGGAGGCCGCCAGCCACAATCACAGTGCTCCGCCGGACGGGAGAAGGATGAGCGACAGTGGGCGATGACGCCAACACCCCCGAATCGTGGCACCGATCGAGGCGGAGACGGAGAATCGGGAGCCCAAGTCGCTTGATCATCGATTAGATTTGGCAGAAATGGATGCGGTGGTCGAGACCGATGAGGAGGAGGAAGCCCAAGAACAGGGAAAGGGAAGAATGTGGAAGTTGGACCAAACTTTGGATCAGCCACTCGGGGAGGAGGCCGGGCGCGTCGCCAGTATGTGGCGATCCGACAAGGTTTGTGATGAATCCTCCATCCCGCTTGTCTCGTGAATCCAATTGGGCTTCTTTGTTTCTTGCTCCAGGGATTGTCCACGGCCACCACTTTGTGGCTGGCCTTCTTGAGCTTGGGAGTGGTGTATGGAGATCTTGGAACCTCGCCTCTCTACGTCTTCTCGAGCATCTTCCAGGACACTAGCACCGTGGAGAACACCGACGATATCCTTGGAACGCTCTCGCTCATCATCTACACCATCACTCTCATCCCTCTCATCAAATACGTGTTCATCGCGCTTCAGTCGAGCGACTATGGCGAAGGTTGGTTCTTTTTTCTCGCTCGTTGTTTCCTTCTCGTCTCGATCGGGAGCTCATGAATCCTTGTCCGCAGGTGGAACTTTTGCTCTCTACTCGCTCATCTGCAGGCACGTCAAAGCAAACACCATCCAAAACCAGCATCACACCGACTTGAAACTCACGACGTATAGCCGCCGGCCAGTAGCTCCAAACTCTCTGGCTTTCAAGGTGAGAACACTCTTGGAGAACAACTCCCATCTCCAGAAGATCTTGCTCGTCCTGGTTCTTTTGGGAACGAGCATGGTTATCGGCGATGGTATCCTTTCCCCGGCAATCTCAGGTAGCGACACACACTTTTTCTTCGCTCTTCTCGCTCGTTTTCTTCTGACAATACGCGACCTTTGCAGTACTTTCGTCTGTCAAAGGCATTCAAGCGGCGCATCATTCTCTTCCGGAAGGTACCAAAGAAGCAGCGCTCACAAAAGTTTACGCAGCATTTGTTTCTTTCTGCAGAAGCTGTGCTGGTGCTGTCCCTGCTGATTCTGGTGATCCTGTTTTGTATGCAACGATTTGGAACCGGCAAAGTGGCTTTCATTTTTGCTCCCATCATCTTTCTCTGGTTCCTCTCCATTGGTTTGATCGGGCTCTACAACATTTTCAGGCACGATCCATCCATCTTCCGGGCGCTCTCGCCGCTCACTTTCATTCGCTACTTCCACAGGAGTGAAGTGAATGGATGGGTCGCTCTTGGAGGAATTATGCTCTCCATCACTGGTAAACGATGTTCCTCTTTCGTTTTTACGCTGTAGCTCATGCAAGGAATTCACATTGCAGGCGCAGAGGCATTGTTTGCAGACCTCGGCCATTTTTCCGCTCTTTCCATTCAGGTAACGAGTTTCCTCGAGCGAAAGAAAAAACCAGAAAGAGAAAAGATAGATGAATTGGTATACAGAGATTTCTTATGAGAAACTTTTGCAACAGCTGGCGTTTACATTTCTGGTTTTTCCTTGCCTCCTCGCAGCTTACATGGGGCAGGCTGCGTTCTTGATGCATCATCCAGATCGAGTGGCCGATGCCTTCTATAGCTCTGTCCCAGGTACTACGGTTTTCTCAAAGCTCGTGAACAAATATGTGAACAAAACTTCTCTTTTACCTTGTTTCACAGGACCTCTGTACTGGCCAATGTTTGTGATCGCCACCGCAGCAGCGATCATCGCGAGCCAGGCAACAATCTCGGCAACTTTCTCTATAGTCAAGCAGGCAGTAGCACTCGGCTGCTTCCCTCGAGTAAAGATCGTCCACACTTCTCAGCGTTTCATGGGCCAGATTTACGTGCCCGAGGTGAACTGGATACTCATGGCGCTGTGCTTGCTCATCACTGCTGGCTTCCGCAAAACAACGCAAATCGGCAACGCATACGGTACTCAAAAACACTTTTTTTCCTTTTCAGGAAGAGCAAAACTTACTTCCAACTTGCTTGTCACAGGTGTTGCCGTGATCGGAGTTATGCTAGTCACGACTTTGCTCATGGCTTTGCTCATGGTGGTCATCTGGCAAACAAATATTTTCCTGGTGCTGCTCTTCCTCGCCGTGTTTGGCACCGTGGAGCTCGTCTACATCTCGGCCGTGCTCTTCAAAGTTCCAAATGGTGGCTGGGTTCCCCTGGCGATAGGAGCGGTCCTCTTGCTCGTCATGTATACATGGCACTACGGCTCCACGCAGCGCTACGAGACCGAGAAACGCAACAAAGTCTCGGTTGGATGGATCCTCGGCCTGGGACCGAGCTTGGGACTCGTCCGGCTGCCCGGCATCGGCCTCTTCTACACCGAGCTAGCTCATGGAGTTCCATCGATCTTCTCCCACTTTTTGACGCACTTCCCAGCGATCCACTCCATCCTGGTGTTCGTCTGCGTCAAGTACTTGCCGGTGAGCACGGTGCCAAAGGAGGAGAGGTTTCTGGTGCGAAGGATCGGCCCCAAGAACTACCGGATGTTCCGCTGCGCTGTGAGATACGGATACAAGGATCTCCACAAGCGAGACGACCATTTCGACGATCTCTTGATCCAGACGCTGGCAGCGTTCGTGAAGTACGAGTCGCTGCTCGAGAGCGTGGATGGACAGGACGATGGAAACTCGGAGTTAAGCCAGGTGGTGTACGCGGCGTCGAGCTCTCAGTCCCAGCAAGAACAGCAAGAACACGATCACCAGGAGACGAGGAACACGGTGGCGGGGTTCATGAGCAACTCTCTCACGTCGGTGAACTCGTCGACGCAGCTGACGAGCTACAGCAGCGATGGCGACGACAGAGATGATCGACGACAGGACGAGCTCAAGTTCTTGCACAGCGCCAAGGAGCAAGGCATCGTCCACATCCTCGGCAACACGCTCATCCGGTGCAACGAGGGATCGGGGCTGCTGAGGAGAGCGACGATCAATTACTGCTATGGATTCCTTCGCAGGATCTGCCGGGACAACTCGGTGATCTACCACATCCCTCACGAGAGCCTCCTTCACGTCGGCATGGTCTACAATGTGTGATCGAGGCATCCATAGCTTCGTTACTATTGATTGAGAAAGAAGATCGCGAAGAACAATGATTAGATTAGCAGCGGTCGTTAGTGGTAAAGTGGGGGTTAGATTAGTGGGAATAAAACGTTCTTCCCGGTTGGCGGCATGGTATTGGGCGCGGCCTCTATGTCCAAACGTGTGAGGGGAGAACCCTATGCGTGAGTGATGTAGAGCTCACTCCTGCAGCACTGCCAAAGAAAGCTTTGCTCGCCCAGCGCCTCTCTCTCTTCTTCCTCTCCTCCATCATTTTCATTGCCACTCTTCCAAATCCACACTCCAGTTCTCGAGAGAGTGAGAATGAGAGTGTGATTTAAAGTGTGGCAGAGAAGAGCCAGCGCTCTTTAATCGATCCAAGAGCGCGCGGAGCGAGCGCCGCCGCCGCTCGAGTGTGGATTGCTTCTTCTTCTTCGACTTCTTCTTTAATGGGGAAGCTCAGTGCTGCGGAGAAGGAGAAGACCAAGATCCGCGAGAGGCACAGGCGCGCGATCACGACGCGGATCTTCACTGGCCTGCGCAAGCACGGCGGCTACAATCTCCCGCCGCGAGCGGACATCAACGATGTTCTCCGCGCGCTTGCCGGCGAGGCGGGATGGATCGTGGAGACGGATGGAACTACTTATCGCCCCCAGCAAGATCAGAGCTCTCACTCCCAGCAGCACCAGGTTGGTCTTTCTTTCCATCTCCTTCCATTCGCTAGCATTTGATCACCAATCGAGTCGAGCGAGCAAAAGAGAGCGCGAGTAGAAGATTTCTTGATCGAGATATGGGAATGAGATTAATCGTGGTTTCTCTTGTATGTTTCTTGGGCAGAAGGTCGCATTGAGCCAGATTTCGCTGCCACAGTCGGGAGGATCCGGAAGAACCACCACAACATCGCTGACAAACACGACACACTCGATCAGCAGCGGCGGCCACCACCACCACCACCACCACCACCAGCAAATGAATCTCGCGGCGGCTGGAAGGTACCTCCTCTCCCCCAGCCACCTGATGCTCCAGCAGCAGCAGATGGATCCCCGCGCGGGGGATTGCTCCACCACCGCCTCGCCCCGCCACCACTACATGTCCAGCTCCTCCATGCCGCCGCTCCTCCAGGGCGCCGCCACCACCGCCACCACCACCACCACCACCAATTCCGGCCTGTCCACCTCGCCGCTAGCGTCCCCGGCTTCTTCCGAGGGTACGGGAGCTCGGCCTGGCGGAATTAGATCCGCTAGCGCCGCCGCCAGCGCCGCCAACAATCACAACTTCTTTGGCCAGTTCCACCACCTCCCATATGGACTGACGCTGGATCGAGCCGACTCCACGGACCAGGACGCTGTCACGGCATGGATGACTGACATTGGTACCGCCGGCGGTACCGCCGATCATCTCCCACGGTCCGCGCAGCTCTCCAACCTCATCTATTCCATGCAGCAACAGCACGCCGCGCGGCTTGCCAGCGGCGCCACCTCCCGCGCCGCCACGCCGCCGGCCTACGGTACCGCCCAGCTGCTCCACTACAGCATGCAAGAGCAGCGGGCATCCAACCACAACACGCCACTTGGCTCGCCGCAACGCCACTGCTGACTAGGCTGACACGTGCCAGAGTATCGGAATAGAATATTATTATTTATTTATCTCATATATCAGTTATGGTTCCATTTTGACTACCAATGAAACTGATGGATAAGAGTAGAGCTAGATACATTTCATTTTTATAAGAAACCTTCCCATACATTTACGTCTAGTGACTCTCTACTTAGTATCCACCTCGACTCGAGGTAGAAAAGAAAATGTAAGAAACTAGTTACTGCTAGCTAGTGGTCAGGTTATAGTTTGGTGGTGTCACACCAAAACGTGGAGAATCGCGTCGTGTCAAAGTGACCTCTCACTCGTGCCGCTATATATTGTACGGTAGAGGTACATTTCTAAAACTGGCCCAGGGCGTACGGGGATTGGAATCCTTTTGGAATCCGAGAGATTTAAAACCGGGGGAGGAGTATAGTACGCTGTAGTAGTAGCGCGCGTAAACAACTACGCTACGATACTAGCGGGGGCGATAAGGAATATACCTAGGCTAAAAACACGCGCTACTCATGCGCGCCACCATAAAATCATTGCTGTAACGGCCCCATGGCATTGGCATGGCATTGGCATGGCATGGCACACATGCATGACTGTGGAATATACCCTGGCCTTGCCCGTGGAATATGCGACCGTGGGGATAGTGCGTCACCGCGCGGGGAGCATGTGAACGCGGTCGTGCATTATCTAGGGTTTTGATGCGAGATGGAACTGGCAGAGGAGGCGGAAGCGTGGCGGGGGAGGCGGAGGAGGCGGGCGGAGCTCAGGGACGGATGTAAGCTCTAGGATCGACTGAAATTTCGCCCTAGTTCCTCAGCTATGGGCTGCTTCGCGTGCTTCGGCTCCTCCAAGAAGCAGGCATCAGGGAGGAAAGGGCTGAGGAGGGAGGACAGCGCCGGATCCTTCAATAAGACCGCATCCGGTGAGTGTAGCTCGGAGAATGCGGGCGATCTGGGTTTGTTCTTGCCCTTGATCCCATTGCGCTGTGAAATGCGGGTGTGAATTAGGCAATGTACATTGCTTGCTGGCGGGAACTGATGGGCTGTCGATGCAGATAAGCTCAAATCCAAAGGCTTCTTCGATGCAAAAAAGGAAGGGAGTCGCGGCGACGAGTCCAAGATTGCTGCGCAAACATTTACGTTCCGCGAGCTTGCCTCGGCAACCAAGAATTTTCGACCGGAGTGTATGCTCGGCGAAGGAGGCTTTGGCCGTGTCTACAAAGGGCGCTTGGACAGTGGCCAGGTTCGGTGTTCTTGCTCTCTTGCAAAACCAGTTTTTTCTTTCTTGTTTGGTTTTGTTCTAACAAGTTTTCCTCCTTCCAACACTGCAGGTTGTGGCAGTGAAGCAGCTGGATAGAAACGGACTTCAAGGAAACAGAGAATTCTTGGTGGAAGTTCTGATGCTCAGCTTGCTTCACCATCCAAATCTCGTCAATTTGATCGGCTATTGTGCTGATGGCGATCAAAGGCTTCTCGTCTACGAGTTTATGCAGCTTGGGAGCCTGGAAGATCATCTACACGGTTTGTCTATTAATTTAGTTGTTTCCTACATACGAAACTGAGTGAGCTTTCGTGCAGACGTGCCGGCTGACAAGGAACCGTTGGGCTGGAACACAAGGATGAAAATAGCTGCGGGAGCTGCCAGGGGACTGGAGTACCTGCATGACAAAGCAAATCCGCCAGTTATCTATCGGGATTTCAAGTCATCAAACATCTTACTCGGCGAGGGGCATCATCCCAAGCTCTCAGATTTCGGTCTTGCAAAGCTGGGTCCAGTTGGGGACAAAACACACGTTTCAACCCGTGTGATGGGAACTTATGGCTACTGTGCACCTGAGTATGCCATGACGGGACAGTTGACCCTCAAGTCGGACGTGTACAGTTTCGGAGTCGTTCTTTTGGAGCTCATCACTGGACGGAAAGCTATCGACAATGCTAGGCCGGCCGGAGAGCACAATCTTGTTGCATGGGTAAGTTTTTGTACTCCTTTTTGTTTTCCTTCTTTCATACACGTACTTTACGCGCAGGCTAGACCCCTCTTCAAAGATCGACGAAAGTTTCCTTCTATGGCCGATCCACTCCTTCAAGGCCACTATCCAATGAGAGGCTTGTATCAGGCTCTCGCAGTAGCAGCGATGTGTCTCCAAGAGCAGGCAAATACGCGGCCGCTCATAGGGGACGTGGTGACGGCTCTAAACTATCTAGCGTCCCAAACTTACGATCCGGGTCTTTATCCAGCAAACAACAGCAGGTTCGCTCCCTCGACGCCGTCCAGGGACAGGCGTGAGCGAGAGAAGAAGTCGAGTGGGACGGAAGAGAGACGGCTCAGGGATAGAGGGGCTAGATCGTCACTACCATCGGCTCAGGGAACGCCAGAGTTGCGGTCCAAGGATCCTCGCTTCCGTGCTGCAAATGGTGGTGGGGGGAATTCTTCCGACGATTTGGAAGGTGGTCACAGGGACAGCCCGACGCATGCTGCTACCAGACACGCCAAAGCAGTGGCCACTCGCGAGCAAAGAGACCGAGCTTGGGGGGAGAGCAATAACAACAGTAGAGATAGAAAGAAGGGAAGCTTTGGTTACGATGGCTGAAGAGGGGAATTCCAGAACAACTGTGCTTTGCTTTACTACGATCTACCAGCGAAAACTGGATCACAGCGAAGAGCAGCAGCAATGCGAGCGACTGAAAATCAAAAACAAGGAACAAAAGTGGGAGCTGCTGGAAGAAAGTGTATAGAACACACGAATGGTTCTTGGTTCTTGGCAGCGAATTTGCAAGGGGGGAGTGACAGCGGCGGAGTCTTCTTTATATCTCTTTTTTCTCTACACACTCTTGCCTTTGTGGTGTTATATAGTATTATGTAAGATAGATTGTTTCCTTCTTTCCAAACAAGAAACAGCTTATGCTCTCTTACCATTGTATGGATAATTTATCTTGCAAATATTCTTTGAGGTAATTTTATTTCTCAAATATAGATAGAATGTATCATGACAAAATGAGAAATTAGTAATAATTTTAGTGCCATATAGAAATGAAAATAGGTGAATTCCTGATATATATAAACTTTGAAAGGTTATTCAATCTCAAGAATCAAGTTTAATTGATTAAATCTTAGCAATCTTAGCAATGAAATGTTTTTTGCTTCTAGCATTGCTAAGTTTGCTTCTTATAACAGTTACAATAGCAGGCCATCGGTGACGATGGAGGTCATCACGGAGGTGGTGGAGGTGGTGGTGGTAGCTCAGGTAAATCACAAAATAAAAATTGTGTAGAAGCTTTGGTTTCTTATACGTGATCAATGATTTATCACAGATCCTACACAGTCTCTCCCATGTACAATTCCGAAAGTAATGAGCAAGCGAGCCCTCCTGCTGATTATTGCCCTTCATCGCCATCAACTTCATCGACTCCATCGACTCCACAAGCTCCACCTCCGCTCCAAGTTGCTCTTCCTTGCTCTGCTGACGATGAAGGCATACACGAGGAAAACTAGAGCATGAGCGCGGATAGACTTCCATGTTTCCATTCGCCTCTCCCCACAAACTTGCGAACTAATAGACTCTTGCGTTCTTCCACTTACTTGATATTGATCTCCAGGAACTTGTCCATTGCGTCAACCACGGCAGGAGGCCATTCCAAGCTCGAGCCTATCCACCTTATACAACACAGGAAATCCATCAAAGCAGCTTTTCACAGAACTAAATCCATGTTTCCAGACCTTGCATCGCTAAAATTTGGATTTTGCACGCCGGCTTGATTGAACTGGTCTTCTGCTTGGCTTCGGTTGCCTTCTTTCCAGAGAAGAGCTGCTAATGCTGCATGAGCTTCGGCATAGTTGGGATACTTCCTCACGAGGCCTTGCAGCAATTTCTTTGCTGCTTGGACTTGATCTAGCTGAATGCTCCATCAAAGCAAAAGAAAACTAAAGATGCGGGAGTCTTACTTACCTGGAAGAGAACTAGTGCTTGCTTGAATCGGTATCCTGCGATTCCAGGAGCTAAAGTGGCAGCTCTCTCGTAAGCACTTGCAGCAGCAGCATAGTTTTTGACACGAACATCCACGTTTCCCAGATTATACCACGCTGCGTACTCCTGTAAATTTCTTCCTAAGCGAAGAACAAAAACAACAAGAAATACCCGAGGATCGATTTTAATGGCTGCCTCACAGTCAGCAATGGCATCGCCATAGTTTCCTAGCGCCTGAGTACAAAAGATAGAGTTTGAGTGAAAGTCTAGAAGAACTTATTTACCTCGTTCGCAATGGCTCGATTGAGCAGCGGAACTGGTGCTCCAGGCGCAAGAATTACTGCTTTCGTGTAATCTTCTAGCGCTTGCTGGTACTTCTTGAGTGACACTCTCACGTTTCCACGGTTGGACCACACGCTAGCATTTGTATCATCCTCGGATAGAAGCTCCGAGAAGAGGGCCTCGGCATAATCAAAGTCACCACTTACAGCTGCTCGAATCGCCTCCCGCAACTTTGGATTGTCAACGTCTTCCAGCCTCACTTGCTCGCACCGAGCCACACTCGTCAAGCCGAAAAGCAAAGTGGCTGGCACTCCAATCGTCGACAAAATGGCCAATTTTCTTCTCGTCGTCGTCGGCTTGAGCTTGTGCTGTGGCTGCTGGTGCTGGATTTGCAGATTCTTGCCCAGCGGTGGAAGAAAGTTGCGAGCATCGAGAGTTATCATGATATCTTTTGAGAGTGAGCTCTAGCAAAGCGTTAGCGAGTGACACGAACTAAGATCTCTTTTAATCCAGAAAGTTGGTTTGCATCGTCTCACCCGTTTCTAGATCTCTCAGTCGTCTACGGTGCTCAGAAAGCCTCCAACAAAGCCAGCACCATTGCAGTTTCCACACAAGATCTGCCTCTTCCCCCTGGAAAGTTTTCTCGGTTTCTCAATCGGAAGAACAAGTTTTAGCAGTACCTGCACAGCCAGCACATCTCTCCGGTTTTGAAACGTCCTCCAAAATGATCCTCCAAGTTGACGCCATCGCCTTTGCATGAGGTGCAAGACTTCGCCCCTGTGAAAAAGAATAGAATTTGAAGAACAATCCATGAGAAACAAAAAAAAGCTCACCATTTCCAGTACACTCTGGACAGATGATGCTCTTGCTTCCAGACGAAGATGGCGAAGGAGGAGCGCTGCTACTTGCCTGGAAACCAAGAATGCGGTACTTAGCTATGGGAATTAGAGGAAATACTTGCCTTGGTGACGATAAGAGAATGCTGGTGCCGTTGTTTCAAGCACGCCTGTGGAATCGCGGGCTTGGAACAAGTTTTGGAGCGAGCCCAGAAGCTGGGATTGCAGTGCACGACTAGAGAGGACGACGCCATAGCAGCGCTCTCACTCTAAAGGCCAAATAAACGTCAAGGGCTTCTACTTAAATGCTATATACTGGATTTGCCACCTCGTTCGAGCAAGAGAAATCCTTCTCGTGGCGATGTTCTATGGAAAAATTGGATCTTTGTTTACATGTAACTCCCTTCGCTGGGTAGTATTTACATTTGCAAAGGGTCCTGGAAGAATTTGAGGAAGTGTCATAGAGAAATCGCTTCATCGTCTCTGGAAGTTCAAGAACTTGATGCACAGGCCGAAGACGACCGCGATTGTGACGACGAGCGCAACATGCACGCCTGCGACCACACCCAGGAAATCGTGCTCGTAGCCGAAGTAGTCTCTCAAAAACTCTTGCACTGGCACTGGCTGCCTCGTCTCGTCTGTGAGCCTCAGTGGCGCAGTAATATCCCCGAGCTGAGAAGTGATGATTCCATACAGCGTCCACGCGGGTGGCGAAAGCCAGTAGCACCATCTCCACCAAATTGGCATGCTCTGCATCGTGCAAGACAAAAAAATGAGTCTCCTCGATCGAGCAAAAGCGAAAAAAGATTGATCATATACGTACCGGTCGAGGGATGAGAAAACCCGCGAAGAGGTTCCACACTGCGTAGAATCCCGTCGAACAAATGGCCGCCACCCTCTCGTTGGGTGTGATTGCCACGGCCATCATCCCGTAGAGCGTGAAGAAGAGGAAGGAGAAGTAGGAGAAGAAGACGAACCACAAAAACTTTGCGGCCGTCCACTCGAGTTTCATCATCGAGTAGACAATGGCCGCGTATGAAACTGCCTGAACCAAAACGTAGAAGAGCTCGATAATCACCTGAAAGAAACGTCTGAGATATGTTTCTTCGTGTCACCATAGCCAAAGCTTCAAACTACATTACCTGAGCAAAGGCGTAAGGGAGAGCGGAGTACATTCCAGCGGCTTTCTCTCGATAGTAAACAGCTCGCTCCACTGAAACAACCGGTTGAACTCCCACTGCGTTGCAAACTCCAATGAAATACACGGCCGAAAACATGGATCCCATGAGATTGAACAAGTCTTGCTGCCTTTCTCTGCAAAGTAAACAAAACCGTGTCAACTTTGTCAAACATTATCGCAGCAAAAGCTTGCCTACCTTTGCGAGCCGATGTCCCAAAACATAGTGCCAAACATGAGAGCAGCAGTGAGCGTGAAGAACAGGCGTCCCAAAACATAGTATGGATTCTTCCAGTAAGATCGATGCTGCTTCCACAAGCAGGCCACTACTTGTCCCCCAAACGAGAGAGGAAATTGCGAAGGGAAAGACAAGTCGACCGAGCCTGGAGGAGGTGTGCGTAGATCAGCAATCACAGCTTGGTTGTGCCTGATAATTCATTGATCAGTCCCAAAACTCTCAAAGAATGTTATAACTTACTGGTAGAGAGTTGACGACTTGTAGATCTCAGAGTAGTCGACATTCAGCCGGTGTTCTACGTCCGGATTCGTAACCTCGAGCATCCAAGTTGCCGGATTGTATCCGTCAGGGATACAAGGAACACCAGGAACAGCCTGCACAAACAAGTCGCGCTCGTTTAGAACCGAGTTTTGCAGAAGAAAAAAACTATCACGTACTTCAAAGTAGTCGATGAGTCTGCTCGAATGATTTCCAAGAGGACCAGAGTAAATCACTCGCCCTCCTCGTTGCATGAGCAACAGCTAAAACCACACAAACATAACAATCAGCACAAAAGCTGGAAAAGAGAAACTCTCTGTTGATCAAAAGATCTTACCTCATCAAAGGATTCGAAGATGTCAATGCTCGGCTGGTGAATGGTACAAACGACGGTGCGTCCCGTGTTCACGGTATTACGTACGGTTCTCATGACGATTGCAGCGGCCCGAGCATCCAGACCCGAGGTTGGCTCGTCCATAAAAATGATGGATGGATTCGCAACGAGTTCTACTCCTACTGTCAGTCTCTTTCGCTGCTCGGTGGAGAGCCCGTCCATTCCAGGGCGACCAACGATGGCATCTCGAATAGGAGTGAGCTCCACAAGCTCCATTATCTCCTCCACAAACATCTAAACCACAAGGGAAAAGAAAATGCTCAAAGTCAGAAACCACTTGAACTTGAACGCTCAGCAAAAACACTTACCAGTCTAGTCCCCTTGGATACATCCTCAGACAGTCGAAGCCAAGCCGAAAAGACGAGCGATTCGTAGACAGTCACGTTTGGTGAGTGGATATCGTTTTGCTCGCAATAGCCAGAGACTCTAGTAAACGTTTCCTGCTTCTTTGGAAATCCCGAGATGGAGATCTCACCCTCGATGTGGCCACCAGTTTTACGTCCAGCCAAAACATCCATGAGTGTAGTTTTTCCAGCTCCACTTACGCCCATCAGAGCCGTAAGAACTCCAGGCCTGAAGCTGCTGCTTATGTCGTGAAGAAGCTGGAGTCTGCTCTCGTCCACGCCTTCTTTTAGCATCTCCTGGAAGTATGAAATGAGATTTTCGGAAGACAACAAAAAAAGAGAGCTCAGTTTTGCAAACCAACCGGAGGCATGTCTACGTAATACTTGACGTTGCTGAAGGCCAACGCCAGTGGCTTGAAAGGAAGAACCATTCCAGTTTTCTTGGTGTCAGCTTGTTTGCTTAGCTCGAGCTCAGTAGCTGCAAGAAACAAATACGGGAAATCAGATCGCCCTCGTGAGAATGGAAAAACGTAGACTTACCCGAGTCATAAACCTTAGACTGATTCTTGTGTCCTGTGACCGAGACTATCGCTTGATTAGATTTACTGGGAGCTGCGAAAATAGATGGAAATCTTATAACGTAAGAACTTCAAGAGTGATCAGTAATTCTTACCGCGAAGATAGGTCAAGGCCAAAGTGAAACCAACATTAAAAAGGATGACGTAGCCAAGCTCAGCACCAGCTCCAATCCAGTACCAGTAATCATCAGAAAAAAGTCCTCGTGACTCTAGGAAGTTCCTTCCATCTGTGGAGTCCCCTTCAGTCTACAAGAAAGAAAAGATCGATGATTAAACTTGTGAGAATGAAATGCTTGTCTTAGATAGGACTCACCTGTTGCCACCTTGATGCACTAAACTCATTAACAGCGAGAGCGCTTTGCCCATACATCATTGGAGACGACCAGTACCCCCAGATCCACCAAGCATGAATGCTATCTGGAACCAAGAAATAGGAGAAACTTAGATATTACAAACTGCGAGAAACGAGTTTCGTTACCTCTGGAGAGAACAAAGCCACCCAGCGAAAAGATGACCAACAGAGCAAACGACCCAAAAGTGTTTGCTACAACCATCTTCTGTGAGAGCGCAGCAATAAACCGGAAGAGTCCTCCGGCCATCTGATGGACCAAGAATATAATTAGATACTGGCGAAAGAGTCTGTCAAAATAGATGACATAAACCATTAGAGATGTCAACAAAGCCTCGTAAGGATTTTACAAACCTTGAAACGCTAGGAGCGAAACCAATCACGTAGTATGTCATGAATACAAACATTGCTGTTTCCAAAAGCGAGAGCGGAAGCCTCGTAATTACTGTCGCGATCGAATATGCCCAGGCAGGAAACAGCATTTGGTCTCGTTGCTTGAAAAACACCGGAAGGCGTTGGATCGTCATGGAAAGCTCCACAAAACCACTGAACATGATCGTAGCCAGGGCAAAAAACAAGGCTCCCATGTAAAGTTCCGCATCATCGGTGCTGTTGGACTGAATGTGTGTCCGTAGGAAAACGGTCATAGTGATCAAGGCCGTGATAAAGAGCTGCAAATTCGAGTTTTTCTTTAGTCACTTGAGATCATCCTGGGTGAAAAAGATCTACGTACCTGTGTACACTTGAAGACGTAGACAAAAGCGTCCCTTTTCATCAGAAGCACTTGCCTTGCCATCACTGCTTTGAAAATGTCCCACTTGCCAAGGCCGTATTTCTTGGTCACAAGTGCCGCTGGATGAGATTTAGTTGTGTCAAAACGCGTTGAAAGCTCCTCGGCTAACTTCTGACCAACATGAAATCCCTCGAATGCGCGTGCGAATTTATCCACGGACACGTATTCGTAAGGCTTGTCCTCGACGGCCCAGTACTGCTCCTGATCTTTTCTCGACGTTACTTCTTGTAGGAAATCTGCGACTCCTTTCCTTGGAGGACACTTGAATCCCTGGGAGACGAAGAAATCGAGCACAAGCTCCCGTGGACCCTGATAAACAATCTGGCCTTCGGCCAGGAGGATCAAGTCGTCGAAGAGCTCGTAAGTTTCTGGCGCCGGTTGTAGCAAGGACACAACCACCGTAGCATCCAACACGTGAACCGTATGCCTCAAACTTTTTATAATTTGGTACGTGGTGGAGGTGTCGAGACCAGTCGATATCTCGTCCATGAAAAGAGATTTGGCTGGCCCAACTAGCATCTCACCTGAAAGTTTTAAGAACTTGTTAGCAAGCTCGCGACTCAATTGTTGGAGCACTCACCAGTAGTAACACGCTTCTTTTGTCCACCAGAGATTCCTCTACGCATTGCATCGCCAACTAGTGTATCAGCACAAATGTCCAATCCGAGGATCTATACACGAGAAAACATATATAAAAACTCAGTCCACATTGAACTATTATAGCACTGAAGAAATACCTTCAGGATGTAATCCGTGACAATAGTGGTTTCCTGGCCTTGGATGGCAGAAGCCTGTTTCCACAAAAATATATGGAAGTGGAGACGTTTTTCGTAAGTTCTTTACCTTCATGTAAGCATCAATATCAAGGTCTGGTTTGATCTTGGCATTCTTTTCTCTTCTAGCCAACTCCATAACCATTTCTGTTGTAGACAAGAAAAAGAGGTTGTCAGTCAGTACTAAAGCTTGTGATGCAATAGCTTTGGAGATAATTACCATGGCTGCTTCCAACTCCTTGACACCTCGAAGAAAAATCAAAGGTTTCTCTCACTGTCAATTCTCCCATATGCAAGTCATGCTGGCTAATGTAGGCTGACGTTCTCTGGGGCACAAACTCTGTCATATCGGAGCCATTGTAGGTGATGCGACCCGAAACCTGGATGAGGGAAAAGAGAAAATGGAGTTTGAGAAACTTCCTTGATAAACTTTAGATGATAAGAACTTGTTCTTGCCTTGAGTGACTTGTCCAATTTGCCGGCGAGTGCTAGAAGGAGCGTAGTTTTGCCCGCACTGGGAGGACCCAAGAGCAAAGTCATCCTGGAAGGCTTGATGATGCCACGGACATCGCGCAAGACTTGGAGTGGATGCTTGTTTGATGGAACGAGATGAAGCAAGCCGAGGACTCCCTCCACCCCATTGACAACAAAGTTGTAGAGCGTTGGAAGAGCTCGCTTTCCCACATGAGCCTCAGCTTCTACATTGAGACCCTCAAACCGGACTTCGATTTTGGGAAGCTCCACTCCAACCCTGCAAACAGAAAAAGAAAAGAGCTGAGAAAAATCCCGATGTGACAAAGTTAAGAGCTTGCCTATCGATTCTTTCTCGGAGCCTCCTGACGAACTTCTCGTCCTCCGACTCCTGGACGCCCAGCAGCTTCTGGATGAGGCCCCTCTTTTCTTGTGATCCGAGCTTCTTCACATCCTGATAAGTAATTTGCTGCCCCCCATTCTCCCCAAGATTTTGGAGGAGTGCTGTCCTGAGACGATTGTGGGTTGGAAGCTTTTCCAACGCAACCCACTTGAGAGCCTCTTCATCATCGAAACGAATCGATCCACTCTCGGAAAAACAATCACCCGACATTGCCACCTCCATGATCGATCGATGAATGTGTTTAGATACCAAGGGAAGCAAATGCTCGGGTTTTTATGCTCCAGTCTTCTCTGATTTTACAATACAAGTCTCTTGAGCGCGAGATCAAAGTTGGTAGGCTCTACTTGACAATTATAATACACTGGTAAAATGTTATGCGTTGAAGCAGAGTTTTTCTCTTTGTCAGCTGTCAAACGAGGAAGCTCATCGCAAAAAGTTTCATACGAGGCTTCCTTTCATGACTTTGTATTGTTTAAATCGTGGTCCGCGTTTCAATAGTCAAAACATTCCCACGCCGAGGTACGTTATCTTGTTTCCGAGATAACACTTTCTAAGATCAGTGGCTTCATTCCGGTTAAGCGCGTGAAATTCTGCACCTAGAAAGTATTTGTAGTAGTTACATAGTTTATTTGTACGTGATCATGCCTTTATAAACAGGGCTCAGGAGAACCATTGTTAATATCAACCATCTCTAAATGTGTGCATGATGACTAGGGTTAAATTTATAAATGAGTAGCGATTTAAAGTCTAGGCGTGTAAAGTCTCTTGTAGAAGAAGGCTAAGCTCGTGCTGGATGATGTTACTCGCCGGAGACGCTTGAGGCAAGGGCCGTTTCTTGTGTGCGATGGCGTGTCCGGGGAGGAAGCCAAGGCGCTACTAAACTACGAAGAGATCACGAGTTATGGCGTGCAATACGAGAATGGCAGCTTGTTGGTGTGCGGGGACAACACTCATTTCCATGGCCAAGCTCGGATGTGGATGGCGGCCACCCTCATACCCGAGACCGGCATGAGGAGGGTATGTTTTGGGTTCCCTCATTTGATCCTTTCCTCCGGCGTGATCAAGAAGGTGGATTTTGGAGCCAAGAGCAGCGACGGGTTTGTGGAGCCGATCGTGGTGGGAGAAGTTGCGTTCACCAGCGAGGATGATGCAATCTTGGAGAAGAACTCTCTCGCGCTTGAGTCTGTGAATCTGGTGTTTGGGTTTTCTCTCGAGTACGACGAGATGGCTCGAAAGGGGAGCTACAAGTTTTTTGTGGGGTGCCGGTCATGGGGCAAGGACACGATCAGGAGCTTCAGCAAGCCCAACCAAGATGACTTTCCCCGCTGAAGAGGTGTTCAAGCATCCTGCTCTGGAAGATTTTGTTCTGGAGAGGCAGGGAACTGCTTTTGAGATTGATCTCGAGGGCTTCGTGGAGCATATGAATTCCTGCACGGACATCGCCAGCATACAAAAAGTAGCTCATGACAAGTACCACTTATTGCCTTGCCATGGCTCCCACACCGTAAGATGCATCTTTGCTTATTTGACAACATGGGGATGACCAGGATGATGACGATCGGGGAAGCTGGCAGTCGGCATTCTCTGTTTTTCTGTAGAATTTTTAGGAAAAGATGCCTACATTGTTCTCTTTAGTTGTAGATGGTGCTACAAACTCTGGCTTGATTAACATGAAAACGATTGTCAAAGTACGTTTCAGGTAGTGCTCAAGGTATGATCGATCATTCATGAACAAGCTATAAATTGCTCACTCAAAGTGGACCAGGCTCTTATCACTTCTTTGTGGGCTTTAATTGACACAGTTACATAGGTTGTGGATGATTTTCTAGAAAAAACATAGGTAAGGAACTTCTGGATGATATTGGAAAGTAGATACCCTTCAACGACTCACCAAGGACCTAGGGGAAGGAAGAGAGTTTATGGTGGTGAACAAAAAGACGATTTCTGCCTCTACCATCAAGCTACACCCGTTAGGCAACATTGAAGTTGAAACCGTGCCATCGGCGAGGGAAGTGTGGCTGCCATGGATTCCTGCCCGGTAAAACTGCCCGAGGGACTGGATTCATTCGAGCTAGGCATCAAATCAATGATCACGGCCTATCAGAAAGTACCAAGCAGCTGTGGCGGCCCCGCAAACGACCACCACTCCAGCGGAAAACAATGCCCGGACCGAAATCAAATCGGATGTTGGAGGCGGGAAAAAGGAATGGAAGTTCCAAGCTGAAATGTTTGACAAGAACAAGAAATCCTGGGCTTCGAAGGAGCTCCACCATCCATCCATGAATGGTATGAGAATCTAGAGTGGAAGAAAGACAATGTCCCTTGATGACTTGTAGTTTTTCCAAACAAGGAACTGTGACAATATAATGGAAAGCACAGGACGAGTTTTATCTATGGCTCATAACAACAAAAAGGCTCAAGAATGATGCTATGCACAACAATAGACTCTCAACCAAGAGTAACTTAACAACGGTATTCAAGCTTGCTGGCTTCTTCCAAGAGCTCTCCAGGACAAGTTCATGTCTCCTTGTCGATAGCTGCAATCTGCCTCACCAAATCCCACAACCGGCGATATGAGGCTGCGTGAGTGCGGGGCCACAGCTCTGGCTCGGCAGCTATAATTGAAAAGCAGGATGAAACTCGGTCGTTTCCTTCACCTACACAGTAAGCCTGGAGCAAAAGGGAGCGCGTCAAGGGAAAACTTAAACGAAGAGAATGAAAGAACCTGTAGCTGCACCGCCTGTGACGATGATCGCGCGTGAAACTCTTCTGGATACTTTTTTGTTCCGTCTTCTCCGAGCACGCTTTGTAAAGCTGCTTGGCCATACTGCATCAGGGTGCTGCTCGCCTCTCGGATCATGTAACGCCCATTGTTGTGCTCCGGAGGGAAATGCTCCGAACGTAAAAGAGTGTAGACAATTTCGCAGCTGCGCTGGGAACAAGCCCTGCAAGCACAAAAGCGTTATGTCATTACAGTAGATTTCTCTGACCTGTTATATGATTACGTGCTTCCATTGCTCTGCGGTTCTGATCCGGATTGGGAGCACCAAACATTGACCATTGGAATTAAATATTAATTAATCAGAGTAGGATTACATCCCTGTTTAATATTTACATTTATCAAAACTGGAGCAAAAATGTGTTGGCGATGCTTTATCGTCTCTGGAAGTTCAAGAACTTGATGCACAGGCCGAAGACGATCGCGATTGTAACGACGAGCGCAACATGCACGCCTGCGACCACACCCAGGAAATCGCGCTCGTAGCCGAAGTAGTCTCTCAAAAACTCTTGCACTGGCACTGGCAGCCTCGTCTCGTCTGTGAGCCTCAGTGGCGCAGTGATATCCCCGAGCTGAGAAGTGATGATTCCATACAGAGTCCACGCGGGTGGCGAAAGCCAGTAGCACCATCTCCACCATATTGGCATGCTCTGCATCGTGCAAGAGAAAAAAAATGAGTCTCCTCGATCGGGCAAACGCGAAAAAAGATTGATCATATACGCACCGGTCGAGGGATGAGGAAGCCCGAGAAGAGGTTCCACAGCGCGTAGAATCCAGTGGAAGAAATTGCCGCCACCCTCTCGTTGGGCGTGATTGCCACGGCCATCATCCCGTAGAGCGTGAAAAAGAGGAAGGAGAAGTAGGAGAAGAAAACGAACCACAAAAACTTTGCGGCCGTCCACTCGAGTTTCATCATTGAGTAAACAATGCCCGCGTATGAAACTGCCTGAACCAAAACGTAGAATAGCTCGATGATCACCTGAAAAGGACGCTTTCAAGTAAGATTCTTGCCACCATAGCCAACGCTATGTAACTTTACCTGAGCAAAGGCATAGGGGAGAGCTGAATACATTCCAGCAGCTTTTTCTCGATAGTATACAGCTCGCTCTACTGAAACAACTGGTTGAATCCCCGCTGCGTTGCAAACTCCAATAAAATACACGGCAGAATACATGGATCCCATGAGGTTAAAGAGGTCTTGCTGCCTTTCCCTGCAAAGTAAACATAAACTTTGTGAAAAGATCAGGATTAAAGCTTGCCCACCTCTTTGAGCCAACGTCCCAAAACATGGTGCCAAACATGAGAGCAGCAGTGAGCGTGAAGAACAGGCGTCCCAAAACATAGTAAGGATTCTTCCAGTAAGATCGATGCTGCTTCCACAAGCAGGCCATTACTTGTCCCCCAAACGAGAGAGGAAATTCCGAAGGAAAAGACAAGTCGACCGAGCCTGGAGGAGGTGTGCGTAGATCAGCAATCACAGCTTGGTTGTGGCTGGTAATGCATTGATCAGTCCCAAAACTCTCAGCAAAAGAATATTAAAACTCACTGGTAGAGAGTTGACGACTTGTAGATCTCAGTGTAGTTCACATTGAGCCGGTATTCTACATCCGGATTCGTCACCTCGAGCATCCAAGTTGCTGGATTGTAGCCGTCGTGGATACGAGGAACCCCAGGAACAGCCTGTGCAAACAAAGTCTCTCGTTAACAATGCAGTGTTGGAGAAAAACTATATGAAACTTACTTCGAAGTATTCGATGAGTCTGCTCGAATGTTTTCCAAGAGGACCAGAGTAAATCACTCGGCCACCTCGTTGCATGAGCAGCAGCTAAACACCACAAACATAACAATCAGCACAAAAGTGGGAAAAGAGAAACTCTCTGTTGATCAGAAGATCTTACCTCATCAAAGGATTCGAAGATGTCAATGCTCGGCTGGTGAATGGTACAAACGACGGTGCGTCCCGTGTTGACGGTATTGCGTACTGTTCTCATGACAATCGCGGCAGCCCGAGCGTCCAGACCCGAAGTTGGCTCGTCCATAAAAATGATGGAGGGATTTGCAACGAGTTCCACTGCTACAGTCAGTCTCTTTCGCTGCTCCGTGGAGAGCCCGTCCATTCCAGGGCGACCAACGATAGCATCGCGGATAGGAGTGAGCTCCACAAGCTCCATGATCTCCTCTACAAACATCTACACAAGAAAACAACCAAGAATCGTGAGAAACTTGAAAGCCAACGAAAACAAGAAATAACGACAGAGTGAGAAACCTCTGAAACCTCTGAAACCTGTGAAAAAGCACTCACCAGTCTGGTCTCTTTTGATACATCCTCTGACAGTCGAAGCCAAGCAGAAAAGACGAGCGATTCGTAGACAGTCACATTTGGCGAGTGGATATCGTTTTGCTCGCAATAGCCAGAGACTCTGGTGAAAGTTTCCTGCCTCTTTGGATATCCCGAGATGGAGATCTCACCCTCGATGTGGCCACCAGTTTTACGTCCAGCCAAAACATCCATGAGTGTAGTTTTTCCAGCTCCACTTACGCCCATCAGAGCCGTGAGAACTCCAGGCCTGAAGCTGCTGCTTATGTCGTGAAGAAGCTGGAGTCTACTCTCTGTGACGCCTTGTTTTAGCATCTCCTGGAAGTGATCAAATGAGCAATGTGAGAACTTCGCATGAGAAAGAGCTCAGTTTTGCAAACCAACCGGAGGCATGTCTACGTAATAGTTGACATTGCTGAACGACAACGCCAGAGGCTTGAAAGGAAGAACCATTCCCTTCTTCTTTTCAGCTGGTTGGCTCAGCTCGATCTCGTTAGCTGCATTAAGGTATGGAAATCAGATCTCGCTCGTGGTCGTGAAAATAGTAAATTTACCTCTATCAGAAGCTTTGAACTGGTTTTTGTACGTTTTGGTCGTTTCCACAGATGCTATTGCTTGATTGGATTTACTTGGAGCTGCCAGAGATAAGAAGAGCACACTTCGTAAGTTTGTGAGAAAAGCTTTAAGAGTGATCACTTACCGCGGAGATAGGTCAAAGCCAACGTGAAGCCAACATTGAAAAAGATAATGTAACCAAGCTGAGCACCAGCTCCAATCCAATACCAGTATCCATCAGCAAAGAGTCCTCGGGACTGTAAGAAGTTCCTCGCAATCGTGGCATTCCCATCCATCTACAGGAAAGAGAGAAGGTGATCAAACTTCTGAGCTAGTTTTTAAATAAGACTCACCCGCTGCCACCTTGTTGCACTAAACTCATTGACAGCAAGTGCGTTTTGCCCATACATCATTGGAGACGACCAATAGCCCCAGATCCACCAAGGATGTATGCTATCTGGAACCAAATGAAAAGGAAGAAAATTAGATGCTATAAACAGCGAGAAACAAGTCTTTTACCTCTTGAGAGAACAAAGCCACCCAGCGCAAAGATGACCAAGAGCGCGAACGAGCCAAACGTGTTTGCTATGACGATTTTCTGTGAGAGTGCAGCGATAAATCGGAAAAGTCCTCCTGCCATCTGATGGACCAAGAACAGAAGCAAGAACTGGCGAAAGAGTCTGTCAAAAAGTTAACAAATGTCTTAGAGATATCAACAAGCCTTGTAAGAAGTTTTACAAACCTTGAAGCGCTGGGAGCGAAGCCGATAACGTAGTATGTCATGAACACCCAGATTGCTGATTCCAGCAGCGAGAGTGGAAGCCTTGTGATTATTGTAGAGATTGAGTATGCCCAGGCAGGAAATAGCTTTTGGTCCCTTTGCTTGAAAAACACTGGGAGGCGTTGGATTGTCATGGAGACCTCAGCGAAACCACTGAACATGATAGTAGCCAGACCAAAAAACAATGCTCCCATGTACAGTGTCGCATCATTTACGTTGTTGGCATGAATATTTGTCCGTAAGAAAACTGTCATCGTGATCGCGGCCATGATAAAGAGCTGCAAAGTCGAATTCTGCTTTAGTGACTCGAGATTATCAACATCTACGTACCTGTGTACACTTGAAGACGTAGACAAAAGAGTCCCTTTTCATCAGGAGCATCTGCCTCGCCAGGACTGCTTTGAAAATGTCCCACTTGCCGAGGCCGTATTTCTTCGTCACAAGTGCCGCTGGATGAGATTTAGTCGTGTCAAAAGGCGTCGAAAACTCCTCGGCTAAGTTCTGACCAACATGAAACTGCCGGAATGCGCTTGAGAATTTCTCTACGGATACGTATTCGTAAGGCTTCTCCTCGTCAGCCCAGTACTGCTCTTGGTCTTTTCTCGACGTGACTTCTTGTAGGAAATCCGCGACTCCTTTCCTTGCAGGACACTTGAATCCCTGGGAGTCGAAGAAATCGAGCACAAGATCCCGCGGGCCCTGATAAACAATCTGGCCTTCGGCCAGGAGGATCAAGTCGTCGAAGAGCTCGTAAGTTTCCGGGGCTGGTTGTAGCAGAGACACAATCACAGTAGCATCCAAGACATGAACCGACTGCCTCAAGCTTTTCACGATTTGGTACGTGGTGGAGGTGTCAAGACCAGTTGAAATCTCGTCCATAAAAAGAGATTTGGCTGGCCCGACCAGCATCTCCCCTGAAAGTTTAGGAAAGAACTTGTAAGCAATTCTGCAATCCAATTGTTTTAGGACTAACCAGTAGTAACACGCTTCTTTTGTCCACCGGAGATACCTCTGCGCATTGCATCTCCAATAACTGTATCAGCGCAGATATCCAATCCTAGGATCTACAGGACGAAAAGAAAGAAAAGAAAGAAAATCAATGATATTAAACTAAGGTACTAGCTAAGAAAATGGCACTCATACCTTCAAGATGTAATCTGTGACAATGGTGGTTGCCTGACCTTTGATAGCAGAAGCCTGTTTCCACAGAAAACATAAGAAAGTTGATTCATTTTTGTTAAGTTCCTTGCCTTCATGTAAGCATCAATAGCAAGGTCGGGTTTGATTTTGGCATTCTTTTCTCTTCTTGCCAGCTCCATAACCATTTCTGTTTTAGAGAACAAAGAGCTGGCGATAGTCAGTAGCTGTGATGCAATAGCGATGAAGATTATATTACCATGTCTGCTTCCAACACCTTGGCACCGGGAAGAAAAATCAAAGGTCTCTCTCACGGTCAGTTCTCCCATATGCAAGTCATGCTGGCTAATGTAGGCAGAAGTTCTTTGCGGCACAAACTCTGTCATATCAGAGCCATTGTAGGTGATGCGACCCGAAACCTGTATGAAAAGAAAAAAGAAGATAAATAAAAACTGTAGAGAAAATTCTTCATATTTTTTCGAGGATGAGAACTTCTGAGAGCTTGTTCTTGCCTTAAGTGACTTGTCTAGTTTCCCAGCGAGTGCAAGAAGGAGTGTAGTTTTGCCCGCACTGGGAGGACCCAAGAGCAAAGTCATCCTGTCTCAATGAAAGAAAGTAAGATGAGTTCTAGTTCATTGGAGTTCTTGCGAATTGAAGGAAGCACTACAAACCTGGAGGGCTTGATGATGCCACTGATATTGCGCAAGACTTTGAGTGGATGCTTGTTTGATGAAATGAGATGAAGCAAGCCGAGAATTCTCTCCACCCCATTGACAACAAAGTTGTAGAGCGTGGGAAGAGCTCTCTTTCCCACATGAGTTTGAGCCTCAACAGTGAGACCCTCAAACCGGACTTCGATTTTGGGAAGCTCGACTCCAACCCTGCAAACAAAGAACTAAAGAACTAAGAAAAAAACCCTTCCAAAGAGATTGACAAGTTGTAAGAACTTGGAACTTGCCTATCGATTCTTTCGCGGAGCCTCTTGACGAAGATCTCGTCCTCTGATTCCTGGACGCCCAGCAGCTTTTCGATGAGGCCCCTCTTCTCTTGGAATCCGAGCTTCTTGACATCCTGATAAGCAATTTCCTGTCCATCCTCCCCGAGATTCTGGAGGAGGGCTGTCCTGAGACGATTGTGCGTGGGAAGCTTTTCCAACGCAACCCATTTGAGAGCCTCCTCGTCGTCGACACGAAGCGATCCACTCTCGGAAAAATGGTCACCCGTCATTGCAGCCTCCATGGTCGATCAATGGTGTTTCCACTTTCCACAAAACGCAGAGCTCACAAAGAAGAGGTTCTTATGCTCTCACCCATTTACTATCACAGTACCGCCAAAGAGAAAAGCTTTGACCCGACAATCAACGCTGGTAGGCGACACTGTAGAAAAATGTATAGAAAATGTTGACGATATCAAAGATCTTGTTTTCCGTGGTTGTCAAGCGGAACTTGGTAGGAAGGTCACGAGAGGAAATTACATATCAAACTTCCTTTCCGATGATATCAGTTAAAATCTAATCACGTTTTTTTCCCAAAGGCAATCGCCCACGTTTGATAATTTTCCAGTCAAGCGCGTCGGGCGGCTTCCTGGTATAAAAGCCCAACCAGAGAAACCCAGACAATTCATCGATCCCAGTCTACAATCTTCCATCCTCTAGCCTGAAATTTGAGATTTTCTCTTTTTCTTCATAACACCCATGGCAAGTTCATATCCAAAGGACAAGATTGCATTCCTGTACATCCACAGAGAGAGTGGTGAGATTGGCTTCGTCTCACAATCTGCGTCTAGGCATGTCCCAGTACTAGCAGCCAAGTGCGATTTCTTGTTCTCCTCCATGGTCGCGAGCGACAAGGCGGAAGATTTAGAGGCGGCAAAGCAGGCCACACGCTCAGTTGCTCCAGATATGAACAAGTACACCATTTCCATGCTTGGAGCAGCAGCTGACCAGGAGTGGACAGCCACCGTCTACGAGAGATACATTGGGAACGGGTTCGAGGGCGTGGTTTTCATCCAGGATCCCAATCTCCAGGAGGAGGACAGCGAGAGCATGAGCTATCTGGCCTCTCTGCTGCTGGACAACGGCGTCATGACCAGAGATTGCCTTCTGGAGCCCTTCAGCTCGCACACACCTCAAGAGGTGGACGACATCACCTCCCAAGTTGTGGACATCATCGAGAAGAATTACATCCACTTCCCAAAGCACGACCAGTGGTTCACAAGTGGGGGCAAGCAGAGGTTTGCGGACAAGGTGAGGTACCACGTCGCAAGAAACATTCCACTCGAGTTCGTCTTGCCCGCATTTCCAGTCAAGTCGTGCAATCCCGACAAGACTCTGGGAAAGTGCCCGGACAAGGCCGAGGAGCTGGCCATCCATTCCATGAAGATTGTTGCGGATCTCATCAAGGCCGTGTATGCTCCAGGCGTGCACTACAACGTCGCCTCGGATGGCCATGTCTTCTCTGATCTCGTCGGCTCGGACGACGCTGCTGTGGATTCTTACGGCGAGATGTTTTGGGAGATGGCACACAATCTGTATCCCGGCCTTGTCAATTTCTTTCGCCTGGATGAGTTTCTGCTGGACAACCACAGTGACAAAGACATTGCAAAGCTTATCTCCAACACCACCGTGGAGCATCCCGTTGCGACTGAGCTCACCGCCAATGCAGAGAATGCCAGGCGAGCTCTCATGTGCTTGTTTGGATGTGACGAGTCCACCGTCACCAAGGAGATCAAGGAGGAGCCGGAGACACGCAATCTATATCGTGGCTTCTCCAGGTTCATGCTCGAGGACTTGTACGAACACAAGAGCTGCAAGAATCTCCCGTCAAAGTCGGCCAAGAAGAAGCTGTGCAGCCAGGTTGCCTTCCTCATGATCCTCAGGAACCGTGCATACTCGGCCATGGTGGAGTGGCTCTTCCCTTTGCAGCTGCGCATTTCCATCCACCCGCATCCAAACAGAGGTCCCAAGTATGGCATCAACATCATCCATTCCTCTCTAGTGGCAGCGCAGCGTTCTTCCGAGGAGAAGAACTTCCACATCCCAACACCATGGCACAACGCGGTGGTGGAGCTGGCAGATGGCAAGTTCATGCTGCTGCACTCCAAAGTCATCCGAGGTTCGAGTATGCAGGCCAGAGAAATGGCCTGTGAGCAGCTCGACTTGAGTCAACAGTTGCTTCTCAAGCGTCAAGGCTACAGAATGACGCTGGTGACATATCCAGACGGCAGACCCAGCCACTACAGGCAGGTCAGTGTCTGCTAATATGTGATAGACGGTTTTGATTCTGGGTAAATTCCCTCAGGCCCATTTTTTTGTAAATTTTAAAAAGAGTAAATACCATTTTTTCTCTCACTTCTTTGTCTCCATCTGGGATTCTAAAAATGAACCGTACAAACAGAAGAAATAGAGAACATATTGTTGACTGTATAGTGCTTCCTCTGTTACTACAAATATATGAATACCATTACAGCAGTATAGGAGTCACTACTAACTTTGACAATCTTTTACTTCTGCTCCTTCTCTGGATCAATGTTGTGAAGAAGAAGCCCTGGATCGAAAATTCCTCAATACCGACACTATTCACCGCCTAAGTTTTACGCTGTGTATTTTTCAGTCCAATTTTGTAAGCGGCTCAAGCTGCACAACACGTTACATGCTTCGCTCCAGCGTAGGCCATCCTGTCTCCAAAAGGACGAGACGTGGTCTTTGGCAACTTGAGAACTTTAGGATGTGTTTGACAAGCCTTCTTTTTGAAACAAAGGTTTTTGCAAGACAATGTCATACGTCAAGTGGAATTTGTGGTCAAAGAATGTTTGCTACTTGTTTTGCGTTATACTGTATTTATGCATCATTTTAAACACGTGTTTTAAGAGCAGGAAAGCAGCAAGAAGCTACCTTCTTTCTTTATGCAAAGTCTCAACCGCCTGATATATAAAATGTAACTATAGTTCTTGTCAGAATTAGATGGCCTGACTTTCTATGGCAAGTTTGGATTCACATCAGATTCTCTTCTTTTTATGGAACTTGCTTCCCTGGTATTTGTTTTCTTCTTTGTTGACTTACATAGTTCACGTGTAAGTTCCAGCGCAAACTATCAGAGCAAGATATGTACTGTAGGCCCGTGCTTTGCCACCATTGCCTCCATCATACCAGTGCTTCACCCTTGCATTCATCGTAATACGACTCAGACCACGCTAGCCAAAATTCGAACGACTGCATATTAGGTAAAGTCATACTGCTGCCAATGGCTGACCTGTCCATTCTTTTTCTTGGCCGTATATCATGTACCTCCTCCATGATTAACAATTTTATTCATAAACATTCACATGGTTTTGTTTGTGTGGCTTATATTAAATTATTATGAATATACCTTGAAAGCATACAAGGCCTGTGCCAAACACCCATGTGGAAATAGCAGACATTTTGTGTCATCAAGATGTATGTGAAGCATTCAGTGTGGAATCAAAAGTGAAATAGGGCTTCCCAGGGACATGAGGAGTGGCCTCGTTTGCATTGAGGACTTGGGGCCCCAGTATGCTCAACCTCATGCCACAGACAACACTTTCAATGCTGTTGGAGAAAAACTTTTGTCCTTCTGCGATGCAGTATAGGAATGTCAGTGGCTTGGACACACATTGGGAGGCTGCACTTGTGAGGCATGGATCCTTGCAAGGCTTACATGGTCTCATACTATATGCTGCCTCAGAAACTCTGGATGAGGAGCTCAGCACGGCCTGGATAAGGGTGCAAGGATTCTCAATGTGAGTGGTGTTGTTGCTGAGATCTTAGGCAATTGTGTTGCATACAATGGCAAATCCAGCATGAGCTGGAGCAGACTTGCTGCAAGCTGCAACTCATCTCATTGTGGGCTCCAGCTTTGGAGCGCTGCCTCCTGCGAGCTGCACTGCTTGGGGCAGGAGTGCTGTGCCTTCATAGAGATTCATGAATGTGGCTACAAGCTCTAGTAGATCCAACAATGAGGTATCTTTGGAACATGGCCTATGTCCACACGCCAGGTCCACTCAAACTTCTAATGCACCCAAGAGCTGTCTTGAGATGGGACCAGTTCCCTAGGACCCTTGGAGTGAGAGAGATTTCCCTGCCAACCAAGTGGTTTCCCTCTGCAACGCCCCATTCACCTTCCAAAGGCTTGTCACCAACACTTTTCAAGACTACCTCACCGACTTCATGAGAGTCTTCATGAACGACTTCAACGTTTTCAGCTCGGAAGATCAACATCTTGAATGCCTGGAGAAATGCCTCAACAAGTGCGAGGAGAACAACATAGCACTCAACCCCGATAAATGCACTTTCTTTGTCAAATCTGGAGTACTTCTCGGCCACGTTGTCTGCAAAGACGGCATTCTTATCGACAAGGACAAAGTCAACGTCATCTCCAAACTCGAACCGCCGAAGAACCAGAAAGAACTTCGGCGCTTCCTCGGCAAAGTCGGATATCACCGACGATTCATCCACAAGTACGCTCACATTGCCAAACCACTCACCGATGGACTGAAACAAGATGCCCAATGGACATGGATGTCCGAACAGCAACAAGCATTCGACAATCTCCGACTCAAACTAACAACAGCACCGATCCTTGCCAAGCCCGACTGGACACAAGAGTTCCACATTCATGTCGACACTTCCAACGTCGCCACTGGTGCAATTCTGAGCCAAATTCAACACGACAACCGAGATCAACTGATCTACTACGCCAGCCGACTACTCAACCCAGCTGAACGAAATTACACCACCACTGAGAAAGAAGCTCTTGGCATGATCTACTCACTTCAGAAGTTCCACCACTACATACTGTCAACCAAAGTCATAATTTTCGTCGACCACAAGGCACTCCTTTACCTCATCAACAAGCCAATACTATCTGGTCGAATATCAAGATGGTTCCTTTTACTACAAGAATACAACTTCGAGATCGTCCACAAACCCGGCAAAAATCACAAGCAAGCAGATTATCTCAGCCGGATCACCACCGGCGACAAACCCGAAAGACTTACCGATGACTTACCCGACTCAAACCTATTCCGAGTTTCAATACTGGCAACCTGGCTCGACGACGTCTTCAGTTACCTGAACTCAGCAAAAGTTCCAGATCAGTACACTACGTCCGACCAAAAGAAGACTTTTGTTGCTAAAACCCGACGATACTCGGTTATCGGAGGCACTCTCTACAAACTCGGAATTGACAACATTCTTCGCCGATGCATCAAGCAGCCACACACAACTCAAATCATCAAGGAAGCTCACGATGGACCTTCTGGTGGACACTTTGCCGCTGACACCA